GGCGACTACTTCTTTTTATCTGTACTGTGCATATATCGAATGAAATAAATTTATATAAGATCGCGTAATTCTTTTCGAAAGAATGTCTATTAGTATTAGGCCAACACTTCCGGCCTTGTTTATACTTTTTACAAAGATCAACCATGATTTGAGATAATCGATATTCCATTTTTCGAGTGTTTACTAATATATTTTTCTTTGAATAGTCAGGGGCGTAGAAATTGTAGGTAAACGTGAAAGGTCGCTGTTAAGGCCATAACTGTATATACATTACCGAGAATGGCTATTTGAAACAAGAAAAAAGAGAATCTGTTTGGCATTATCTCAAAGTCAAGTCAAAGTCAAAATTTCTTTATTCAATATACGCTTGGGAGATGAATATTTATCTCTTGTTTTATTACTCCATCGGTAGATAGTAATTCGACTTAATTCAACATTAGAATAGTTTTGATTTCTTAGTGTTTTTTTATCAAAAGAAATTTCATTTAGTCTAAAACGTAAACTGAACATAAGACACAGAAAGTCGAAGAAAAAGCTCTTATTGAACGTCAACAAAATACCACCGGTTCACTAAATGAGACCAGTCCAGAGAAGAACCGGCAAGAAAATCGGCGGTCTTGTTATCTTTTTTCAGTATTTTTGCCGGTTTAATTTTTTTTGTTAAAAAAATATTACATATTTTTCTAGCTATAATCTACTAATTACTACATGCTTAATTATCGACTACTTTTAAAATGTAATACGCCTTATGTAATACGCAACTCAGCATTAAAATGAGAGAACAATAAATCACCAACCCCTATTTTCCAACCTTTAGGTAGTAGGAATTTTTTCCAAATTTATTTGGGACGAAATTTGAGGTATAACCCTATCCAATAAAAAAAGAATTATCAAAATGGGACTATTCTGTAAAAAGTTATGCGTGGCCATAAACAAAAAAAAAGTTATACGCGTCGTATCGTATTCGTATATAACCTCCTCGGTTTTTTCGTCGGTTAAATATACAATGACTATTTAAATAATATTACATAAAATTCTTACCCATTGGTTGGTTTGATAGATTTATTTGATGACATTTTCTAGGTGGTGTCGTACGCAAACAATCGTACCGAATAACGTAAACCGTAAAAACAAGAAGCTAATATAGTGGTTTATTATGTCACTGTATGTCACAGTTCCAATATTTGTACGCCTACAGCCACAGTTTCACACTCGTTTTGACTGTATTTGTGTGCGTGTATATGGATGTTTATAAAACTGATTTCATTGTAACGGCATCGTCCAATCCGGTAATCGGAGGTGCCGTCATCTACAAACCCCTACCGCTTAGCCCACGACACGTCTTTGATTTCCGTAACGATGAGACGACTATCGCTATCAACAGAATAAAACAACTGCGTAAAGACAAGACCGCACTCGGCGGCGAGTGCGGCCAAATAACTAAAAAATATATACTAGGTTCCGCCACGTACCTGGCAGTTTTTCCCCGTTAATGATAGAAGCGTTGCTGGAGTTTCTTCCGCCACTTCTTCTCCCAGCGCCTTTCCGAAGTGGTAGTAATGAAAACTTTAAAAATTCTCCTAGTCAGATAAATAGCTACCGATTGAGCCGAGGTCCAGCCCTCTCGGGTATCCTCAGATCGGAATGCTAAACGCTCTCTTAGTTATAGGCCAAGAGGAGGTCTTGGGGGTTTTCGAGCATAATATTTTTTATTCTGTTTTTTAGTATAGCGGCAATAGAAACACCGTTTGTGACAATTTCAACTGCATAACTATCACAGTTCATGAGATACAGCCTGGTGGTACACATATAGAAAGACAGACAGCGAAGTCTTAGTAAAAGAGTCCCGTTTTACCCAAAGGGTAAATAGTATGTAAAACGGGACGGGTTGGTTCCATAAACCATAAAAAATACGGCATCGCTTCGGTTGGTTTGCGTATAGGGATTGTTTCACACTCGCGTTGCGTCTATCAGTGTATAATATATGTATGAGTGTATAATGTTAGAACAGTTACCTTTAAAATATATTTTTTGTATACATTGTTCAGTGTAGTATTTATTAAATTAGTCACGGAAAACGTAGTGTCGGACGTCCCACTGCCAGGTGGACCGATGACCTGAGAAAGGTCGCTGGTAGAGGCTGGATGAGGAAAGCGGAAGATTGTGCACTGTGGCGTGCCCTTGGGGAGACCTTTGTACAGCAGTAGACTGCAAAAAGCTGATTGGATTGGATTGGATTAATAAATCATCGATGTAATTAATGCGTTTAAGGATGAATTTTCCGGAAAATGCCTATAATTGCAAAAGCTTTTAAACGATCTTCCGCTTTGATATGGCAGTTGCTATAAAATTTTCTAAGTTTGCTAATTAACGTAAATTAGTTTTTATATGCTTCCATTATATCAGTGGCTCTCAACCTTTCTCTCATAGGGGCAACAAACACGTTAGTCGTGATGTCGCGGGCGTACATATTTGCAGTTTTTAACCTGGGCCCCAAAGAATCATTAAAAATTTGTTCAAAGAGATTAAAATATTGACTGTTATTGCTTGTCAGTACATACTTGAAAATGTTATGTATTCCTATGTCCATTAAAACAAAAATGAATTTTCAAGACGTGCATTACTAGGAACAAATATAAGTTAATTCTACCCACAACCAGACTGCGTAGAATAACTAATTCTTTTATGGGACAATGTATACGTTTTTACAACAAAATCCCAGAAAACGTTCGTAATGTATGAATTTCTAAATTCAAAAAAATTGTAAAGGAACGTTTGTGTGTTAAAGGCTATTATAATATTAGTGATTATTTAAATGATAACAATGAATGAATGAATGAATACTTACTGAATGATAACTTTATTGTAACTCCGATTTATCTAGCTTTTTTTCCACTAGAGAAGGTGGCGAACGAGCTGGCGGTTCAGCCAATGTTAAGTGATAACCGCTGCCCATTGCCATTTACCACAACCGTAGGGTTGCAGATGCGTTGCCACCTTATTATAAAGTGGCCCCCGGCCACCTCACTCACCAGACGAAACGCTGAAGTATAATACTTCCACTTCACGCCGGTCTTCTGTGACTTACTCGGACAGACCTGCCCATTCCAGCAACAGCGTGGAATAGTTCATTTACTTTACATTACGAATTTTATATTTAATAAACAAATAAATATCGAAGTTAGTATTATATTAGAATAGTTCATAAAAACTGTAAGCAAAAATCTTTTGGATCAGGTCCATTTGTTGTCCTGGTTTAGAATCAACCCCATTTGACCTGGTATAATAATTTATTTTGGGATTCTAGGTTTTGTTCAGAAAGTTAAACCCACCACTACTATATCAGAACAACGATAACTTGTTCAAAACGATTAAGTTCTTCGATTATGAAATTTAAATTTCGCGTCGTAATTAAGCCTTCTTAATAATAATAGTGGCTGGGCTTTAGCTGCCGTTTTCTTCACTCATTTAAAAATATCATATTATTTTAACGCTATATTCTTCACCTTCTAATTTCATTATATCTAATAACTAGTAATCTAAGTAAAGTAAAAAAGTAGTAATCAAAAAAAATAATAAGATTACCCAGTGTTGGAAATCATAGCAAAACCAAATCAAACGAGCAGTTTATTTTGATTTACATAATTGATAATCGAAATAAAAAAGAAGTAAACCTATAACAAAAAACCTAAAACCCCAAAATAAAAATATCGTATTATTTTGAACGAGACTGAACATGGAAGTATATAATTAATGGAAAGGGAATTCCTGCGGTCTTGCTCGCGATGTACGGAACTAAAAACGCCCAATGCAAAACATTGGAAATCCAAACAGTCGATACAAATGTCATATTTACGAAAATACTAAAATGACGTGTTGCCGTGGTCGAGTATAGGTCTAGGTAAATAAAGGCTAAAAATTAATTCGAAACAATTATATTTCATTGCATAGTTGCTTACTCCTTATTATATGGTATAAAATTATAATAAAAAGATAACTTACCTCTCAAAATATACTTCGAATTTTAGATATTTAAGTTAAAATGTACAATTTAATAAGCAGCGACATAAAAAAAAAAAACTTTGTCACCGAGTAATATTTTAATATTGATATAGGTACAATTTTCATAAATAAACACTCATTTAAAGAAAATGTAGTGACTACATTTCTACGCTATTGATGTTTATGCGGTATTCAAAATAATTTTATAGCTACAAATCTCGGATATAGACGTGAGTCGTAGTAATATAGTAAAGTGGTTTCTTCTGAAGATGCTTCCCAAACTGGTAAAGCCATCAGCTTGTTAAGACCTTTCTTCAGCTTCGCGGATTAACTCACGCACGCTAGGTCTGAACTTTGATCTTTCAGTAGTTTCAATTAAATTGATCCTGTATTTAAACACTCGAAGCTGGCAACAATAAATTCTTCATTTTCAATTTTAAGAGTCGATACAAAAAAATCGATTGATACATAATATTGATTTGTACTATGGTCTTGAAAAATAGGGAAAACCTTGTGAGGAAACCTGTAAATTTGAGAAATAAATACACCTTAAAAAGGTAAAGTTCGTCAATCTCTACAGCATTAGGATTAGGACTATACTTTCAGCTTTCCTTTTCCCATCGCTAAGACCAACACGTTTTCGCTGAAGTTAATTTTTTTAGTATTTAGCAGTGGTGAAGATATAAGATAGCAATTTGTCACTACAGACTACCTTAACTTTTTGTCTATGTAAAGAAATTAAAAAAAATATTGTCCTCACAATGTTTTATGAAGTTTTTAGGCTGATCGCAATGGAAACATTTGATTAAATATTGTTTTCTCTATTAAAATTTGTAGAAAATTTTTTTCTGGTAAAAAACATCCAGTCGTTTTCAGATTTCCTCCACCAAAATTAATTGTATTTATTATTTCTGTCTCCTCGATAAAAGTTTTACATTCAGAAATCAATCAATACGCATTACTGACATATTTTGTCGTTATGACTATATTTGATTCTAGTTGTATTGAATCACTTGGGTTTTGTTGTATACCAGATCAAGAGCTTTAAGAAAAACTTCGGGATACGGTACTGCGCCCGGTGGTAAGTTGCTGATTTTTTTCAATATCATATCATAACGTGCTTGTTCCTGTTCGCGGTAAATTTGCGGTAAACCGAGTTCCAAATACAAATTTCGAACACGTTCCACGTGGGATGGTTCCGGATTTCCATAGCAGGTCTTAAACTCCTTCAGCTGCGCCGGATTGAATTTCTTCAATGCTTCCACTACTGGCCAGCATAATTTTCCAGTTGGGATGTCAGTGCCCGTTTTTCCCATGGAATCTTCGTCAATGAAACAATCCATGAAGTCGTTCTGGAAAAAAGTGACGCACTGATTTAGGATAGTTTGATTAATGAAGCTCAATTTGAGAGACGGTGTTTAAAATGTAAGACAGCTCTATTTTGTGACATGATAGGAAATGAAAAGATGGTCCAATGAAAATTATATGATTACTGGTCAATGATATTATAAACAAATACGAATTAAATATGACATTAGGGCGCCGAAATTGATGTCTTCAATTTTTTTTAATTTTTTTTAATGTGAAAAATTCTCATTCACCAGACGAAACGCGAAAGTATTATACTTCCATTTTACGCCGGTCTTCTGCGAGGTCGTGGTACTTACCCGGACGAACCTGCCCATTCGTGCAACAGCCGAGACTGCTGCGTGGCCCTGCCACCGTAAATTACGGCAATTAGTGTAATACCACACATACTAGCGTATGTCAAATGCAACTCTATACTCTGCTATCTCTTTCCCTACCGTGAGTTATATATTATATGTCACATCCACGTATAGATGTCATATAATTTTTAAACGCCGCGCGGTATGGACATGCGTCATCTTTATTGAAACATCATTATTACCGGCGCTCATAGACATCTGCCACACATGTGGTTTTACAGATACATTGCCACCCTTTAGAAGAGTAGACCGCAAATTCTTCACTCATCAACGGAAGACGAAACGCACGAGTATTTTTTTTTTAATTTTAACTACCTCTACATGTTCAGGCAGTTATTCTGTAAGTTCGCACTACTTTTCTGTACGGGCAAGCTTAGTTGTAATAGTAGTGTTTGCCACGAGTTAAAAAAAAATAAAAAAAGCGGGATGATATAAAATGCTAACCTGCATCTGCAAATTGATACCGATTTCATCGCATATGTCGTCGACATATTCATATGACTTTTTATCACCCTTCTGGGAATGTATTAATGCCAACAATATTGGAAATCGGAATGTGTAATGGGAAGTTTTGTAAATAGACATTTTGCGATAGTTTTCTTCCGTAAAAGCGGCAGGATCTTTTCGGTAATTAAACATGAAGTCCAAATGCTGACCCATGGATGTATTCAAGAAAGTCTGAAATGTCCACAAATTATTTAAAAATCATGTCACGTCCTAAACACGAACATTTATTAATCTGATAAAGAAAACGTAAATTCAAGTCGACCTCATTAAAAAGATTTATGAGGGCTGGATACTGTGGTCGGCCCCTGAAGCTCTGCCGTAATATTTCGTGAATAAAACTTCGCATCATACTGACGTCATTTATAACAAATACCCCAACGTCAGGCAGCAAGTGCCAACACTTCTGGCCCCTGCGCGTTTCGGCTTCATCGTCCACATCATCCGAGATAAGTAAACAAGCTTGTACCTGAAAAACTCGTAATATATTAATTTTCCCAAAATAAACCCATTTCTAGGTGTTCCTTGTACCACAACCTTACAACTATTCACAGTCATTCGATATAATTCATCAGAAGCTGAGTGCATTCAAACGAAGTATTCGAGACACTTAATATATTTTCTTCTTATTTTTTTTTTACTTACATTTATTTCAACAGTTTTCAATAGCTTTGTCTTTTGTTTTAAAATTTATAATTTAATATTGTTTAATGATATCGGGGCATGCAGAGTATAGTATAATATTTGGCGTACATTATGTGTAAGTTGCTCTTATTCAGTTTATTGTTAAGATGGTATGTGTACCAAAAAATACAACAAAATGTATTTTTTAATGTTCTATTTGCAAAGACTGAAACGTAATAGTTAACATAACTAGTGCGTATACGAAATGCTCGATAGTTATCTTGTGTTATAAAAAGAACATATCACAAACAAGCATTTTACATGTGAATTAAGAATAATGAAATAAGAATAGCATAGTGCATCTAATGGATTTATTTATTTATTATAATTTCATATTTAATACAATAATGTTATAAAATTCGATCAGGACTTGTATGGATCAGATGAGCAATGTTGAGTGTCTATCATATGAGTATCCCTATTCATATTGCAATATATATTATATTATCATTACACAAAAATTAAAAATGAGTACAAAGTATAAAATTGAAATAAATAAAATGAAATACCATTTCCACTGCCCATGCCAATTTGAAAATTTCTGCCCACATCTCGTCACTGAGTACTTGGGGCTTCATCAAGGTCTCGTATGAGAATAAAGCCAGCAATCCTCGGAGCTGCTTGCCGCCAATGATATTATAATCTGAAATCTTAGAACAAAAATATTAACTATCCACTTTTATTTGAATAATATAATCAAACGACTTTCTATAGAAAATTTACTTTTCTTAGTCGATCCTTAATTTCCGGAAGTCCCTCGAACTTTTTATCGGATAATCCATTTTCTATCACTTTTGGAAGGTAGTCTTGATACGCTGTATAAATATTTTGTGACACCATATTTTGTTTCGTTAAAAGAGCTCTTTGAACGGGTGACCTGAAATTTTCAACATTACCTTCGGACTTTTGTTGCATATTTTGACTTAAATTTACAAATTATTTATGTAAAGTTATAACTAAACTTTGAATTTTAACAATATTGATCCATTTAATTGAACCAGCCGTTATTGATGTCAACACACCTTGCACTCAAAGAACCTGACCAATCAGTTCGAGATAAAGAAATATTGAACCTGATTTATCTTAGCTTACGATGATAAACTTCAATCCCTACAATAGATGCAAAAACTATTAATTACAATAAATGCAAAAACGATTAATTACAATAAATGCAAAAACTATTAATCATTTTACCAAATCGATACCCCTTTTTTAATTGGTATTGCTATGAAATTAAAAAAAATTTAGGGAAATATTTGTAGTGTTTCAAAATGATTACTTTTTATAATTTTTCAAGTTTAAAAATTGTTGATAAATTACGCTTGTCAACTACGAATATGTTTATATGATTTGAGTGTCATAAGGATCCTGTATCACTGGAGAATACACCTCCCACAACATATGACCTCTTGAAATATTTGGACGCAAATTACCCAAATTTCTTATTCCCTTAGTAATTTTTACAAATTCTAGATTAAATTAGTTTCCTCAAAACCTGAACGTTTTTAAATTATAATTTCAAAACACTCCACACAATATAAAGAAACTTTTGAAGGAATAAACTCCATCAAAAAAAATATGCCGTTTTATGTTTACCAATCAATTAAAATAATAAAGCAGATAAAAAAAATCATTTACATACCAATTACTACTGTTTCTCGTTATGTTTAGAAATATTTTACGCGATCCCATTTTTGTCTACTTATAACCCGCGATGGTTAGAAATATTGTGATAAATACAAATCACCACGACTTATTTATTTACTTATTGCTGCAAACTGCAACCGCGTTATACAATGCAAACCCTACAAAAAGAAACAAACACAGACGTTGTACTCCTTCGGCGTCTTTCTACCTACTATTTTAATTTACTTTTAGATAAGTAACAAATTGTCATTCCTTCAGTTTTGTTTTTGAGACGACTGCATTAACACATTGAGTCGAGTAAAGTTATGATTTTGTGGTTGTTGATTTTTTTGTTGTGCTTAGGTGAATACATTTTTTTCAGTTACAACTTCGAATTCACCGCACCTACAAAATATTAACGTTATGAATATGTTTCTACATAACTGTTTCCATTTGAAACTAAGGCAGTAATAGTCTATATTTTTACTGTCCTACCATCGTATTCGTTAAAATACTTTGTCATCGCAACAAGGCGAGTAACAAGTTTATTTTTACTAACGAAAAACAAAACCGACTTCAAATATCTACTCTGTATTCATTTTATAATTGATTTTTAGGAGTTTCCTAAGTATCTCCGGAGCCCAAGATCCAATAACAATGAAATTAATATGGGACCACATGGAAGCAGCAGCTTTCAAATAAAAAAAGGATCATCAAAATCGGTTCAATCAGCCGAAAGTTCTGAGGTAACAAACATAAAAAGAAAATACAGTCGAATTGAGAACCTCTTCCTTTTTTGAAGCCGGTTAAAAATTAAGCTAATTAAATAGAATTTTTTATTTTTTTTTACTGAAATTTTACTGAGGTTTAAGCAGGACTTTTAAGGTTATGTACGTAATAAACATGCAAACCGGTTTTTATTTTTATTTAAGCAGCAATTAATGCTGAATTTGAAATTAATACTTAATAGATAAAAAATAATAAGTAAAATAAAATAATAATAAGTATTTAAAAAATAATAAGCAAATACTTAATTAGACTTAATTTTAAAAAAATTAAATTGTTTATAGTGCTAATCTTTGCACTTAAGATTGAACATTAAAATATGTAGAAAAACTGCGAAAAGAATGTCGCCGTTGTGGGAATCGAACCCACGTCTTCGGCATTCGCGGCCTGACGCTCTAGCCACTGAGCTAAACGGCTGATTGCCACACTTAAGACTTTTTTTTTCATTGTGCATTCAATTATTAAAATTAACAGTTAAATTGTTAAAATTTTTTTGATTATTTAATTTGATTCGATTTGATTCGATAAAACGGGATTATTTTAAGTCATTTTTTACGATGGTAGGGCCACGCAGCAGCCTCGGCTGTTGCACGAATGGGCAGGCTCGTCCGGGTAAGTACCACGACCTCATAGAAGAGCGTAAAGTGGAAGTATAATACTTTCGCATTTCGTCGGGAGAGTGAGGTGGCCGGAGCCCTATTTCCAAAAGGTTGTCAACACATCTGGAACCCTCGAGTATAGCAGATGTCCATGGGCGGCGGTATTCACTTAACATCAGGTGAACCGTCTGCTCGTTTGGCAACTTTTCACATAAAAAAAAAAAAAAGATATAATTATGTAAGTTTCCCTTCAACTAGGTAGCACGTTCTGTATTTACGCTAATAATACCCTTTGTTTAATCAAACTAATTTACAGATTTCTTCACGATTATATAGAGTTTTCATAATGACTTTTAATCTAAAGCAATAAAAAGTCTATTTTAAAATTGGATTGTGTTTTTTTAGTGCATAACTTGTCTGAAATCTCTGTGCACGCCTCTGAAAAAAGAATAACTTCTCTGTTTTGTATACATATACGGGGTCTTCTGAGATATATATAAATATGTAAATTTAAAGAGCTTAATGTAATATCAGAAGAAAAGTATATTTAATGAGTATTAAAGACAAGTCTGTTTAATGAGTATTAAACAGCCTTGTCTTCTGATCCGTTTTATTGGACCATTGAAATAATTTTATTTTGTCACGCAACCGAGCTCAAGTCGTTTCTCAATCATAGTAGCAATTTCCATAATAGCTCAATTGTTATAAAAATATTGCGTCTACGTTATATTATTTTCAACAAAGTTATCTTTCACAATTAAAAAAATCAACTCAAAAGCAAGCGTGGCCAACGCGTAAAGATATTTCTAGAACTTCTTGCATCCAGGCCAACCCTTACATTTCACTTTTGTTCCTTTTCTTCATTTTAGTTTGTATAATTTTTAACAAGCTTTTATGGCACGAATGTAAGATGTTCGGAAAGTTGATGATGACTTTTTAATTTTTTCTGCATTTAAAATAGATGCAAAGTAAACAAGAGTTATTTATAACTTTTGTTTAAACCTCCTTGGAAATAATATCTTGCTAAGTACAATTACTCTTTTTATCAGGTTTTTACGTCAACGAGTCAATATTCACCTGATTTCAACAAGGACAGCGATGCATGAAGCATTTTATACTCTGGTTATAAACTGGCTACTACTTATTATCAAGTATACAATTACTATTTTATTATCAAACTGCTTTGGTGGACTGCCCCTATCTACTACGTCCATAGAGAATTTATTAATGCGATCGGAATAGCCTAAAAATGCCGTTACAATAGGATGATCGCTAACTGCAATTACACGTGGGAACGTTGTTAGACATGAATGATTATTTAGAGAGGATCAGAATATCACCCAAAAGAATAACACCCATGTCCTTAGTGCTTTCATCGAAAATTCCTCCACTTGACTAACATCAATTAATCAAATCGGTTTTCTTAGACGTTAAACTTCCTCGAGTCATGACAAGGCATTCCCTCACTCGAGTGGACTAATGTATTGTCAAACTCGAGGTACGAACGTCTCGAAATACCTTAGAGCTTTCTGGAAATTGGTTTAATACGTAATATAAAATAAATTGAACTATAAAAAGCGCTATAACCGTTAAGAGTTTGAAGTATTTATTGATTATGTTTAAGATGAACCATACAATTTTCCGAAGAGGCAGTATTTTCGAGATATAGAAAATAATTTGGAATCTTCTATCGTTCTAAAAATACAATTATACGTGTTATTATGCCTTTAATAACAATATCTAAGACTACGGAAAACATTGAATTACATGCAATTTCTACCGTCTTGCATGACTTTAACCATTAAATTAAATTTTCAGAACAACAAAGTACAGTGTAGATCTATTATAATGAAACAATTCAACAACGACATTAAAACCTTGCTGCCAATGAATAATCACAGCTATCATTAACTAAGACAAGTACAGTAAACATAAATTGTTTAAGGGCGATGTTGAAAATAAAAAATAAACATTACACCAGCAACAATAATTCGAATAAAAGATATAATAATAATTCGTAGAAAATTTGCATGTGAAAGATTTAGTGAAAAATATAAAGGAGTGTTTCACCTGATAAGTGACTACTGGCGCCTATAGACATCTACAGAGGGGTTGATAAAGCCGGGAGAATCATAGCGAAACAAAGTATTTAATTAAATACATATTTTATTGCTAACGGGAATAAAAGACTAAATATGGCAATGTATTTCTTAAAACACAATAGTAAGCAAGAAAATTAAAGTGGTGTTTGTCTTGCAGTAAACTATTTGTATGTAAGGAATCTCGCGAATACTACAAATCAAACTCACTTAACAGATTTACAGAAATCCAATACGGGATATAATGGAGTTAAACTCAAGTGATTTACTCATTTATACTAGTATAGTCCACTGCTAATTAAAACACAACTCAAGACATCAAGTGGTTGAACAAAATTAACTCTTACATTATGCAGATGGAATATTAAGAGCATATTTTAGTGTAAAAAAGTATGGTCGTTTTATTTTTATTTTGACCGCTTCAACGCATAAAATGGTGAAACGTAGAACTTAGATTAAATAACTTTAATAAAATCATCTTATGTTATACATGTAGATATTGTTTAAAAAAAATTTTACTAATAATCCGTCGTGTATAAAACATTAATCCTACAATACCTTTTAATATATACTATACAATTTTACAAAGTTTACTTCCACTTAATAGTATATCAACAATATTATATTATTGATTGCTCTGAATCACGTTTAGCAACTGCAGAAACAGTGCTGGTGATGGTACCGCGTTTGATGGAAGTTCTCGTACTTGTGACATGAAATTTTCGTAGCGTATGCGCTGATCTTCTTTGTACAGCTTAGTGAGGGCCATATCTTCGTAGATTTGTTTAATACGCGCCACGTGTTCCGGGTCCCAGCTACCGTAGCACTCGTGGAATATTTTGCGCTGCCTAGCGCTGCATCTCTGTAACGAATTCACCGCTAGCCAAGTGCACTTTCCTTCCTGTATGTCGGTGCCCGTCTTTCCAGTCGTCGACTCTGCGTCGAAGCAGTCCATGAAATCGTTCTGTAAGTTATCAAAGGTACTATACATGATTGAAAATTAAATTTGTGTAAAGAAAAATATAATTTTATTTAATTTAAATATTTTCGCGCATCGACCGATGAATTAATAAAAATTTATGTCTGTTTGTCTGTGCGTTTGTGCGCGCTAATCTCAGAAACGGTTTAACCGATTAGGGTGCAATTAATGCATTGTAGTAAGAGTCACTTAACATTTCGTGTTAGTTTTATTTAAATCGGTTCATAAATAAAAAGTTATATCAACTTAAATAACCACATTGAATATTTATGCGATAAAATGCTATATAATAGCTACAGGTGAATTTGATGAAAGTATATTTCACTATATATTATATATCATGGTCTGTAAAATGATGATGATTGTAAGTTTATATAAAGTTAAAAAAAATCCGCCAAGTGCAAGTCAGACTCGTGCACAAAGGGTTCCGTAGGTACTTATAAAATAAGCATCACCGCATTAAGCACCTTATAAAATGTAGTACATACGGGCGGAACCGCGGGCGAAAAGCTAGTCTTACAATAAATCTTTTCTTACAGAGTTCAATTGTGTTTTGATTGCCATCCAAAACATTAAAAAATGTTATGATGTAATGCGTAATTAATTTTATTTTATTATTCCTATGTCTAGGGAACTATTTGTGTGACCTATACAGTTCTATTAATTTGTCATGGATTTTTAGACTTTAGTGTCGATCACACGCTATTGTGCGTAAACGAAATATCATTTTGTATATTAGATTATGATTATTTGTAATCGAAACAAAAGAGCCAGTACACAACGCACAGGTCATTACCGCGGTGCATGATACATGCTCACTTTCAGTAGTGCAGAAGAAGTAACAAATAAAATTTAAGCAACAACAAAGTTTTGAAATTTGTCCTAATTGAGATCTGAAGTGAAGTTGAAAATAATAAATTTACTTTTATGTATAAAAAGAAAGCGACACCCATACACGAGAATAAACCTTATTCAGAATCCAAGAGTACAATGTATTTTTGAATTCTACATATTAAGTAAAAATCTTCTCTTCCTGAGAATTCTGGATGAACAAAATACGTTTGAAATCAGGTAAGTATTGGCTAATTTATTGAGTAAATTGACCAAAAATAGGCCATATTATATAGGTACTGAAAAAAACATACACGCTTCTCATAAGAAAAATGTGTTGCTAGCACTGGCCTCGATTTATATGTCCTAAATTACGATTGGGAAATAAGAACATATGAATTACATGTGTAAATTAGCCTTGGTGACAGCTTCAGATTAGTGGTATTAATCATGGAGTACTCGTCAATTACTCTTGCCATTAGTTATTCCTGCCAGAACAAATAGATAACTTATGGTAATTTCATCTAATTTAAATATAAAAATTGCCACGTACTTAGCGTATTGCCGTGTAGAAAACACAAAGCTAGTAAATTAATTACGCGCGAATTTAATTTGAAGAAGTGTTTTTTCATCATTGCAGTTTTTATCACGTTTCCATCAAATTTAATTTATTTATATACATATATAAAAGTGTACAATGCATTTACTTCTGCAAAACTACAAATTAAGCAAAATAACTAACCTAGCCATAACAAAAACTGAGAACTGTGGCAGGGCCACGCCATAGTGTTCGGTGGGGCACGAATGGGCATTTCCGTCCGGGTAAGTACCACGACCTCACAGAAGACTGTAAACTGGAAGTGTTATACTTCTGCGTTTCGTCTGTTGAGTGAGGTAGCCGGGGCCCACTTTATTATAAGGTGGCAACGCACCTGCTCCACCACCACCAGCACGATGGCAACCTTCTCCCATACAAAAAAAAAAGTCGGTTGAAAAAGGCGGCGAGACAAAATTTACCTACCTATAAAAAAATCTTCGCTTTTAAACCGTTTCTTTTTCTTCTACTTTAATCTTCTGTTTTAAAAAAAATCTTTATTGTCATGAAAGTCATGTACATTAAATATCTAACAGTTAATATATTAAACCATAATAATTATGATAATAAACATAAATATTTAGAAACCAATATTGAGTATTTATTTATACACAACCATTTTTTCTTTATATGAGAAGGTGGCAAGGGAGGTGGCGGTACACCTGATGTTAAGTAACAACCACCGCCCGTGGTTGCAATACCCACAGCCTTGCAAATACGTTGCTTTTAATTAAAGTGGACTCCGGTTAAATCACTCACCATACGAAACGCAGAAGAATAACACATCCACTTCACGCCGGTCTTCAGGTCGTGGTTCTTCCCAAAACGGACCTGCCCCTTCGTGCAACAGTGATGACTGTTCCATGATGACTTACCACTAACACAACTATTCTGCAGAATCACTATAAATATCAATAAGTGCTAATATTTATTTATTGTCATCTGGCAATAAATAAATATTGGCACATAAATATTTACCCGAATGGCCCTCAATTTTAAATATGATTCATCAATTTTAAAGATGAGGGAATCATCTTACCCCGACAGTACTTGTACCACAAGACTTCCGTTTACCAAATTTTTTCTATGTTACATACCCCTCAATCGCTTCTTATGAAATTCTCATCAAAAGATATATTTTACTTTTGGCTAAATTTGCTGAATAGGCCAGGAAATGGATACACCGATGATCTTTATTCTTTCTTAGCGGTAACTTTTTTCGATGATAGCGCTAGAATAACGGATATGTGGACGACAAGAAAGGCGGTGCCTACACAAATAGAAATTATGTAATAATAATTGTTTAACACAAGTTTAATTATCAATGAAAAACAAAACAGACTTCAAACATCTCGCTCTGTATTCATTTCATATAATTAATATTCAGGAGTTCCCTGAAGTATCGCCGGAGATCAAGATCCAATACCAATGAAATTAATATGATACCACATGGGAGCTAAACCAAACCCAATACAAAAAGAAATTTTAAAATCTGAAATGTTTTTTATCTCAGACTACGTCATTTTTAAACCAAATGGCGTAGTCTGAGATAACAAACATCCTTTTTTGAACTCGGTTGAAAATGAAATTGTAACAAAATATAAAACAGACAGACTAATAGAGAGATTACAAGAAAATTATAATAAGCAAAAAGAAAATAAGGTACAATGTTAATAAGGTTTAATAATTGGTTAATAGGTATAAATAAGTTCTAATAAAAAACAGGTCATGAGTCGAACTGATACGTGCGGGTTACGTACCTACCCATTATTCAATGGTCAATGGGAACTACCCTCTAGGTTTTCGACCCAAAACCTGAAAAAAGCAATGAGCAAGGTCTTTCAAGGTAGAGGAAAAAATCCGAAAAATAACAAAAGTTGACAATTAAGGTAAATTTTGTTAAAAAGTTTTCGCGAAAATTTAAATTTGCCTTGTTTTATATACTAGCGACCTGCCCCGGCTTCGCACGGGTTTAATGTATATTATACATAATTATAAACCTTCCTCTTGAATCACTCAATCCAGAGAAAAAACCGCATCAACATACCGTTGCGTAGTTTTAAATATCTAAGCATACATAGGGACAGACGGCGAGACGATTTTGTTTTATAATATGTAGTGATATTAATATTTTTTATAATGTATGATAATGCCATCTATTAACAGTTGGTTTAAATTATTGATAGCAAACTAGGTTACTCTGCAAAATACCTTTGATTGATAAATACTTATTTACACATTATTATTTTACGGTTCGATAACTGATCACCGCACTGTTCGACAATATCGCACGAACCAACTAGTATCAATGAATTGCTAAGACCCAATTGGCGTGGTGGATAGTGAACCTGTCTCTTGAACCTAAGGGTGTGGTCTCGATTCCCACTACTACAAAAATGTTGTATTATGAACATATTGTTTTTCTATTGTCTTGGTGTTTATATATCTCTAACCTGTGTATTTAAAAAGAAAAGTATGTTTATCAGTTATCAAGTACCCATAATACAAGCTTTACTTAGTTTGGAACTAGCTAAATAATGCTTTTATAAAAAAGAAATATTTGTCTTCGGCATAAATTTTTCAGAAATTGCAAGAACTGATGTGACAAGCAGAGTTTTTTTTAATGTAAAAAAATCTCATCTCGAATCTCAATCGAAAAAACGAGCGTTTTTATTATGTAATAGGTGTTTACTAGCATATTTAGCGTATTCTTACATCACAACGAATTCACTAAGGTATTTAAAATTCTTACTTAAAATAATACGACCAAAAGATGAATATTAAGTAGTATAAACACATACCTATAAAATAATAAAATACTAAACTACTGCTACTAAAATACTCCTTCAAAATTTTACTATACATATATATAATATTGTTTAAAAAATTATCATTGAAGGTATAATCTCTTATTAACATTATTAATGTCCTCGTGATCTGTATTGTTATTAAGAAGTGTTTTTTTTTTTAAATGCCAACAAGATCGTAAACACATGATATCCCTTTCCGCAGTCATTTGTCCACACCTTTGTACGCATCACAAGTCAAAAGACATCAAAAGTCAAGCTGACCGTCTATTATTAATAATAGAATTTAAGCGCCTGGTAAAAATTTTCATGCACGAAATGAATATTAGAAATAATAAAGATTTTATCCTCTTACGTTTTTATGGTTCGTTTTTTGTTTTTTTATGGTACATTAATAAAATTCAATAATTATTGAAAAAATATAACTAATTTAGAACTCTTTTGTGAAGTATGTAACTATGTTGGAAATAACTATGGTACGGACGCGCAACGACCTTTGGTGTTGTATGAATGTCCAGGTCCGTCCGGGAAAGTGCCACGACATCGCAAAAGACCGGCGTGAAGTGGAAGTGTTATACTTCTGCGTTTCATCTGGAGAATGAGATAGCTGGGGCCCACTCTATTAAAAGGTGGCAACACATCTAAAACCCAACGGGTGCTGCAAATGTCCATGGGCGGCGGTTATCGCTGAACATCAGGTGAACCACCAGCTCGTTGACCACCTTCTGACATTGAAAAAAAAGTAAGAATTTATTAGACATACTTTTGCTACTAAGACAATCCACGTCAGACAATCGGTAGCCGACGATATCTGCTGTAGCATATCAAAAACTTACTAGGTAGTGCTATTGAAATATTTCGACAGATAAAATCTGTCACAACAGAAGAGATTTTGAAAAAACGCCAATTATATTCAGTTCTTATGGTAATGATTTGGTAGACAGCCTAGACAACCAATTAGTGCAGTAGGCTGGGTTGCTCAAAACGGGTGTTTCTGGTACATTTGATATTACGAAAAACGTAGCTCTGGAAATTCATTACTATTAATTCCTAATAGTCAATTAATTAGAGTCATGTTTCCCCAGTTTAGAAATTGCTATGCGTATTTATTTATCTCTATTGATCACTAACAGCAGTGGCGAACGTTCAGTTTTCGTCATTAAAACGCATAAAAAATGAGTAAAGGAACACTATGAGTCAAGAACATCTCAATTTTCTCGCTTTGATGAAAATAGAAAATGATTTGGTCGGACAAATTGATACGAATAGTATTATTTATAAATTTGCCCACATGAAATCTAGAAAAGTTTAAAAAATAATAATAGAAACGGGTTTTTAAATTTTCTGAAGCCACAGCTAGAACTGTTATTATGTTATCAAGATTTATTTTTATTTAATCTTTATTGCACTAAAAATTGTACAAAGGCGAGCTTAATGCTATATTGCATTCTCTACCAGCTAACCTTAGGTAGAACAAAGACATAATGACAAGGGCAGTAAAGTACTTGTAATCGTTACATACTCGAAAATAATATTTCATAATAAGGTTATAAATCTAAAAACTACCAACATAAAACATACGTAGATGAGTATACTTATATATTTATACATATACTGTAAATATACTTAAATATTCATATTACATATAACTAACCTAATAATATTGAGTAATCTCTCCAACTTGTTTAGCAACTCCTGAGAAATGTTAGTAAGATAGACGTCAGCATAGTCGAATAATGGAAAAATAAGGGACTGAACAAGAAGGAGCTTAGTGGAGGAAGGCAGAAAGGCTTTAAGACGATATATGGAACGAAGTATGCCTGTTACCCTGCGACAGATCTCAGTTACATGTAGTGACCAGGTGATGGATGGGTCAATAATTAAACCTAAATCTTTGACTCTACTACAGAAAGGCACAACGCAATCCTCATACTGGATAGGCGGTAAATTGGACAAGTTGGCATTTGCTTGGATTTACCGCTATTCCGAAGCGCTTGGACCAGCTTGAAATACGACTCAGATCACCATTTACGCGAGAAATTGCGGTATGAACATCACTAGAGATGGCTTGCGAGTATAGCTGAAAATCATCAGCATACAGGTGGTAAGAACATTGAACATGGTTAGTAAGAAGGTTAATGAACAGTGAAAATAAGAGGGGAGAAAGTATGCCGCCTTGCGGAACGCCTGCAGTCAAGTCCAACCAGTCAGAAATATCCTGACCTATCCGTACAGCCTGCTTGCGACCGCGAAGATAAGAAGCAAACCAGTCCAGTGCCGAAGAGGAAAAATTTAGCCGTGAAAGTAAACTAAGTAGCAGGTCGTGGTCGACACAGTTAAATGCGTTGGAAAAGTCATTAAGGACTAATACGGTCAGGTGTGACTTGTCCATACCTTCTCTAAAGTCCTCAATTACTTTAAGTAAAGCTGTGGTAGTGCTATGGCCTGGGCGAAAACCAGACTGAAACGTGCTTAGGAAGTTGCATTCAGAGATGAAAGAAGTAAGTTGTTTATGTACTATTGACTCAAGAGTTTTGGAAAGATAGGGCAGTATAGAAATAGGTCTAAAATGAGAAGGAAGAGAAGGATTTGTGACTTTTGCTAGTGGCACGACAAATGCTTTAAGCCATGATTTTGGGAAGATACCAGAAGACAGTGAGAAGTTTATGCTGTGAGTGAGAACTGGAGCAATTTGGTCAAGTATGAGAAGTATCATAGGTCTACTCACTTCATCATGGCCGATCGCTGTGGATTTTATAGATATTACTGTTTTTCTAGTATCCTCGTCAGTCACTGGACAAAAGTGAAAAGATGTACTGGATAACAATGGCATGGAATTTAGTTCCTGTAGAGTTGCAGTTTTAGTAGAGAAGATTAACATAATTGTGACCAATTAAAGTTTTTCAAATTATAAAATTTTAATTACAAGACATGGTTAGAAAATTTGAATCATAATTAGAATTACAAGTTCACTAAAGAAGTGTCAATAATTACTTCTTATCAAAATTATTCTATATTGCCAGGTAATCTCAGCCTAGCGGGACCTTTAATCTACTAACAGCCATACCTACTAATAGCCTAGGCCAGTAATTTACTAGACTATTAATTACCCACAAAACTATAACCAATGGATGGCAAATAACGTACGTATTGAGTATTAGATTGTCTTTTAACCACATTATACTGAATAACCCATAGCAGATAGTAAGTAGAAGTGTACTAGTAATAAATAGTAGATAGAAGTAGAAGGGTAATAAATACTTTTGGCATCGTAAAAAGAATTAAATATGACATTCTGTGCAGTTAAAAAATTACTCACAAAAAAGGAAAATGTGAGGAAGATTTCTTTTCATGAGTAAGTATTTTGATTCCACACCAAGTCACATAAATTAAATTTAATGTAAATAGCTAATTCTAGCTAATCTATGTCAGATAGTCTTGTAAGTGTTATGAGTATATTTTATTTTCATTTAACCAACATTATTGATACTTTCCATAATATAAATAAATATAAAATATAAAGTAAATAATATTGACTAAAATAATTTTGACGTTATTATTTTATCGTTATTATTTTTGAAGAAAATATGAGAATAAAAATTTATGACGCCCGCGGACACCCACAGCGACATGATGAAGTTGGTTCTGAAACGATCAACTTCGACCGACTTAACGGTATTACTGTGTCAACCAATAACAACTTTTTGACATTTAACTATAATTCCAAGCTATTTGATTAAACCGATAGCAGATGGCTGAAAACTAATACAATACAATATGATATGATATACCAATAATGAAAAAAATAACGTAATAAAAACTTACCCTTATCTGAAAAAGGGCTCCAATCTCTTTACATAAATCATTCACGTGCTTATAAGACTCCTTGTTTGCTTTGTTACATAATATCAATGCTGACTTAAGGGGAAACATCAAGGTATAGTAGGTGCATTTATATTTAACTATGTTTGCGTAGTTTTCCGGAGTGAACAGAGAAAGGTCTTTTGCTCCCGCCATAGAGGCGTCTAAGTGTTGGCCTATGGCTATTTGAATGTACGCCTGTGAACAGAAAATTACAAATTTCTTTTGCAGTGTTCTGAATGGATTATTGCTATTTTATTTTAACAAATGACGATCTGACAACTCGCTCATTTACAACACACAAGCAAATACATGCATCATGTTCTTGTATTTTGTTTTAAAAGTAATAATTCAATATCGAGAAGATCCTGTCACGTTAAGCGACTACTAAGATTGCAGTTCATCTATTTATTAAGATTTTACCGTTCTCATTATATTTATGTCCCTACCTGGAGCATCGGAATATCTACATAAATACAACACTGTATGTAAGATACTTAAAGGTAGAGACTAATATTAATATTTATTTATTAATAATAATATTATTTTTACCTCATTAAATAGGGTAGTCAAATTTGTGTACAATGGCTCTTTAAAGTTTTGCTGGATTATTTCGTGAATAAAGCTGCGGAACATGCTGGCATCGTTCATAACCAGGGTTTTTACTTCTGGCAACAAGTGCCAGCATGGCTTTCCACAGCGAGTCGCTGCTCCATCTTCTAAGTCGTCCATGATAAGGAAGTATGACTGAATCTAAAATTGTAAGTCATTATTGAAATAATTTATATAAATGAAAATACAGTAACGATAAATCCAATTACATTGTTCACGCACACGTATAAATGAAATAAAACAATAAAATAATCTTTCCCCGTATAAATAACGTAATTACATCCTTTAATTACGTACTACACAAAAGTGAATTAACTTTCTAGGAATATTAATTTACGTCACGTAATGGGAAATATATCTCAAGCCGTTCTAATTGGTGGAATTTCCGTCTTATTCACTAGGAACCAAAATGAGGAAAATAAGCCACTCACACCGAATGCGTTACGTGGCTTATACAAAGAATTTCAATCTTTTGAGGAGAAATGAACGTCATAATATACGATTTGTACATGAAACGTCCATTATGTGCGCTATTTTTTTTTATTTTTCTTATTTCTTAATTGCGATAATAACGCTTAGGCTAGTCCCAAGCCTCATGAAAACTACCTACCCTTGAGGGTTAAAATAAAAGTTAAAAATGAAAAAACACCCCTTGTTTAATAATAACTTATCAATGGCCTGTCGTCTGAAGATGCGAGAAAATATTTGTTTTCAAACACAAGTCAACTTTATTAGTACAGTGGATAGTGAACCTGTTTCTTGAGTCAGAGGATGAGGGTTCGATCCCAACTACTGGATGTGGAGGTGCAAATGTTGTGTGAAGAACATAGCGCAGAATAGAGAAGAGTTCCGTGTGGTGGTCGCCGACATCCGATAGGATAGGGCACCCCAGAAGAAGAAGATAAAAGAAAAGGATGTTTAAGGGTGTCTATCAATTCCTCAGACTCCACTGGTGTCAGTTATGGACTAGATAACGTTGTGCGGAAACTAGTACCGAAATATTTATTTTAATAAAAATATTCATCGTGGCACGAAAACCAAAGTGGGAACAAATGATTAATATACCAATTCTACTGCCCAAGCTAAAACAACTGCTTGATGAAGCGTATGATCTTTGATTTTCTCAGGTTGTTCGAGCATTTCGTACGCTAGCAGCGTTATCTGCCCCTGAACTGGTACTCTCTCAATAGTGTGGTACTCAATCATCTGAAATAGAAAGTGATTTCTAAATGACATCTCAAGAAATTAAATATGGGTGGTGATTACGAATCTGCGCCTAAATCAAATTATCGGCTGGTATTTTAAACACTGTTAAGTCGTTAATTTAGATAACTCAGAGAAATCTCTTTCAAACCACTATTCATAGCGATTATTAAAACCCACCTTACGTACAAACGCTTACATCTTCGTTGGTGAGCAAAAGCTTGCTTAAGAAATTAGCAGCTAAATAAAAGTTTGTTTTACTCGAAGTCAATGACAATGGCAATGTCAAACAATTAAAAGTAAATTACTTTTGAAATTAAGATGTGTTTTAGATCTTATGTTGGTGATACTGCATTAAGTATTCAGTAGTTAACCTACCAAAGTTATTTATCTCACCTTTCTTATTCGCTCCCTTAATGTCGTTGTTTTGGCAAGGTCACTGATAGCCAACCCATCATCAATAATTTTAGATAAAGAACCGTTTAAATTTGTAGCCCTTTGTAGTAAATGTTCCTCTCTTATATTTTGCCTAAAAATAACTTTTTTAATCATTTATCTTGACATGATGAGTGTCATATTTGTAATACGTCCCTACTGTTTAAACTTAAGTGGACGTATTCGAAATAAGTTTGTTTCATGTCTTCGCAGAACAATTGGTTTGTGTCAAAAAAACACTTTTTTTTATTATTATGAAACAGAACCGACTTCAAATACCTAAGTTAGTCAATCATCAACTTTATTTTGAAGAGTTCTCTGACCGTGAAAGTCAAGGACCAATGATCATGAAAAATGCAAAAATAATTTTTAAAATCAGTTTATAAATGACAAATAAAAAAGTACGGTAAATGTAAATAACTTTAACTCCGGCGTAATTCAATTAAAATAAATTTTAAAGGATAGAGAAAAATCACTAATGAACTTATCAACAAGCAGAATTCGGCGGTCGCTTATAGTTTTCGAAAAAATAAATAGTGAAATAGTGTGAAGAATAATGAAATTTTTACTATAGAAATCCGCCATTTTTTTGTTGTCAATATGTCAATTTTGCTCGTATTTCTTGGTGGTCATAAAAAAAAAACCTAACCTCGAAGGTTTAGGCAGGAGCTCCGCTCCCGCCTTAACCTATCTATACTAAACGAGTATCGAACTATCGATACGAGTATGATGTCGCCGGCTTCCTATATTTATCATGTTGGCAGAACTGTGTATTGAGTTTTTGAAGTCAAATAAATAAAATGGTGGAATTCTTAGTAAAAATAAGAAGTTTTAAATATTTTTTTCTCGAAAACTATAAGCGACCGCCGAATTATGCTTGTTGATTAATTCATTAGAGATTTTTCTATATCGTTTAAAATTTATTTTAATTGAATTACGCTAGAGTTAAAGTTATTTACATTTGCCAAAAGTACAATTGGAATGAGATCCTGCTCCTTTTTTGGAATGAACTGTGGTAGGACCACGCAACAGCTACAGCTGTTGCACAAATGGGCAGGTCCGTACGGGTAAGTATCACGACCTCACAGAAGACCAGCATGAAGTGGAAGTGTTATACTTCTGCGTTTTGTGCTGCGTTCCGGTGAGTGAGATAGCCTGGGCCCACTTTGTTAAGAGAAAGATGGCAACGCATCTGCAACGGGTGTTGCAAATGTACATGGGTGGCATATATCAATTGACATCAGGTAAACCACCTGCTCGCTTGTCACTTCTCATATCTCTCATCGTTGAAAAAGACATAGGAAGGGTCCGTACATTATATTATTAAACTATACTTATCAGATTTTTAAATATAAAACTTGAATTCGCATGAATTTTTATTGTAATTCTATTATAAAATTATTGTATAATAATACTATTGTGATTCTATTATTCTATGATATTTATTGTAATTCTATATAATATGTAAGCGTTAGGTACATATTCTAATGGAAGGATCTAAAATGTTAATTAACATTATTATAAATTTTAAGTAAATTCAAGCTTACAAAAAATATCTAAACAATCAATGAATCAAAATTTAGTTTCCATTTTGTTGTGTAACACAAGTGTACAAAAACGTAACAGAAAGAAATATCTTTTTAAGTGAAGATATTTACTTACCTATTAAGACAGCTCCTAGTAGTTCTCCATAACCATTTACTGAGCGACATTTTGTAATTACAAATTATGAATCAACGACAAGCAAGACCCTCCAGTCTGGTGGATACAGACAGATTGACAGAAAAATGTATTACCGCCAAATTAATATTGACTAACGTAATGACGAACACAAACAGTGTTACTCACTAAAATATTTGCGTTCAAGTCCTATTAACTACAGCAAAAAGTTAATTAAAAAGGGCATATAGGACAATGGCAAAACAATTGCTGAGACAAATCCAGCTAATTAGCATAATTACAGATATACTCGTAAATATTATTCAAATATATAATTACACATATAACTGCTTTTAGATTTTTCAAATTTTACGCCTGTTCAAGTCTGGAAAAAATCATCAATTTTTAACCGACTTCAAAAAGAAGTAGGTTATCAATTCGGATGTTTATACCAATTCGTCATATATAGACGGTTTTGCAAAATTCTTTTCATGTTCGAAAGGATTTCATCCCGAAATGGTCCCATATAAATTTCATATAGATCTGATGACGATTTTCGATAGCAACGGAACTCTTCGAAATAAGACAGGAAATTAACCGCGATTGCTGCTATCGCATAAATATGCATTGTTACGCATATTACATTGTAATAGTACGTCATTTTAGTCCCGGAGCGCAAACCATAACGCCGAGTTCACAGATTCTCCGCTCGTGTGACTTATGAATGAGTGTGCTTGATTTTGAATCCGGTTAGGCCATTCTAGGATACGGCTCGGGCTGTGCAACACGTTGTACTACAATATTAGAAAACTTTTTGGAGTAAGTCTTTTACTTAATTATAACGTCATCCCATATTGGGGTCCAAGTTCCAACCAACGAATTCCGGTACGCAGCATCACCTGCCGAGAGATTCAAGGCGCCTTCGTGACTTCTATCCTGTTCGCAAACCTTTACCCAGCTGATGTTCCTCGGTCACGCAGAACACTGTGCAGTACCGGAGTATGTCGGCAGATAGAAGACGGACTTAGGGATTGCAATCCAGCAGCACTGTTGTCAATCCAGCGGGATTTTTGCTGAACATGAAAAACTTCAATACAGTAGGATCCCGCGAGATCCCGCAAAAATTATAGCTTTTATTTGGAATTTAAATAAGTATTATTTGTTATGTATGATCACATATTTATTTTAAATTACATAAGTCAAAAATATCTTACTACCTCTAATTGACTAATTATTTAAGTGTTGGACTACTTATTTATTAATAAAAAGTTCAAAAACAATTGCAAACATCAATATTTGGTAATTTTGTAGTCTTTATACTTTAGTTGACTAGTAATATTACTTCTAATCTTTATCTGAGCTAATTATAGTCAGTCTTCTTTATTCAGAGATTTGAAGTATCATGTGAATTTAAGTTTACTAATTTTCTTACTAAAGTAGAGAATCAATAAAAACGTGTAACAAATTTAAAAATATCAAATAATTAGTCACTTCTCTTTTTGGAAATATGATCTTAAAAAACAAATAGCATCAATAGTGTCATCTCCCAATCTACTTTTTATAGAACTACATATGTAGCCTTCTTATAAAAACTGTAATTCAAGGACAAGTTAATAAGCATTATACTTACTCTAGGTTTTTGATTGACTTCAGAACAAAATCAAACGTTTGTTGTTAGGGTAAGTGCCAACCTAGCGAGTCAAATGGTAACTAAACTGTTTAGCGCGACGAGTGGCGGTCAGCATGGAACGGGTTATGCGTGTATTACCAGCCGTGTTACTCCTCAAATTCGATTCGAATTTGTTTTTGTTTTCGATTCGAGCTCACTCTTGATTCGAACTCGATTTGAAAATCTTACTCCCGAACCGAATCGAAACTAGAAACAAGCGAGAGATTGAGAGCAATTTTTTTGAGCAAAAAGATATTTTGTGTTTTATAGCAAAATCATATTTACGAAAATTATTTTTTTTAAAAATTAATTGTAATTGTTTACTAATTAATGAGTTACTTTTACCAAAAAAAATAATAATAATTACTTCTATTTTATACTGAGCCTAATGAGTAAAATTGACGAATGAATTAGTGAAATTGACTAGTAAGCAAACTGATTAGTCCTACGCTAACTCTCCTCATCGACCCACTAACGGGGTTCAGCCAATGAACCCAACACATACAGTTCTCGTTTACATGTACAGTGCCAGAACAAACAACCTAGTCCGTTCTCCCCTACGAATACAGCGAAACCAACATAACGCTTACATAATAATAATTTACACTTCCAGGAACTCCGCTTCTCACCGCCCTGGAACGCGGCTGGATTTCCCAGCCACCGAATAGTAAACACAGTCGACGGACATCGTGGTCAGGGTCCGTACCGAACCTCGATGACGCCAAGGTGAGATGCCTCCCTAAAGGCCCATTTACACGATGCCATTTTCTTGTACATGCAAGAGCAATAATTGAATGCAATAAATTGCGCGCAATAATTGGTTAGACCATTTGTTGTTTAGACCATGCAACTTATTTATTGCTTCAATTTAATTGTATACAACAGGCAAGAAACTGGCACCTGTAAATGGGCCTTAAAATAGCGCACGCATTGCTCATGCGCAACCTTGAACGAAGAGGGCAGCTGCAAGATCGTGAGATAACTCTAGAGGTCTGCGATAGAGCTTTAATAATCGGAAGTCACATAATGAAAGCTATTTTTTGTAAAATTGTCCACTTTTGAGTTTATATTTATGGAATTAACAAATAAAGACGTCTTGACGATTTTTTTATTATATCTCTAATCTTTTTTGGTAAATATATCTATATATTTAAAAAAATATATAACATGTATGTAGTTAAGTAATTACCGCCGCCCCTGGTCATCAAGGAAGACTAAGACAATTCCTAGACAATAGTAAATAAGGAATAATTAATGTTAATATATATAAACAATATTTAAATGTTTTAAATTGTTTATAGTGCTAATCTTTGCACTTAAGATTGAACATTAAAATATGTAGAAAAAGTGCGAAAAGATTGTCGCCGCTGTGGGAATCGAACCCACGTCTTCGGCATTCGCGGCCTGACGCTCTAGCCACTGAGCTAAACGGCTGATTACCACACCGACGAAAATCTTAACGCATTCTTCCACATTGTTTTCTTAGCATTTGAAGCAATGCTTGGCGCCATCTATTGTTATATCCTTTCCAGCATACAAACAATTTCGAATATCGTTTTACAACGATAATTCGAACGAGAGATGTCGCCACATATTTTTCTACATATTTTAATATTTAAATGTATTTCGACGCGAATTTTAAGTATATGTAGCAGCGCCGGATTAAGCAATCATGGGGCCCGTTGCAATTGCTACTCCTGCTATGTGGTTAATCCGGCACTGATATGTAGTATCGTTACTATTGGCAAGAATTGGCGTTTCTAACGCATTTACTATTGGCATTTCAAATCAAAGAGTTTTTAGATGTAACCAATTATTAAAATAAAACAAGTTTGGTAACGAAGCAAAAAACACGAAAATTAGAACCTGTATATGCAAGAGTACAAAGTTTAGATTAAGTTTTTTGTTACTTTAAGTAAAACCCGATACCGAGATATTTTCATATTTAAACCGGACAACACGTGAACAGCTTTAAGAGGGGATAAATGCACGTGAATAAATCAATAAAGTTAGTCAGATAAAAGCAGAAGCTACAAGCAGCCGTGACTTTATCGCATAGTAGATAAAATTACATAAATTTTCTGTTGATTAATTTTCGTACTAGAAAATGACCTCTATTAAGCTTTTATTTAATCTTTCTAGGAAATGTTCCAGTTGGTATGTATTACAATTATTTATGTAATTACTATTTCAAATACGTGTTTATAATATAATAATTATACTGTATTAATATAATGACTTGCTTCGGTACTAGTTTTTATAGAAAACATGTGAAGAATATTGTAACATTATGAACAACTTATATTTATTATGAACAACTTATAACAGGTGTCCTCCGCAAAAAGCCATATTATCACAAGAAGCTTACGGTAAATTTCTTAATTCGTTATCCGTCATTGTAGACAAGGGCGTCAAAGAAATAAACCTTTTGGAATCAGTAGAACTAAAAGATAGAATGAAAAGAGTGAGTATTTCAAAACATTTTATCTATTTTACATTTAGCTTTATTATTTTATTTATTTTTCTTTCTGGTTTGAAACAAAATACACAGTACTTAGTTAAAAATTTATTCATATTACCTACTAAAGCTCAAAGCCTGAATTTACATTATTTAGCTGTTATTTTAATTACGACTGTAAAAAGCCAACCTTTATTATTTAAAGACCTTAATATAGAATGTAGGTAACAATAGAAATACATAAATTGTGTATTAAAGTGCGTGCTTGCTTGTGCGTGTGTATAATATATATTATGTTTATTATTTCTTAGTTACTATATAATTTACTATTAATAATATTAATAAATTTATTCAGACGTAGCTTAGTAATAACTCATATTGTTCTTATGTATCATTGGTAAAGTTATAGCTAGGAGATGTTTTTCTTATCGAAAGCAACATTAATTTGAAAAATAAAAACAAAACACTATGAGAAAACTTTTAAGATATATAATTGGTATTTATCAGGTCGCAGAATATTACATGCGTGGACGCAACACTGTACAAGGAGAAATGACAATTTTAAGTCATGAATTACTTAGAAAACCAGAAGAGGTAAATGGAAAATTACAAATCCAAGAATACGCGCTAGCCTGGTGTGTTGAATTGGTAAGAATCTTGAAAGAAACGAAAGCTGATTACGAACAGATATCTTTTAAATATGTAGTTGCACATTTATTTACTCGTATTTACAATATTAACACAACTGTGCATTATTGTAGCAACGGTTATATGTTTCTCAATATCGGGATGGTTATTGTTTTATTTATAACTGGCTCATAACTGATTCAACAAAGACTCAGAATATAATAGAAAGTGTATAATTTTTAACAAAAAGAAAACCGACTTCAATCAGAAAATTAAAACCATTGTTAATACCTATAGGATTCAATGATGGCCCTCGATTTCTCTGCGATGCCATCATCAGATCTGGGTATCTTTATCATGGTACCACCCTTGGGACATCTCCTTTCCGATAAAAAAAAGAATCATCAAAATCAGCAAATAAATGACGAAGTTATCCGCGAGCACACATAAAAAAATAAATATATACGGTCGAATTGAGAAACCTCCTCCTTTTTTGAAGTCGGTTAAAAAATAAAATAAAATAAAATAAGTAAAAGTTTATTAACTGCCTTATTTATTATAATCACGGGAAGCATTAACTATTATAAAATTAAATTTCGTTATGTTCCAGTTAATGTCTTATATTATCATCATCGACGATATTGAAGACGGTGCGAAAACCCGGTGTGGTAAGCCGTGCTGGCATTTGTTACCAGAAGTTGGCAACCTAGCCATGAACGATGCCAGCATGTTGCGGAGCTTCATAATGGAACTCTTGAAACAAAACTTTGAAGATTCTACTTATGTGCAATTTTCAAAATTATTCAACCAGGTACGCGAGAGAAATAGAGTAAAACCAAAGATATCACAAAATGGTGTTTGTTAAATTTATAAAAAATTATTACTTTAACGAAATTATTTCATACAACCTTTAAAATGAAAATGGCAGTGTCGTTTATTGTGGCGTTTTAAGGGGGAGGCCCATATGCAACAGTGGACGTCTTGCGGTTGAGGATGATGATGATTATAATTATTTACATTACTTAAATGCCGTGACAGCTCAGTGTCCGGGCGCTCGCCTTTAATTCAATACACTCGAGCAACCTGAGTTCGATCCCCGGTGCCGGCACCAATGAAGTTTTTAACTTTAAGTGCTGACTTATCACGTGCTCCGCGGTGAAGGAAAACATCGTGGGGAAACCTGCATATTTTCGAAATAATACCAAAAAAAATATATTTCGAAAATATGTGAAGTCCGCCAATCCGCAGTGGGGCCGCGTGGTGGACTATGCCCTGATACCCTATGTATAGAGGAGGCCTTTGCCCAGCAGTGGGACATGTATAGGTTGTTACTTTACTTAAATGTAAAAATGTTTGTTACATTTAATTAATATTTAATTTTCTGTCCCCACAGGCATTTTTTACATGCAACGTTGGACAATATATGGACGCGGTCGCATCAAGAAACCGAGATTATGACACATTTACGATGGAACATTACAAAAAAATTGCTTCATACAAATATGCATATTACTCGTCAAAATTCCCAATACTAGCGGCACTTATTTTATCGAAAAAAATTAATAAAGACTCCTGTCAAAATGTCGATAGAATATTTGGGGACATTGGAATTTGGAGCCAGATAAACGTAATAAATTCTTTAAATTTGAACTATATAAGTAATAACTTTATTTCAAGTAAAATTAATAATCAATAAATGTATGTTTTTGTAATGGTAATAAAAACAGTAAACAGTAAAACTGTGAAAGTTAAGAGTCAAAGTCGATTTTGCAGCGTTATGCTAACAATAGTCGATAGGACGGACGCGAAGGGCCACGAACCTTCCCCCAGGACATTTTTTGCATATAATTGCCTGGTTGCATATAATTGAACTAGCGACCTACCCCGGCTTCGCACGGGTGCAATTTATTATATGCCTTCCTCTTGAATCACTATCTAGTAAAGAAAGCCGCATCAAAATCCGTTGCGTGACTTTAAAGATCTAAGCATACATAGGGACGGACAGACATCGGACGACTTTGTTTTATACTATGTGATAAAGCTCTTAGCGGTAATTTACCTGTTAGAAAGTATATTTCTTTTTTCTTTTCATTTATTTGTACGCGTTATACCGTTTTATCCCTTAATAAACTATGATATTTTACAATAAACTTGTACTGTTCAATTATTGAGCATACTTTAATTCTCTAATTTTATATTACAGAATGACTTCACGGATTTTTTCGATGACGACACGAGAACAGGTAAAACAGGCTCGGACATTCAAGCCGGCAAATGCACATGGCTAGCGGTGATGGCGTTGCAGCTCAGCAACGAAACTCAGAGGAGAGAATTCCACGCGTGCTACGGCAGCTGGGAGCCAGCGAAAGTTGAGCGAATACGGACACTTTACGAGGACTTGAAATTAACGGACCTGTATTTCAGAGAAGAACGGTCCACCTACAGGAGGGTCGTGGAGAAAATTCGAAAGCTGCCGGCCGATGCCACGCCGTGTCCTGATTTCTTTCAAATTGTGCTTGATAAATATTACCCTAATGTCAGTTGTGGTAAAAGTTTTAAATTGAGTGCGATCAACGACCCTTAACAACTATATAACTGGTTATGTTGTTAATCTTGTTTAACTAGGCTAGGGAGGTATCACGGTCAAAGCACAGATCACACAAGCAACGCATACGGTACAAGTATTTATACTTAGGCATTAATCACTTAACGTTAGAACAACAGCTTATTTGTTTCTTATATACATAAAAAAAATTAGAAGGAAGCATAAATGTATTAAGTAACTCGATTTTTGAATAAAGCTAGCTGATCCCGGTTACTTTTCGCTGTGGCTTTTTTTGCTTCGGTAGAAGCTTCTGAATTAAAAGTAAATAAAACACCCTCCTGTTTAAAAGCTACGTTGTGACCAAATATTAAGTTAATCAAGCAGCTAGATTTTTAGTTTTGTGGATACAGACATAAACCAGATAGATTTTTATAAATAAAGATTATAATGTTAGTTATACTCTTTTATCTGTCATTGTCAAGAATATAAATGAGCTCTGCAATGTAACTAGTGGAAACACACATTATTGGCGTTAATAATAACTAGAAGGTCAGGAGTATATGTATAGGGTATTTTTTATTTTTATAATATGAAATAATAAACCCAATACCATATAGGTATATACCTAATAATATTATTAAATAAAAATGATATGAGTAAATTATTGCCTAATATTTTAAAGCATTCGTGGTTACGGGACAAACAGATGTTTGATGTCTATATGCTATCATTCAGCGTTCAATTACAATTCGCGTCATTTCATCAATTGCAATTTAAAGACATGACTGAAATCATATCTTGTTTATCCCTCATTTTAGGATTTATGTTGCATAATAGAAGGTGTTTCATAAAAACAATTTTAAACCAAAAAAACAACAATATTTCTAGTTATTTTAGGAATTCACTTCTTTATGAAAGGTGTTATGTACGCTATCTTTAATCAATTATGTTAACAACCTATAAAGAGAACTCGTGTTAAGTATTTGTGTTTTGGATCAAGCAGGTATGGTAACATTTTTATAGAAGCCGAAATGTAAAATGCTCACTTTTCTTTAGTGAAAGAAAGATCTATGTGTGGCGTGGCCTTGCACTTCAAAGGTGCTATGTTCTAACCACCACATTATATCACCCTCATTCATAAACCAACGTCTTCATTCCATTTCATTCATTTTCGCAGTTATCAAAATCGGTCATTATATTATAAATAGGTAATGTGATTTAGCTAACAAAAACATTAGCAGGAATCAAATCAAGAGAAACAATGAGTAGCAGCTGTACCTGCTAATTATGGCCTGTAAATTATGGTTACATAATTTAATTAAAACTTTAAACAGATAAATAAAGAAACCATTTCATTAAAAAAATCCTGTATACATTTTTTAATTTCTTTATCATAAGATGTTTAGTTATTTCAAAACATGATACAATTCATAACATTTCCCAGATTACTTAGACAAGTTACTTTTGATATTGGCCATTTTACTCAAAAACCGTGATGTACAATAAAGTACGTTTCATATTGCTATATGCTCCTATTAATAGTCCGTAGATAAACGGACAAAAACTGTTGGCGCTACGGGATTCAAACCTGCGTTTTCAACTGTGTTATCTGGAAGACGCAGGTTCGAATCGTCAAATTGTCGATTCGACCAAAAATATGGAAAACAATAAATACATACTAATTCTAATGTACTTCATGGTAGGAAAAACAATCATGTAGGTACTGGTGGTACGTTATGATCTATATAAAATTTATGTGGTGGCTATATTTTATGTGGTGAATATGCGTTTTGGTTTGAAAATTTTGTGCTGTTAATGTGCAAATGTGCGGGAAGTCGATGGATGCAGATGTCTCAGAACAGTACTTCGTGATGGTCTGGATATTATAGCCTCTCAGCTCATCCTTGATCTATTCTATCTGCGCTATTTATTTTTCTTCTTTATTTGCAGACTGTTTATCTCTTTTGTTTGTTTGTTTCTTTAAAGGCTTATTTGTTACTAGTTGAACCCTATACGAAGATTGTGTCTCAGCATGACTGTGAATGGTTAGAGCAAGATCAAGACACAATAAAAGGTTCATTTATCAATTTTATATGGAACAATAAATAAGTATCTGAATTCCGTTATGTCCGTTAGGAGACAGCTATAGAGATATAATAGAAGGTTCCCAATATCAAGTAGGACACCCTTCTAATCTACATTTGCGATAATAATAAATATTTTTTTTACTGTCGCTACTTTAATGCTGCCCTTACTTTAATGTACCTTCTCCTGATGGAAAGGATGAAGATGTTTCATTGGAAATTGATACTAATTTATATTACTGACCATTTATGGAAAATGAACGAAAATATAATATGAAGAAAATATAAATTTGATTAATGGGGAATAAATTAAAAAAAATGGAATTTAGAGATATTGCAAAATAGCTTGTTTATGAATATAACTATGGTTGTATTTTTCACGGGTATGAGTGTGATGTTCAAGCGGTAAGCACCTGACCCACACGTTTGTCAATTTTTCTATTTCGAATCTTGGTGTTGTTATCGAGGACGTTATGTTTTTTTATTTGGTTCATAATGTAGACTCCTTTATACTGTTTGTGTTTCTCGTCAGCTCTCTTTCTGTAAAGTTTGACACATATCTAACTGATAGGAACTATGGTCGGCTTAGAAATACTGGTTGTTTACTATGATTTCGACTAAATTCATAACTGGATTATATTTCAATACACATTGAAAATAAAAATAATTTTACATCAGAAATATAATCGACAAATACAAAACAGCATATCTCGAATATGATGTGGTTTTGTTTCTGTCCCGCATCGTCCTTATTACAGATTGATACGTAATACGAAACCTGCGTGACAAGTCTACTAAAAGTCAGAGTGCATTCGCCCGCGCCTCGTCGGCGACGCGCCTCCATTCGACGCGATGGCGGCACGGTCGCAGCTCCTGCGCGCAGGTGAACTGTTTTTAATTTGTTTTCTGTGCACTTTATGGCCAGTTTCAATATGTTAACATCATCACTATCACTATTAATTTGAAAACGATTTTTTTATTCTATACAAATTAAATATTTTTGTAAATGTAAGGCCTTCCCGGAGTTGTCAAAGATGTGTGTGATGATGTGTGAATAGTTCTAGCCTTGGGTACGATATTTATCGTTTAATGTAAATGAGAATAATTAAGCAAAACTTAGATCACGTTACACATTCATAGTCTGTAATTCTATCGCTACTTTATATGCGCCAAGGCTTGTCTCACCGAGGCCTTATGGTTTTCTTAACGCTTTCCTTTGACACAATTACTTGAAGTTATGCGGTTTATGAGAATTTAATTTAAAAAGTAAATTCCAAGATTTAGTATCGCGATAGTATAGATAAGTATATTAGTTAGAAGGATTCGGTCTTTCTTATGACAACCCATGTGAATGGGTTTAAACGGAACAACTTGTGTACATTATCAACTTGCCGCTTAGACAATGTAAACATAACAATTACGTAAGAATAAAAAACTGAAATGTAAATAAGACGCAATTTAGTATGTATTTTTTATTTAAAATTTATTTCCAACTTACTTCCTCACATTAAAATTTTAATTTTAAATAAGAATACAAAGTGTAAAGTTTTGTTATGTCCACAACATACTATATATACATATAACGTAAGCCAATCTGTGTGTTCATTTCGAAACGTGGATTTTTTTTAAATAGATGCGCCGTCTCTGTAAATAATCATCTTTTGTAGCGTATAGGCTTTTGACTACCGATAGGAATTAAAGTTTATTATTCTGAAATGTTTCAGTATATAACAACCAGCAAGTAAGAAAGTTGCATGAACTAAAGAAGAAGGAAAGACCTGGGGTTGCCAGATTGCGTGAAGTGTTAGATGATAGATTGCAAGAGATAAAAAAAGCGAAGACCTGGAAACATGAAAGGGTTCTAACCTCACCTCAGGACACTAAGGTAATAATGGTAATTTTTTAAGAAATTTGACTTTCCTATTTATGCACCACTTTATAAAGTAAAAAATATAAGTACTAAGTTCATCTGTAAGTAATATCTGTAAATAAATACGCTAAAAATGCAGGTATTAAAATTTTATTTAAAACTAATATGCGCGTACTCTTACGATTCCTTTTAGTTTTAGGGCATAAAATAAACACATATTTAAAAAACTTTATAACATTTTTATTTTTAATAAATTTTAATATGATAGAAAAAATTTGAATTATCACTAAACTCTTGTGAACTTATCGGTTTTCTCATTTATAAGACATAAATGGTTTTAATGCAATATTAAAACATTTTGACAATACCGACAAGACATGAAATGAAAAGTCCTCTTGTACTGTTTCAGAATAATTAATGAGTTTCTTATCTTATCGCGGACTTATCTTGTGTTTACTAAAAGAGACTGCGCTGTGTAGAATATCATAAAAAATACTTTTTCAACACTCTCAATCGTTTACACATATAAAAATAATATATAAAACATATATATTACACATGATATCTTATTTCATTTTCAGGTGAAAGTCAAAGGAGCGGAGGGGGATTTCTTAAACTTTTGCGCGAACAACTACCTGGGTTTATCTGTGAGTTGGGATTACTTCACGAAAAATAATTCCTTTAATAGCGTACATTTATAATACACTTGCATTTATACAATACAGAATCATCCAGAAGTGGTTGAAGCAGCGCGCGAAGGTCTAAAGAAATATGGCGCGGGGCTAAGTTCTGTTCGGTTTATTTGCGGGACCCAAGTCATACATAAGGTGAGTAACGTCGTATCGTAAGAATTAGAGATGCGTTGACTATGGGCTTAACCAATGATGTATAATAACATAGATCACGCATGTCCATAATTCGCAGCATTTAAAAATTGTTACGCTTTATATTATATGACATATAATAAGTTAATGTGACAGATGATATAGATTCTATATCATCTGTCACATTATCTGTATCATAGAACGTATGATACGGAAATAGATAGCAGTCTATATACTTGCAATCTAATTACACAAATTGGTATAACTTGAGCGCCTAAATTTCGGTGCGCTAGTCTCATATCTACCTTGTATTACAAATACAAGGTAGATAAAGACTACAACATCATTGGGTTTAACCGAATACGAATATTCGCCGGAAATTCGGTTCAATAGTTTCATACAGGATTGCGAGGCACCATGCAGTATCGATGATTCGGTACAAGTAAATACAAATAGGTGATCGAAATTAATGCCAATGCCAAGGGATATTTTGGCATGGCAATAATTGAGTATCGAAAAAGGTAATTGTATCGAACAGGCTTTTTACCGTCGATCGAAAATAAGAAAAATAGCATATATAACAAACCCCCATCCCCTTACTGGCCTTCTTTATATAGGTCTGGACACACACTCGTTAAGTCGCTCATAGTGCTTTAGTCTAACCTGTAGTTCTCTGCTTATTGTGGTTGTTTGCTATGATGCTATTGCCTCTACACCATATACCCAGCGTATAAAAAATACTCATTCGAATAAACATCGATACTTTAGTGGTAAACGGCATAATCTCGACAGATTTATAAGATGTCTGTATTTTTATGTCCATATGATTTATTTATGCCTCTTCTGGTGCTTAGTAAAGTAAAATTAATCGACAATCTTTGTACAAAAAAAACAATATTTTACATCATGATATATAATGTATATCTTAACAAAAATGTGTAAAAAATATACAATACTAGTAAGTTCGTGACGGTAGTTTCTGTTTGTTAATAAAATTAAAGCAATAATAACCTGACTATGACTATTAACTAAGACCATTAACAATTTATGAACTTACAATAAATAGCTATTCTTGAAATAAGTCACAGAAACACATGTTAACGTTTAATTTACTGTTACCTATTAACAGGAACTGGAGCAACGTCTCTCCGAATTCCACGGGCGTGAAGACACGATCCTCTACGGGTCGTGTTTCGACGCCAACGCAGGCTTATTCGAGTCCATGCTGACGCCAGAAGACGCCGTCTTCTCAGACGCTCTGAACCATGCCTCCATCATAGATGGTATCCGCCTCTGCAAAGCGCAGAAGTTCCGGTATCCCCACCGGGATCTGAATGGTTAGATTCGCACTTGTCATCGATGTGTAAAATGTGTGATTCATAATTTTTTTTCTTTTTACTATGATTTTTTTATGTTTGCGGTTTAAATGTACATGTGGCGTATTTGTGCAATAAATGTTTTCTTTCTTTCTTTCCTTCTTTCAATGCTCCGTCACCACGCCGCAACTGCTGAACGAATTTGTATGATATCATTAATGGTGACGGCAACTTAACTCAGGACATCTCTTCCGAGAGAAATACTACTTTTGAGAGAAATAAGCACTAAAACATTATTATATTGACAGAGTTGGAGCATCTATTAGCGCACAGCGAAGCCAGACAGAAGCTCATCGTAACTGACGGCGTGTTTTCCATGGATGGCACCGTCGCACCCATTAAGGGGCTGCGAGATCTGGCAGACAAGTACAGGGCGCTATTGGCGGTCGATGACAGCCACGCTACCGGCTTCTTTGGCGACACCGGACGGTAATTTTACCATCGAAACACTATGTGACACAAATATTTTTAGGGTTCCGTACCGAAAGGGTCAAACGGGGCTTTTTTGCTAAGACTCCGGCTGTTTGTCTGTATATATGTATGTCTGTCCGTCTGTCACCAGGCTGCATCTCACGAACCGAGAGAAGTTAGGCAGTTGAAATTTTCACCGATGATGTATTTCTATTGCCGCAATAACAACAAATACTAAAAAACAGAATTAAAAACATTTAAGTGTGGCTCCCCTACAACAGACGGCATGTCTGTTGTAGGGGAGCCACAGACGGCATGTCTTTTGCCGTTTTTATAGATAATGATACAGAACCCTTCGTACGCGAGTCCGACTCGCACTTTGCCGGTATTTTCGTTGTATTGGGGTCATGCAATAGTCTTATCTGTTACACGAACAGGCAGACTCGTTCAGAGAAGTACTAAGGCCAAACAGAAGACCAGCTTAAAGTTGAAGTATTTACTTCTGTTTCGCCTGGTGAGTGAGGTATCGTGGAGTCCTTAACGAAAAATATTTCGTTTAGCCAAGATTTTGTTATTTTGTCTTATGTTCATCGTTCCTTGCTTAGTTTTTATAGGAAATCATTTAACAATCAATTTAATGTTAAGACATCATAGCCGATGACGCCTTCAATCTGTCTTTCCACCCAACGTAACATAAAATATCATAAATAAATATAAATATTGATTATCATACATACATAAACAAAATACCACATAATTAAAACCAAAGAAACATACAGTTACATAAATCAGATGCTTCTATAAATAGCTCATTAAAAGAATATTGAATACACAAAAACATCACATATCGGGTACCAGGGGCACAGAAGAGTACTGCGGTGTTATGGGCGCGGCGGACATAATCTGCTCGACGTTGGGCAAAGCGGTGAGCGGCGCGGCGGGCGGCTACACCACCGGCCCGAAAGAGCTGATTACATTACTCAGAAACGTGTCCAGGCCCTACCTCTTCTCTAATGCCCCGCCGCCACCTGTAGTCGCCGCTTCTATAAAAGTGAGCACATAATCCTCACGATTATCACGCTAATCTCACCTTTATTTGGTGATATTTCCGCTTCCAACACTAGACTATAGAAAGCTTAGTTGGTCACTTCTCTTTTTCAACAGACTGCAAAAAAGGTTCTCAATTCGACTGTATTTTTTTGTTTGTTTGTTACCTCAGAACTTTTGACTGAGTGAATTTTTATTTGAAAGTTGAGTTAGATCTTGGGCTCGGAGATACTTAGGAAACTCCTGAAAACCAATTATAAAATGAATACAGAGCGAGATATTTGAATTCGGTTTTGTTTTTCATTTCTAAAAAAATGGACTTGTTCCTTAATGAAAAATGCCTTTACTACTTTAAGATAACATTATCCTGTGTGTAAGGACGTTTAACAAACATAAGTTTCACGTGGAAAAACACCCAGATGCGAAACAACTATCTGTGGGTCACACAAATATTTGTTTCCATGTGGGGATCGAACCTACGACACCCGACGCTGTAGCCAATACCTTGATATTAATACCGCACAAAAACTAATGTTTTCGCTAACATCTAAACATTTTGTACGAGATCTTGAAAAAGATACCTGGACAGACCGATTCCTCAAGTACACACACACGTGCCTAGCGCAGTAAATAGAGGCCTTATTTATTTATTTATTTTTTATTTCAATTCTTTTCTAACATAGTTTTTAAGTTACCCTTTTTTATGTCAGAAAGTGGCCAACTGTCTAGCGAATCACCCCATGTTAAGAGATTACCACCGGCCTTGGATATTTGCAATACTCGTAGGATTGAAGAGAATTGTCAATAGACGAAAAGCAGAAATATAACAACACCACTATAACACTACCACTTTTGTGAGGTCTTGGTACTTACACATGTACTTACCTGTTCGTGAAACAGCGAACTGTTGTGTGGTCTTACCACAGTAACATTTGCTTGTGTTATACTAATATTTTGTATGCAATATGGTCCGAAATAAATTAAAATTATCATCTTCTTGTCCTCGTGTTTTGCCTTTATGTCAAACGACCTTAAATCCCGTGAAACGTTCCGCTGGAGCTAACTGGGGGCAGTGAAAATGTTGCATTTGTAAGAATCATTATTCCAGTCGCTAGATTTGGTAGCCCCCATAAAGAATAATTCTTCCAGTCACTAGACATGGTGTATTCACCATGCACCTTTAAAGAATGATCAAATGTGGTAAGGCCACGCAACGGCTTCGGATGTTGCACGAATTGGGCAGGTCCGTCCGGCTCAAACACAGAAGACCAGCATGAAGTGGAAGTGTCATACTGTACCTCTGCTGAGGAAGGCAGCCGGGACCCACTTTATGAAAAGGTGGCAACGCATCTCAACCGGGTGTTGCAAATCGGACGCGGTTATCACTAAACAACAGGTGGGCAGCTAGCTCGCTTGCCACCGTCTCACATAAAAAAGAATGACTCTTCCAGTCGCTAGATCTGGTGGAGAACAGCAGCGAGCTACGTCGGCGACTCCGCGAGAACACCAGCGCGTTCCGCACCGGCCTGCAGACTGCCGGGCTGACGGTGGCCGGGGACGAGCATCCCATATGCCCCGTGATGGTGGGCGAGGCGCCGCTAGCCGTGGACTTAGCGGCCGGGATGCTCGGTGCGACATAATTTCTCTTTTCGACCTACTTCAAAATAGGAGGATGTCGATTCGGCACAATCGAAACCTTTCGAAGTCAGTGCCTTAGTAACAAGTTAATACAAGGGGTATTTTTAATTTTAACACCTATAAATGGATACTAAACTCAAAGTGAGCTTTTCGAACGACTTCAAAAGTGGTCCGACGTCTGAATTTGGTTGTATTTTTTTGTTATTTTTGCGTGATACAGTGTATTAGTTAGGTTAATACCGTATTAGTTACATTGATATTGAACCTTGGTCCCAGGTACATTAGAAAAATCCTCAAAATCATATTAAAACTGTAATCACTATACATTTTCAATTTGATTTTGTAGATTTTTGAAGTCAGTCTTGTTTTTTGTTGGTAGAAATTATTTATCTTTTAATATATTACAACTACGCTTACACTGTCCTTTGTTCCGCCAGGGGTTTTGAACACAGAAAAACAACGTATTCCGTAATGATTCATACTTCTCAGATAATGTTTATAGTGCTTATCTTTTAATAGATGCGCCAAGCATTGCTTAAAATGCGAAGAAGCAATGAGCAATGCGATCCTCGAATTTTCTACGTGGTAGACATAAGATCGATAGCGGTGCTTAAACATTTTGATTTCTAAAATCTGGTATTTTATTTTTTTTTAATTCCAGAGCGCGGCATATACGTGGTGGCGTTCAGTTACCCAGTGGTACCAAAAGGCGGCGCTAGGGTTCGTGTGCAATTGAGTGCAGCCCACACCCCAGAAGATGTGAAACGCGCTGTGAACGCGTTTGCAGAGGTCGCTAGGAGTGTTGGCGTCGTAAAATCATAGTTAACCTTATGAGATATTATATTTTTTTATATAATAATCATTATAAAGGGTCAATGTATAGTCAAATTAAAGCCTGTTGCGAAGAAAAATAAAATAAAATTATAAGAAACAAACAAGCTTTCGATTTCTAAATTTGTAAAAAACAACTCACATTCTTGTCTATCACATATTAAAAAACTGAACTGAAAAGCTGAAAAGCTGAACTTATATTGTTATATCATAATACATTACAAATCCGCAGCTGAGTTTGATGATTAAAATATTTGTGAAAAATAATTATATGTCTAACGTGTTAGAGTAAATGTTTACCAGACAATATATGGTGTTGATTTAGGAACAAAGATTTATACATAGCATCATCGTCGTCATCCTCCTGCCCTTGTGGGATAATCCACAAATACCTGTCCCATGTGGGAATCGAACCCGTGGGTCATTAACATAGCAACGGCGCCACCGAGTCAAAGCGTCAATATTAGAATTTTATAATTTCAATCCCTAAAAACAAATATTTTCCATACGAAACTATGGATGTTTGTGAGACAAAAATTAATCATTTTAATCATTCTCGTTAACTTAGTGTTTGTATTAAATGTGCTTTTTATATTAATACAGACTTAATGGCTTGTTTAACTATTAAAAAATATTTCCAACATTTGTAACTGTTTTCTAAGCTCAATAAGCATCTAATAAACTATTTTCCTTAATATAGCTCATATTTTAATTGATCCAAAATTTGTAGACAATAAAAAAAATAAAATAACACGAGAGATATTAACAATAATTTATTCATTAGTAACTCTCACGTTTATTGACAACTTCATATAACACAGTGCGGTCACATACACAAATCTCTCTACGCCCAGTTACAGACCAAATTATATTTTAATTATAAATATTTACATTGGTATCAAATCATATCATCGATGTATTTCCGAAATGCGTGTCAATTTGGTTCCTTATCGTGCCGCATTTGGCCTGAGAACATGTTCGATGTAAAAAAATCTAAATAATAAATGCTATCTCTCTTATATGGACGGTGCGTCCATTTATAAAATCCATCTACGGATATAAACCGCTCAGTGTTGCCATTAACGCCTAAGTATTTGGAGGGTTGCCATTTCTCAACAGAATGTTGCCTTAAGCACAATTCGTCGAAGGACGAGGTCTGAGCAAACTTTATACTAATTAAAAACACAAGCTGTACACGTGGATGGAACGGTTTCTTCTATTCAGTGTCTCAATATCGGAGGTTTCACTGGCGGACCTGGAAAAAGTAAATGTTAAGTACAGCTAATAAAAAAATAGTTAAAATAAATCGCGATTGAAGATTCATTGCAGATTCAATGCTGCGCAAGGAAATGCATTTCTTGATGTTTGCGAAATAAGTTTTAAGTGCCGAAATAACAAAGTGCCAGCTAATTGAAAAAAAAAAAAAAACAAATAAAGATCAAAAAGAAAATAATACATAGATAACCCCTCACGCCTACACGCGTGTTACATAGAGTTAGGACTTAACTGTATAAAATACAGGAAGCAAATAACGCTAACTCCTATCAGATGATAAGACTATAATTTGGACTCTCATAACGTCCATTCCTACGGAAAAGTCGTTTAGAACAAATCGTTCCTTTTGCCTGTCAGTAATACGGTGTTCAAAATAAATGCAAAGAAAATAACAGTATGAGTCTCACTTTTCTTAAACTTTGACCCTTCCCTAATTATAACAATGATGAATGAATACGTCGAAGGCTTCCATTGTACATGTAGAAGTAAAACGACATAATGCATTATAATTAGTAATTGTCAAAATGAACATTACGAAAATCAACCTTAGCAGGAGGAATTTCAAAAGCATTTTTAATTTAAAATAATAATGAAACGGAAAATACATACACGATATTTTCTAAATTAGCTACAGAATTTTTCATAAACCATCTAAAGCTCATAAATTCAGCTTATATAGTTAGTAAAAAAATTGTGAAACTCAATATAATACACAAAAATCATCTCGAAACGAAAAAAGAACTAAATAACTAATGAAACACAAAATAAACTAGCCATCTGAGTCACTTTCAGATTTAATCGAGACACAATCAAATTGTCCAAAAAATGAACAGAATATTGTTCATATAAAGTTATATTGTTCTGTATCCGTTGGAAGTTGAAACTTCGAAAAAGTATAGTACAAAAATACTCTCCTGTTCAATACGTTGCGAACAAATATTGAACAATCCATCGGCGCTAGTTTTAGATTTTTGTTGGCAAAAACATACAGAAGCTAAATTTCTACATAAAAATAATATATGTTTTAAAGTTATCTTAATAACTGTACGGCACTATCTCTTGTACTTGTTCAAAGGGTCATTTGCAGCAAGGCACGCTCACCTTTAGCAAGGCTGTTTATAATAAATAAAGCAACCTTGATGAGTACGCGTAAGGAAAATAATTTCGAATGCATTTCATACGATTCGGCCTTTACATTGTTGCCGAATGGTCTGAGTAGGGTTGCCAACTGTTTTCGAGAAAAATAAAGTATCACATTTTTCCTGTAGAGAAAAAATTAAGTATTAAGAAGAAAAATTAATTATTTATCTAGCACACACTCACAGTTTTTCAATATATCAATTTTTTTGGAAACTATCTTACATTCGCAATTTAAATTTAAACAAAAAAGCATTGAAAATAGAGTATTTTCACATACTTTATTTTTATGCAAAAGTATAAAATATATTTACCAAAAATAAAGTAGGATACGTTATAAAGTATGGTTGGCAACCCTAGGTCTGACTTTAATAAAGTCATAGTGTATGATACTGAATTATACACAAACAAATTCGTGATGTTTACAGAAAATTTATTTACGATGCCTGTTATAATCAAAATACCGAGCAGCCGGAAATATATTTGTTTCTCAATTATTTCTACAGCCTATATTTTAACCTTGGATTTTCTAATAAGTATTCCAACTTGGACACGTACTTGAAACATTTACTAAAAGCTTTATGCGACGCGTAATATATATTACATGTATTTTATTTATCATTTATTGAATTTTTTTGAACATTTTACCATTTTGTTGAAGTCACATAAAAATCACAGTTAAGACATTTGAACATATCGTAATTTATAGTTACTAAAAAACAACGAATATATGCTTATATAAAACCCCTAGTTGTTGAAAAATTTTAGGTAACATTATTTAAAAAATATATGCATATATTCAAAGTTGTTTTATCTATTATTCAATAATTTTGTTCGAATGAAATCTATACATTTTATCAAATTTATTCATTTATTTTATCCGTTATGATTTATTCCACTTGGTAAATGGACAGAAATTTCCAGTCCTTGTAAAGCTCAGGGGGGACCGGCTTCTTTAAAAAAAAAGGGCACTCGTACTTTGTTATTGTATTCGTAATATATGTAAGTGATAGCAAAGTGATATGTTGATACAATGTCTAGACGCATTTCAATAAAGGCAATCTACCAACTCCGATTAAACAATATGAATACTTAATTACTCGCTAAAGACTGATTGATGATTTCTTTTAAATTCATTGTCGGGTAGACCACGCAATCATAAATGAGGGTTAAGAATTTTTCTAAGAATTCGATTATTTTAAAATATATTCTCGAAACATATACACTGGCACTCATTAAAATCTTGAAAATATTCTCTGTGCATCCCGCTCTCACTACAAGTTGATGTATCATTGCATTATGTGAACATTTTGTTTTTCAGATGTAAACAAATTTTTATGATCGAGCCCTCGATGTCACATGTCTAAGACTTGTAGAGGCAACTGTACTTGTTTGAATCGTAAGTTTACCCGCAGCCTAGATTTTCGCATCACTACCACGGCCTATGTGTATATGTCCCACGACTGGACGACGCCTTCCACAAAACAAATAATGACTAACGCCCGGTTTCTCAAACACTGATCTTCGCAAACCGGGCGACAGTCTGCAATGCTAACCTAATGCGCACTTGGCATATCTTCGATATATTTTGACCTCTGGTCACGTGGTAAATCGACCTTTTCCTTGGTAGCGGGTATGACCCTGATAATTTATTTTACATAAAAATTGTTAGGCACCTGGAGTTTGAGTGGTGATGCTGGTGGTTGTAGATGGCGTGGTCGATGTCGTGGTCGTCGATGACGTCACCGTCGACGGAGCCAAAGTGCTCACTGGTTCGGTACGCCTCTGTAATGGAAATAATCGAACAAATTTTACAATAAACACGTATCATACGATGTTATCTGTCGCTAAACATACACAACCTCTTTACAATCTTCGAACTAAACGGTTGGCTTTCTAGTTACAAGAAATGATTTTTACGCTTCGACTTAATCATTATCTTCCATGAACTCTCGTAACGTTCATGGAATAGTAAAGATTGAAGAAGGTTAAGATATACAAAGTAAAGATAATAACAAATCTTATGCCATTAGCGTTAGTTTAGTTTATTTTTTCAAAAAAACCGCATCGAGATCCGTTGCGTGGCTTTAAAGATCTAAGCATACATAGGGACAGACAGACAGCGGGACTACTTTGTTTAATACTATGTAGCGATATTTATTTTTATTTATTTATTTAAAATTTATTGTTTACACCTCAACTTAAGGCTAAACAAAAGGCAAACTTAATGCTAATAAGCATTCTCTTCCAGTCAACCCTGGGAGTAGAGAAAGTTTGACGCAGGTGCAAAACAAAATACGCGATATAAATTAAAGAAAAATAAATAAAAGAAAACAAAAAAGCAAAGGTACATTTTATAGAAATATACTTTACTCAAAGATAAATACTTTACATATAATCATTAGCGATAGTGATAGCGATAGCGATCTTACATTTATCTCCTGTAGCCTAGTCTGCAGGGCGTCGACCCTGCTGACGAGTGTGTCGTTCAACGAGGCGATCTGGCCGACGAGCTCGTCGTGCCTCTTGGCGTTGCTGGCCACATTAGCCACGGTCTCGTTGCTCCTCAGTTCCAGCTGATGGAGCATGGTCTTTACCTCGTCCACTCCCGTTGTGGCCGTGACCGCCTGCTTACGGGCTGAGGCCAGTGCCCCGTCGAAGCTGTTTATCTGTACAACGAAATATCCTCGTGAATAAACGCCTGAAACGTGCAATTGTATGAGATAGTATTTTTTTTGTGAGAAGGCGGCTGGCACCTGATGGTGAAAAACGCCGCCCATGGTCGTTTGCAACACCCGTAGTGTTGCAGATGCGTTGCCAACTTAAAAAAAAGTGGGCCCCGGCTACCTCAGTCACCAGACGAAACGTAGAAGTGTTTCCACTTGACGCCAGTCTTCTGTGAGGTCGCGGTACTTACCCGGACGGACCTACCCATCCGTGCATTAGCCAAGACTTTTGCGTGACTATACCACCGTAAAAGTCTTGCCAGTTAATCGACCTGCATGCTTTTAGCTTAATAGGCAGTCACTGGAAGTCCGAACGTCCTTATGTGGATGAGGCTCAAAAGGGGGCAAGGGCAAAGCCGCGCTTACCCAGCTTAAAGGCCACCCACTATCTCCAGTCAGATACCAACGCACAATCTCTCACTAACCATGGATTTCATATTTTTTTTATTATGTCATAAGGTGACAATTCACCTGGCGGTTCACCTGATGTTGAATGATAACCGCTGCCCATGGACATTTGCAACACCGTGGGCCTACCACATCGTAACATAAACTTAGACCATTTTAAAATAACTCACAAATAATACCCCAAATTTACACATTACCCAAACTGACCACGAAATAACATCAACGATCTACAAAATCTCTATTACATGTATATCTTTATCTCAACTTTCGCAACCATAACGTTTATCCATCACATCGAAAAAAAATTTAACACTGAACCTGAACGAATATACCCCGACTTTTATACATTATAAAACTAAAAGAAATTAACTGTTACGCCAGTTAACGTAATTAACATAATGGTACCTGGAGGACCGAGCTTTCCTCGGTTTTTTTTTTTTGGAAATAGAAAAAAATAAAAAATAAAGAAAATGATCAGGTATAGAAAAAAAGTAAAAAAAATAAGTGTGTTTATGGTCGTAATCCGAACCGCGGCCGTTTATGGGGCCGCCCGATTACCTACCGAGCTATTATAACATTTTTTTTGCGGCGAAATTTACGAAATTCATATTCGAAAAATGTTTTTATTCCCTGAAAACAGGGATAAAAGGACATTTTCTAAAAATGAAACCTAGCTAGATTCGCCCCCGAATCTACGCACATACTAAATTTCATGAAAATCGTTGGAACCGTTTCCGAGATTCCGATTATATATATATATAAATATATATATACAAGAATTGCTCGTTTGATTAACATAATATGGTCAGAGAGTAATATTTATATTTATTAGTTTCCGACTGAATAAATCATCAAAAGATCCCAAAATCGATTGACAATTACTAATAAAAATACTGTAAAAATAGACTGGTGATGTGCGTATACATACATAGCGACTCGATATTCGTTATTCGAATTAAAAAAATAATCTCGGGATGGCAGCCATGAAGTGTTTTCGAAAGGAAATTCATGAATGCGCCGTTCATACGCCAATGGGAATCACTGAAGTACGTTTAGTGATCTCATCGCGCTGGATGTAAATGAGACAAAAGCCGTGTCACAAACGGCGCAATTAAACGCGCCATTGTCGAACTCTGTTCGTGAACTGTTTTTCTCTGTGACATTGAGACGACGACTTACGACCGGTTTCAATATTATATCTATCTGTAGATTTGATTACTGGAGATTGATTTTGACGTAAGTATTATGTAGCTAATGTCAAAAATACTATACCTGTGCAGACGATTTGCAAATGCTTTGCCAACCTTTAAAATAGTAGGCCCCGGTTACCACACTCACCATACCAAACGCAAAAGTATAACAGTCCTACTTCACGCTGGACTTCCGCGAAGCCGTGGTACTTCCGCGGACTCGCCTGCCCATTCAAGCAACAGCAAAAGTTTCGTGGCCGTGCCACAGCGATCAGAAATACCTCTAACAATGCCGTTAGGGTATCTCTAACAATGGCGTTAGGGTCGAGGCAATAGCTCGTTTCGTATTCTTTTTTTATTTTATTTTTTACGTGAGCCGTGATAGCTCAGTGTTCGGGCGCTCGCCTTTAATTCAATATACTCGAGCAACCTGAGTTCGATCCCCGGTGCCGGCACCAATGAAGTTTTTAACTTTAAGTGCTGGACTTATCACGTGCTCCGCGGTGAAGGAAAACATCGTGAGGAAACCTGCATATTTTCGAAATAATAACAAAAAAATATATATATTTCGAAGATATGTGAAGTCCGCCAATCCGCAGTGGGGCCGCGTGGTGAACTATGCCCTGATACCCTCTGTATAGAGGAGGCCTTTGCCCAGCAGTGGGACATGTATAGGCTGTTTACTTTACTTTCTTTACTTTATTTTTTACGAGGTAAACATCCTTTATGGATGGATGAGGGAGGGGCAGGGTTATGTGGAAGTCTCAGTCAGAAACGGGTAACAATAAAAAAACCCATGCTGAACCCGTCTCTGTCGCGTCGGCCGGGAACACGAAAAGCAATCTTCTGCGACCCCGGCGCGACTATGGCCTTTTAGGCCTCCTTTACTACATAGTGCTGTACCGGTGCAATTGGCACGCACACGTCACGAGCCCCATATTGAGCGACAGACACCCCCATGTCTCCCGCTTAGGGTCTCACTATCAGGGGGGAAGGTCGCGCGCGTATGCCAGCCTCCTGCGCCCAGGTCTTCGGCGGCGGCATTCCAGGGTGGCAGTTGCCTCCCTTTCTCTCTCCGCGGCCTCCTTCCGGGTGATAATGTCCTGGTAATATGCGAGGACACCACCCAACACCCTCTCGCTGTCAACCATAGCACGAACCACGGCTCGCAAAGCTAGTGCCGTACCTGCGATCCGATCTCGCCGACGGTCCGCTGCAGCTCGGCCAGCCGCCGCGGCGTGTCGGCCAGCTTCGGCGCGGCGGACAGCTGTTCCGAGACCGAGGCCAGCTCGGCGGCCGTCTGCTCCACCCTCTTGCTGAGCTCGGCGTGCTCGCCCTCGAGCCTTGTGAGCCTCGCACTCAGGTCGGTCGCGTTCGCGCGGAGCTCCTTGGCGGCCGTGTGGCACACCTGCAGCGCGTCCCCTACGCCCTCGCTGCTCGTGGAAACTGTTCGGGAGCATTAACGGCCATTATATTAACGGCCATTAACTTGTTATTATTTTAACGGCCCTGTACAGCAAACGGGTGGCGAACGGGCTAGTGGTTCACCTGGTGGCTAATCCCCTGGCTGCTGATTTTGTACTTGAATAATTTTGTGTGCATATATAGTTAAAAAAAAGAACCGCAGAGTGAAGAACTATTTTTCCTTTTTTTTATATGAAAAGTTGCCAAGCGAGCAGGCGGTTCACCTGATGTTAAATGAATACCGCCGCCCATGGACATCTGTTTCACCCAAGTGTTGCAGATGCGTTGACAATCTTTTGAAAATTGGGCTCCAGCTACCCCTCTCCACTTTACGCCGCTCTTCTGTGAGGTCGTGGTACTTACCCGGACGAGCCTGCCCATTCGTGCAACAGCCAAGGCTGCTGCGTGGCCCTACCACAATAAAAGTTCCTTCCTACCACGTGAAAGTTTCTTTTTCCTTGCCGGTAATTCTCTGGACTCGTTCAGTTTAGTGAACCGGTGGTAGTTTTGACGCTCAATAAAAGCTTAAAATAACCCTATATTGAATAAAGAAACTTTGACTTTTGACTGAATACGGCAAGCGCAAAGTACTTCTAAGGATCTGCACACCTAACGAATTTAAGTGGTTTCTATTTCTTTTGCCTTGGTAATTTCCCCGCCGAGCTGGCTCATTAATACGACAGCAGAAGCCCTCCATCAAGGTGAAATAGAAAATATACATGCTACAGTGTGAATGATAACGACAATTCGAAAAGGTAAACAGGAAATCGATTTGGGCTAAGATGACCCTCGAAAAGCAATGAAACGAATTTAGAGGCTAGTTAAGCTTTTAATTCGTTATTATTTCGCTAGCTTTGTTTATAATGTCGAGGACTCGAACGGAGCGATTAAAGAGAAACAATAAATAGTTATACTTAGGTAATGATGGACTACGTTTCTCGGTTCATGTATCGCACGCAATAACTAATGAAAATTTGTCGGTAGTAAATTCATAACTATGCTATATACGAATACAGTGTGTGGAGAAACCTATTTTTCTTTTTGACTTTTCAAATGCCTTTTAGTCGGCGTTACCAAAAATTAATAAGAAATATTTAACGACAATTTTCAAAGGGTCCACGGAAGGCCCATTACACAAATCAACTATTGTTAGTCCAGAGAAATATAAACTACGCAATTAATTATGGCAATTTTTAATAAATAATGTTGGTGTTTGTTTGGCCGAAAACGTTTAGCATAATTTCCAAATTAAACTCGCACAAGATCGAAATTATCATTTCTGTTTTAGAATCGAAACTAGAAACAAGATCGTGCGTTATCAAATCCGTTAACTGTATCCGGCCTGTTACGTCACAGACTAATGTTCCATGTTTACGGTTGTAACACCTTTTTTTAGATAAAATGTTAATTGCATAATTTTTTCCGAAAAAATATAAATCTTAGTTAGTTCCAATTAAAGCCACCACTCGATTGTGCGCTGGCGTCAGAATTCGAGTCATGAATTCGAGTCAAACTCGATTAATTCAGAACTAGAATCTGTCGGGAGTAAGTTGCTCTGGCTACGTTCAGTCACTTTCATTTGGTTTTTTTCGATCGATTGCTGCCTAAATTCATAATACATTACACTTTTTAAAAATATCCAAAATGTGTTATAAGTTTATTTGCTCCTTTCGAAAAGTTAAAACTGCTTATTACTCTTGCCACTGATACAATGTCATGTTACCGCGAAAAAGGGGCACATGTGAGAGAACGCCCACGTTATAACAGTACTCGGTAGCAACATTATTGGTTCTTCGTTGTGAAAAATGAAGTGTGCCTTAATTAGCATAGTACATGGCTCAAATTGGGCAGGAAAGGTGCCCCAAAAACGCAATCGCGTAGGATATATACTGACAACAATCAGAGCGGCCGCTGACCTTTAACTAAAAGAAAGACATTCGTTTTCAATTGTTTCGAAATTGCATCTCATTGTAAAATTAGGTACCACCCGTATTGATACGTCTCGAATTTTGTGTTTGTTGTTGGAATGGTTTCTACTTTTTGTGTGTGTGTGACATTTTGGAAAAGCGATATCTATGTAATTTTATAATGAATATTTATAAAAAATTATGTCTTGCCTTTGATGAATTTAATGTAAAAATATATATTGCGACCTATGGTGTTAATGAGTTGGGACTATTTTGAATGTCTTGGTATTTTCTACGGAATTATATTATTATTTCATATTGGCGAACATAACAAGAGAGACGCACTGAACGCAGCGAATAACAACGGTCGGTAAATCTGCGCGGTTAGCGTAGGATCTACTTTCGACGGCACAGCGGACACCCACGCCTAGGCCTATCGCGCGCGAACGCACCTCTATCCATCTCCGTGCGGAGCGAGACGATCTGTCGCCTCACGTCCACGAAGAGCCATAGGACCGTCGCCGCAGAGACGACGCACACGCACAATCCTAGGGCGGCAGCGAGGCGGACGAAGGGGCGGGTGCGGCGGCGGCGAGCGGAGCGGCGCCCCCAGGGCTCGCCCTCGTCGCTCGACGCGGAGAGCAGCCGCCCCCCCCTCGAGCCCGCGCCCCCCACCAGGGCGTCCAACTCGCGCCGCTTCCGCATCTTCTTGCCAACGCGAAGCGGCACCGCCGCATGCACCGCGCTCTCCATCCCGCACTATCGCTACCGCGAACGCATCCGCACCGCACTTGGACCACCGTCACTTGTCAACCGTCTTAAGGAGCTTTCGACGCGAGCGTACCGCGCGGCGATTAACGAGTGAGTGGCGAATTCCCGAGTAGAGCACAAGTCGCGCAAGTAAGCGAAGCGATCAGGTGGGCAGCAGTACTACTCTCTACCGCTGCGGGTTAAAGATACTTTATCCATCGAGGCGTCCGCGGGCTAAATATAAAAATTATTTACTATTCCCCGCGACTGCGCAAATAACTTTGATTGATGTTAATACGTGTACAGCGTAGGCGAGCACTGCAATAATACAAAATACGACAGTGAAATAATTCCGTGTTATCAAAGGAGATACACACTTTATAACTACTCTGTAAGATATCCATAATAATAATATAAAAGCGAAATGTGAAAAAAAAGTGTATGTATGGATGGATGTTTGTTACCCTTTCTCGCAAATACTACTGAATGGATATTAACGAAATTTAACAATAATATAACTTATACATCAGAATAAAAATAGGCTATAATTTATATACATATTTTATGTCTTTCTGTCTGAATGTTACGCGTGTTTAATATATTATTATTAGAACATACGACGATTTATTATGCCAGGGAATGGGGAAGGTAAAACCGCTCGCCGATTTAAGATGGTAACAGTTTTATTGATCGCTCATTATGTAAGGTCATTTGCGTGTTAGCATTGACTCTACATGTCGCTATCGCTTTGGTAAACTTGATCTTGACTTGTCAGAGCTACGCGAATCAATTTAATTTCGCCCAGTCAGTTTCGAGACACTATTTGGAGATAAAGCTAATTTATACAAATTTGTATGAACAATTCAGACAATTCCTTCGGTTATATTGTCCTATCTAAATTATCTTAGAAAGTTTTAACATAGGAGTTCAAAAACTAAAAAACATGTTTTCGTAGATCACCAAACTAAAAATTTTAAAATAAAAGTGTAGGGTGCTTTTTAAGATATTTGCATTATGACTCTACTTTTACCAGTGTAGTGTATATTATACTATGATTAAAATAGTATAACAATTGACTCCAAGCACCCCCACGTTTTGCTTCAATATTTTTCAATCACATTTCATAATTTAAATTAATTGAAAATTATTTTCTGCTTTTTAGGTCGTTATTTATTATACGTGTGTTTTTTTAATTTTTTCATCATGTACTTTGCACAAGGATACTATTGGGTGTCGGATTTGGAAAATAATTAGGAAAATAGTAAAACTATTAAAAATGTTCCATTGTCATGGGTCTTTGACGAGTGTGCAAGGTTTGATTCAAATCTGATCGTTCAAAGTGGGGCAATATCTCGTTTAAATATACACACCGTTACATACATACAGGTGAAGCTAATATAAGCGTGTTAATAAGTAATATCCTATCCAATTTAACACATTTCCACATTCACAGAAGTAGATTTGCGATACCAGTGCCCGGAAACTAGACACCCTTTGAAATCATCTCAATCGTAAAGTGGGTCGGTTTATACTTTGTGCTCACTCCATAACGAATCCATGTCACTTACTTAATACAAAAGATTACAGGTACATTCACTGATACGTTAGGAATTTACATTCATACAAACGTGTATGAATTTGTAACATATTTATTTTATTTTTAAGTGTTTTAACCAAGAAATTGCACACGGTATGGGTTTTTTTTTATAGAGATGTATTAATTCATAGCTTACCCGTTTCTACCATGGACTATCTTTGATTTGAATGATTCAGATGCAGATATTTTGTTGGAAGAACGTACATAAAACACGGCAGCTTGTCTTCGGTTCCTTTGTAATGCCTTTAAGTCGAAAGACATTTCAACTTCAAGCATTTTGTAACAGAATAGACAATCATTTTAGATTTTAATAGCAGAAGTCGTCACTTTAAACATTAATCGCGACAATCAACCATTAAAAACATACTACAAGTAGCTTTTACGAAGCTAATATTTCTGAAAGGGCAAATATGATCTCTAATGACATTCATTAGAGTTAGAAATAATGTAATTTATATTGCATTTAATTTTGTTTTAAAAAAGACCAACACTTAAAACAACTTTTTTCGCGACAAGCTTCATTTGCGTTGGAACAAAAACTACGTGGACATTTGTGACTAAGGCTTTTGCTACGGTGTACAGTTGTACACCTAGTTAGGTATACTCGAGTCAAGAGTTAGGGGGAAGTGAATTGCGAACGCTGTATGTGAATATCGGACGAAAAGGCTTCAACGTTAGGAAAATCGTTAATATGTACTGCCTCTCTCATCAAGGTAATTGCATAGTTTGCATGCTCGTATTGTCAAAGGACGCCTGCACTGCTAATATAAAACTTAATTTACGTTGTATCATGCTGTGACAATTTTGTTTCACGTACTTCGCTATTTAAAATGCATTAAATCGTAAATAATAATAGCATAAAAGAAACTACGTGTTCATTCTCTGCTTATTTCACTCCAACAGCGTATATTGTTTGCTGATAAATATATCTCCATAATGAGATAAATACACTACCCTACATATAAACGGATTCTATTATTCATACGAAATACGGGGGAATTATCGACCTACAACTGTGTACGCATTGAATGAAGGAGGGCGCATGCGCGGGAGCTGCGTCACACCAACAATTGTATTTAAAATGTGTTATCACGCCAGTAATAGTAAAATAAACTACCAGAAAAAGTAAAACCACTAAAGTACTGACCGTTAACAATAAGAACTATTTACAAAAAATATATATATAATCAGTTATATCGGCGTTATACGTTTGTTTAGTAATTAAGCTTCGAAAATTGAATAACGACAAAACCATAAAACTGGAACCGTGAACAATGGTATACAACGCACTCAAACACTTGCATCGGTAATGTAGCACTGTAAAATACAATAATCACGCTAGTTGATAACAATAATAACGAGAGGATGTTTTTATCGCGGACCACTCTAGGTCTTGCGAGGAGAACCGAGCTAGAACTGACATGACGTCACGAAGAAAAGTGGTGCGACGCATGCGTGGACCAGATAACGCGGATAGACACTAGATAGTGATGAACAAGGGATAACACTTTAGCCCATATATTAGAACAAAGACGTGTTTGTTGTTGTGTTTTGAATAAATCGATATTAATTTTATATATAATATAATTATAATATTAAGCTTATGATTTTGATAGTGAAGAAGAAGAGATACGACGGGGTCTATGTATTGTACAAAGACATGTTGACGTCGAAGTGTATTTTGTTTTTTTAACAATTCAAACATATGTGGATAAAAAATAATACTAAGTTGTAGGTTATATTACTCCGAATTATCAAATAGAATCTATTTATTTATTTAGTTTTAATTAAAAAAACCTGCCAAGTGAAGGTCAGACTATGGCATGAAGGAAACCGTACCATTATCTATATTATGTAATTGTATTTGTATGAGCGCCCATACAACTCAGAGGGCTATCTTAATTGGCGTTAAGTATGTGTAAGGTGTCCCCATAATTTTCAGCTTTTTTTATTTTTTGGGTTCCACACCCAAAGAGTAAAACAGGCACCTATTACTAAGACTCCAGTCTGTCCGTCTGTCTGTTGTATATTTCTCTTGGGAAATAATTCAAGAAATATTAAAAAGCAGAATAATAAACATTTAAGTGGGGTTCCCATATAACAGTTATGACTTTTTTGATAATCTTTTTATTGTGTTGACTCAGGACCTTGATTTTTATTCACCTAATACCTAAGGGACTATAGACCTAAATATCTGGTATAAGTTTCAACTTGCTAGGTCCACCTGTTCCTGAGAAAAAGGTGGTGACACACGGTCAGACAAGAGAGTGATCTTATAAGAGTTAATTGTTTTTACCTTTTGAGGTTTTTATTATTATCATCAGAATATTATATTATTATCATCAGAAGTTCAATAGGAGCACTCCTATGTGTTCCTATCTCTACTGTAATTTTTTTTGTCTGACTTGTGCCTCATGTCTAAATAAGCTCTCAGCTTAAAATAAAAAATTGAACAACAGTTATTGCCAATTTCTCTTCAGAACAGGTCTAAATTTACATACCGGTAAAAGCATTCATAATTATCATGTGATGAACTTATCCAGCCTAAAATTAATTACTCCTTAATTAACTTTTAATATTTTTTACTTTTTAGTGTTTAGCTAAAGTTATTTGTTATTTGATACAAATAGTGACTGAAATATTTGTAACAATGCCTTTTGTTATATTGTATGATATCATATTTTTTATGAATTATAAGTTAGGTACAAGATAAAGTAACATTTTCAGCCATCATTTAATTAGAATAAAACATGTGAATAAAGCAAAATGTGTTAAAACTATCTCTTGAGTCAATGTAACAAATGAATTGGTAATTCATATACATATTTAATAATATGTGAAAATTTTTACTTTTATATATCTTGCATTATAGTAATTAAATATAATAATAGAAAAATGTTTATAACAATGTTCACCTACTATGTTTTCTTGCAATATTATTACATATAAATTTCATTTTCATACCTTTTGCAATGTCCATTCGCATGGTTGACACTTGATCATAAAGTGCTGCACAAATCCATGTCAACATAAGAAGCCAAAGTAGTAATGTTCCTCGTACAGCCCATCGCAAAGCACACTGCACTTCATTTCCAATATTGGGTTCTACAACTTTGGGTGTAGCTGTTCGATTTCGTTCTTTCCTTAAATATAATAATATAAAAGTTTTAATTAATCTTATTGATATAAATTTTAATTTTAATATTATTATTTATTAATTAAAAATATACTATATAATAATTAAAAACCTTGCCAACTTTGCCTGCTGGTTTATGGTTTAAATCAACACAATAAAAAAAAATTATTCAACATAGTTTATATCCAAGTTTAGGTAGACTGATTCAGTAATTTTAGTTTCTGAACTCTCCCTTTGGTATTGCAGGAGTCAGATTGTATGGGAATAAATACAATTTAAAAAATCTAAAAACCTTGAGATTTTTTTCTTCCTGTTTGGTATAATTTCTAATTGTAAATCCTCCGATTCTTCGTCACTTGATAGGTCCAAGAGACGAAAGTTTTCTTTATTAACTTTAGAGGGTAAAGACATTTTGCCCTTCTATTCAAACACAACATGCCTTCGACTTATTTAATAAGTTAGAATTATTAAATTGTTCAATAATAAAGAAACAACAGTTTTACTTTTCCATGCATGAGATAAATCATGACCTTATCAAAACAAAAAAACGAAAGTGAAACGAGTATAGGTTAAGTAGTTTGGAAGACCAAAACTCAACAAACTTTACTAATATTTCGTCTACAATTATCAAACTAAACTATTAACACGGCTTTTATGAGATATTTAATATTAAATTAAATTCAATAACTATAACATCATATCAATTTATCAACTGTCAAAGTCCGTAATTCCGTAAGGTACGTCCGTTCCGTAATCCGTAACCATAAATAAACAGATGTTAATTAATTTTTATAAAATGTAGAATTGTAGATTGTCGAAAAAATATCGATATTTATTATTCTCTTTATCGATATTTTCAGCCGATATATTTGAGTCCAGCATTCCTATCAATATCAAAAATCGTAAAGGTTAAGCAGAACTATTCAGCAAGGAAATGTAGCTAGCGTTCTTGGCACCATGCCGCGTGGATTAGGTTTAATAGATAATATGTAATTTTAGATTTAATGATTTAATCTTTGTAAATATTACATCAAAATCGTGTCAAAAACGAAATTTTTTTCAAATTCCAATCGGGCAGAGAGTCCGTACGTGTCTAATGTTTCATAAATGACGTAGCTTTTTTTTCCCAAAGCTTTCTAGTACTTCTATTTTGGCATCTAATAAAATTCAGGTCGTGTTTAGCGTGGGTACACGTCACAGAAAACAAATGCATTGTGTAAAAATGTTCTATTACTAATGCGTTTCCAAGGAGAAGTGTAGGTCCATATATATAAAAGTTAGACCCCAAATAATATACCCTAGCGCCTCTAGTGGAATAGCACAATATCTAATCCCCAGTTCGACCGAAACAGGTTTTTCAACCGAAACCGAATATTACTTAAACATTTCTAGAGAATATTACTGAATTTTGATTTGTCTTTGACAGTTAGGTTTATATAGTAATAAATAAATTATAGGAAACATAAAGTAAAGTTAGTAATAAACGTTATTTTTTATATCATGAATAGATTATCATAATAGAATTTAACCACTATTATTTTAAGAAAACGTGATTTTTTAAATTCATTTTTGTAATTTGCTATTTCGTTCTGGTTAGACAGTGTGGTCAGTTTATTACTAGGAAATTTTGGGGAAACTAGGGAGACAAAATACACTAACCCCTGACTTCTTGCACTGAATAGTATTTTTTTTTGTTGTTTCTTTTATTTTTTGGATTTCAGATTTTCTAAGGATTCCGTAACAACAATTTGCTAGAAAGACATTATATAGAGGACCTAAAATGAAGACCAGTGGAAACTTCACAACTTCACAACTTCTTCTTCTTTTCTTAGTTTTTTTTTACAAATATTTTTCTATTATTAGCCTTAACAATAATAGGAAAATATTTGTAAAAAATATGTAACCATAATATCTTTAATTCAGATTTATAAACAAATAACATATATAATGTCTAACCGTAGCCCAGGCAATAAAATCAAAGAGAAAACTACCCTGAAAAAGCCCAAAGAGATGGGTTTTGACCAATAAATTATTTTATTAAATAATGGAGAAAGCGTAAGTTAATAATTTGAAGCAGGCATCCTTAAACACGCACACCTCGACTGTTTCTTTACAATAAGTACACGAGCGGTATCATAGCGTATTACGCAATTGGAAACAGATTAAGCGAGTTGTTTGTTAGCATTGCTCCGTTTAGACAAGTGTAATTATTAGATTAGATTATTAGTATTATTAGTGTAATTATTAGACAATTTAGACAATCGAAGGGTTGTATAGTTTTTATATTATATTCAAATGTTTCTTTTTTATACATACTTATGTAAGTATGGAAAAAGAAACATGTAAAGGTGTTAACAAGATACACTTTTTGTATTCTCATAAAACATTTTTAGTCAGGATAAAGTTTTTTTTTTGTAAATATGGATATAACTTTTCTACATTCTATTAAGCCTTCAACTTATTTTTAACAATATGTTTAATAAATCAGTTAAATCCTGAAGTTAGTAGACCTGAACTTACATTGTTTACTTGAGTTTGATTATTTAATATTAAAAACAATAGCTTGTTACTGAAGTAATTTAAAAAACTATCTGTCATTTTTAGTGTAGTCATTAGCGATGGGTCGTTGAAGGTATTTTTTTTTTGACCTTCAACTTAACGTTAACATTGATTCATGTTCGTCAACTAGTTAAATTCATCAACTAGTTAACGTGACGCATACATAAGTATTTTAAATTGCAAGCCCTTTCTTCTAGGAAAACGGATGAAAACTATCTATGCATAAATCTAACAAATCTGATTTTTTTTTTCTTTTGTTTTTTTTTTAATGTGAAAAGTTGCCAAATGAGCAGACGGTTCACCTGATGGTAAGTGAATACCGCTGCCCATGGACATCTGCTACACCTGAGGGTTACAGAGGCGTTGACAACTTTATGAAAATTGGGCTCCGGCTACCTCACTCACCAGACGAAACGCGAAAGTATTTGTCATACTTCCACTTTACTCTGGTCTTCTGTGAGGTCGTGGTACTAACCTGGACGGGCCTGCCCATTCATGCAACAGCCGAGGCTGCTACGTGGCCCTACCACCGTAGAACTAATTTGTTTAGTTGTTTGAAACAAATTTTTTTTCTTATCAAAATCAACCATCATACGCTGGTGTTTAAAGATTGGTACTAAAACACTGATGAAAATATTTAAATATATTTCCGCTTCAAGTAGTTTTTAAAGTTAAAGTGGTCAATTTGTTCGATATTTTCTCCTTGCATACATTACAAACAGCTTTTCCGCTAGAACTGTCTGTTTAGGTATGAAGCCATAACTCACTGTTAATACGTTCAATTATTTTGAATTTTGTACCCACAGCCTCTATACACATAAATAATCATAATTAAAAAAAACAAACACTAACCGCAAAGTAAAATTCTGATAAACAAAATTAATAACATAAAACAAAATTCCAAATATAATTAATTAAAAATTAACAAGTTCACAAAAAAAAAAACACTAAACATGAAGTAAAGTTATGATAATATTTACGCAAAGCCGCAAAACATTCTATAACCTTGTGCGCAACTATTCACAAACTGTCACACAAAAATAAAAAAAGCGAACTTAAACATGTCCTTCATAATATTAAACAAACATTTCAACTCAAGTCTGTGACGTTTTTTTCAACGTAAGTTTTTTTCAACGTTAAGGTTTTCAATTCGATACGCTTATGTTCCGTTGACTTAACGTATCGTTGACTGCGTTTATAAATGAATTGATTCAACGACCTAATTTCCGAAACGACGTTAAAGAATTCAACTAGTTGATTTCAATGACAGTTAAAGTTAATTCGTTAACAAGAGATCAACGGTTGATTCAACTAGTTCGTTGATTCAACGCCATCGCTAGTAGTCATGAGTTTGAGAGTTGACTTGACATTAGAAGTGGGCGATACAAATCGTATCAGATATGAAAACTAGATATTAGTACAATATCTGAATATCGCTTACTGGCTCGTTCAATATCTATGTATTTTATAATATCTGATATTTCCGAAATCTGATGTACCGTGCTCGCTCGCTATACCGACACGAATCGCAATATCATACGCGTTTGCCACAATATCTGATTTTTAAACAGATTTCGAGAGACAAAGCGCGTGAGATACAAATACTCACTAGTTAGAGAGGGACGGCAACCAATGCACGATATCAGATTTCGAGCGACAAAGCGCGTGAGATACAAATATTACACTAGTTAGAGCAGTACGGCAAGCAAGGCACAATATCAGATTTTTAAACAAATATTATGAATAAGTTAAGTAATTTTGAATCTTAATGCCATGCAAATAAGATCCGTTTCAATTAAATACTAATCATGGTATCTACAACGATATTATTAAGTATATTTTTATTGTTTTGTTTAACCTTGAGCCGTAACGGGCGACAAAGCGCGCAGTTAGGTAATTTTGAATCTTAACAGCATGGAAAAAAAACATTTTTAGTTGCATTTAAATACGAATTACGGTATTAACGATGTCTTTAAATTTTGTTTAACCTTGAGCTGGATTGCATTGGTACCTAGCACGTAATAGTAAGGGATGCCAACTTACTACTTAAGAATTTTCTGCCTAAATTAAGGAAGAAAAATATAAATGGAAATGGAAATTTTTTAGGAGGTAAATTTTTTGTGAATATTTTTATTAGTTAAATTTTATTCATATTTTTGGAAAAAAATAAAAGTACACAAAAAGAAAAATATAATTAATTAGTGCTGTGCTGCTTGGGTGGAAATCAGGCCAAGGCTTATGTGCTTTGTGTGTATATTTTAAATTCTTCCGCCCTAAGTTATAATACGGAATGTATTATTACTTACACAAATTATAAAATTATTGTCACTCATGATTGCGTGTTCTAAGAATATGTTAAAGTCAATTATTAAGCGATATATAAGATGTTAAAATAAATCATTTTTATATAACTTCAATGTCTATTTTTAATTTAATCAGGTAATGTTTTAATTTTACCTTAATAGTATAAAAAAATCGTGATTTTAAATTCAGTAAGTTTTTTGAATTTAGTCAATTTTAGTGGGTTTTCGAATTTATTTAGAAGTATTCTTTTTGAGCAATTGGTTTCACTGGTAATAGCTTTAGTTATGTATAGGTATAATGATCGTCGAACAAGACTATCGACGAATAAAGTCAAACAGGTTTTTTTTTAGAATTCAAGGTGGGACCGTAAAATATCTAGATATTAAAATACATAGTTTCGAAATCTGATATTTGAAATCGAAATCTGATTCAGATACGGTACTCAGAAAAAGCGATACTACCCATCTCTACTTGACATTGACAATTGACACATGTATTTGATTGATTTAATTATACATGTAACATCAAAAAGCATGATAATAATTTTCTATATAATATTATGATTAAAAAAAATCACTATGAAAGAGAAATGGCGTTTCATTATTTACCTTGTATGGTTTTCTTACCTCATCTTATCGGCAGTTCTCATGTTTGGACATGGTTTCTTATTGTCTAGAAAAACTTTGAGCGACGTTTCTGAATGTATTCCGCTCAGTAGTATAGGTTGTGATGGAAAAGAGAATACAACCGGACGAACTTGCAGTGATGATATAAAAATTAGACACATATCGTCAAATATCGGCGCACCATTGGTTTGCGCTCCAAATTATACCAAAGTTGTTCTAGTCTTAATTGACGCCCTACGCTACGATTTCACGGAATTTGACCCTGAAATAGAAAAACCTTTATATTATCAAAATAGACTTCCTGTAATATATAATAAAATTAATGAATCGCCAGAGCAAACACGATTATACCGATTTATGGCAGATCCGCCTACGACTACATTACAGCGAGTGAAAGCCCTAGTAACAGGTTCACTACCAACATTTGTTGATGCTAGTTCTAGTTTTAGTGCAATGGAAATTCATGAAGACAATGTTATTGATCAGGTACTTTGATTACATCATAGAAGCTTGAAGTTTTAAACATAGAAAAAAGTAGAATTCAGGACTTATTTTTGCCAAATTGGTTTTCATTTACAGATTATAAAAAGTGGGAGTAAAGCTGTGCTTTTAGGTGATGACACATGGTCTCGTTTGATGCCGGGAAGATGGTTCAGATCACATGCATTATACTCATTTCACACTTGGGATCTAGATACTGTAGACAATGGTATTTTATTACGACATGTATATTCATACTTCTGTAAAAATCAAATACATAATTTTTTGAAAAGCATTTAATTTTAAATGGAAAAATGTATAAATTACAGTTTTTTTAATATTTAAGATACTCCCTCAAATCTCTATCAATTAGAATACTAAAATAGTAATATATACTAATAAATTATAATAAATAAATTGTGTTTGCAGAAGTAGATACCAAGATTTATGATGAAATCAAGAAAGATGATTGGGATTTACTTGTTGCACACTACCTTGGTGTAGACCATGCGGGGCATAGGTATGGTCCTAATCACCCTGAAATGACTAGGAAGTTGCAAGAGGTTAATACAAGATTACAGAAAATAATTGAAATCTTGCCACATAATGTGTTACTTTATGTTGTTGGTGACCACGGTATGACTGAATCAGGTATAACATTTTTCAATATTATAATAAATTTTTAATATAGGTATTATATTCAAGTATTTGATAGTGGCAGTTCAATTTGATATAACTTTTATTACCCACTATTCTTTTCCTATCTCCAAATAAATCTAGAATTTTAGTACCATTAAGGTTTTGTTACCATTGTACAATTCAAAGAGTAGATAGTAGTCATTACCCACAACTATAATACTCATTATCACTTCTACTCTTTGATTGACATTGCTTAAATTATGTACGAAATAGAGTATAATTAACTGTTTTATTTCTACTTCTATTTTGTGAAAAACTATAGCATACTAAATGTGTGATATAAATTCTAAGAGACTCCTTTTGTAAAAACAAGAATAAAATATTGAAAAACTTCCTTTTGTACTGTTTTAGACTCACAAGAGTGGAAAGATTTGGAGGGTAGGTATTGTTGGGAAATGTAGAGATCTGTTTTGTGTAAATGCTTCTAAAATTATTTCTAAGTAAACCAAATATTTTTTATTTTCTGTGTGTGATTCTAAAACAACCATTTATTGTACAGAGTGCTACTTTTTTCAAAATAGATATTGCTAAGTAGATAGTTAGTTATACATGGGTCACACTGAAAGTTCTTAGAAAATCATAAAACGGCTCAAAGCAGTAGGCCCTTTTTCTTTACAGGTCTCTTCTACAGCATTTTCAAATGCATTCACCGCATATTTAGGGCTTATAAAACTAATACCTCAAGTTTCATATTTAATTCTGGAGAATAAATGAAAGTCGCAGGCCACCACGTCATGACTATGTGGAGAATGACTCATTATCCCAACACCTGCCATAGTCAAATATTCAATTATTTGTTTTCGCAGAGTGCCCTGAAGCGTTGATGTAGTTAAGGAGGATTCAAAATTTAATACAAATTTTCATTACCAATTTTTCTAAATGGCCATTTCTAAAAATTTTCAGCGTCACCCTAGTAGTTATTTTACAATGATGTAATTTGTGTATCAATATAGCATGTGTGTATATATAGTGAACTGCATTTCACTGCAATTATTATAGTATATGTAAATACATGTTTTTCAGGTGACCATGGCGGTGAAAGTAAGGCAGAACGTTCAGCAGCCATGTTTGTTTATAGTAATTCGCAACTTGGCGAAGATGGAGGCCAAATGTCAGTTGGTGGGGAAGTGCAACAAACTGATCTGGCTCCAACATTAAGTGCGGCCTTGGGACGCCCACCACCTGCACCTTCTCTAGGAAATCTTATGTTTTCAGTATTGCCTAAAATGTCTACATCAATGACATTGTTGCATCTTAGCAATAATTTAAAGCAGGTAATACTTTTAAATTAATACAATTATAATATTTCTCAAAGGCATTTTCCATTTTCTCTTCAAATATTTCCGTCTTCAATTATTAAAAAATTTACATTTTTTAATAATTGAAGACTGACTTTTTACAATGATCTGTTATAACTGTTAAACTTCATTCAGATAGCTAAAAAATCATCATTAATGTTTATTATAGAGACTATTTTGCATTGATATAAAGTTTTTTTGCTATTTAAAATAATTGACTTCTTGATTTTACGTGAATATTATACACATTAAATTATTATTAACGGGACAGACCATGAACGCTGGAAAGGGTTCGTAAAGTCGGGAATTGCAACACCAAAATTAAAACGCGATGAAATCCGTAAACTAATTTCGTTTAATATATTTAAAATAATTTTGTTGTCCGTTAAAGACCTAGTTAATCCTATTTTATTCATTCTCAAATTTTCCATGCTTCTTTTTCTTTAACAATTTTCTATTAACAACTGTTATATCATAGTAATGGGTTATTTTATCATAACTTCTTAGTTTTATCAGTTACCTATTGTTAACATGTACATTGTGCATGCTGCAAATATTTCATCCTTTGTATAATAGTTCAGATTATTAGATTTTGTATTTTCAGAAAATACATTAATCTTTATTGAAATTAATCTTATAGGTGTTTTCATTAAATCCATTTATCGTATTTTCACATAATGCTATTGTTTTCAGGTCACTAAGTATCTTGTCCGATATGGGGAGGAATCACAGCAGGTATCCCTAGACAAATTGGCACATCTCATTAATGAAACTCGGGAACAAATTGAAAAAGCTGCTAATATTGAAGCTGAGCAAGATTTAAAGGATTACATTTCCGATGTTAAGTAAGCAAAATACCATGATTTATTATATTTATATGAATTAGTAATTAATATTGTAAACTGTAAATAAAGTATAGCAATAATAAATATCATCTTTTATTGTTACAGAGACTTAATGGAGAGCATACGAATTGTCTTTAGAGAAGTATGGGTAGAGTTTGATTCGTTGTCAATGCTAAGAGCCCTCCTATTGCTGTTACTGGCTATTTTCTTCAACTGGTTAATCACCGAGGGTGTCCCTTTTGAGCGAATATGCTCCATATTTGCCAGTAGCTTTGTTCCAAGTGGTTTAACATCTGTGGCAGTCTGTATCGGCGTGTGCTACAACGCATTCTACTTCCGCTACCTCGATGATCTTGAGCATTCCATAATTTTAAGCACCGGTCTAATATCCGGCGCTATTACCTGCTTATTAATAATCATGCACTGGGACGGCATAACGCAGCGGTGGTACGAAGGGAGGTCGCACTTCTACGAGAGGTTCTCCAGGGCCGCTTTAGTGGCTTCAGCCGTGGTGTTAGTTTCGAACAGTTTCGTCATCGAGGAGGGTGCAAGTCTCGCTTTCTTGTCGCTCTCCGTGGTGGCCGTTATGGCTTGGAGCGTGGGCACGGCCAAGGCGGCGGCGCTTTGGCTGTCCTGCGGGATGGTGTTGGCTGCGACGAGACCGTATCGCGGCTGCAGGGAGGAGCAAGGTGACTGTTGGACTGCTGGGGAGGGTGCGCCGACTGGACAGGCCTCGAGGGCGGCCTTGGTGCTGGCATTAGGGTCTGTGGCCGCAACGGTGGCTATCGCGCGACGTCACGCCGGATGGCGTGGTTACGGTGTCGCCATATCCGGCATACTGGTATGCGCCCACTGGGCCGTCGGATGGGGTTCCCTGGGATCGCCGATCCAGTCTAAGCTGCTGGCGAAATTGGCGTGGCTCGTCCTCGGAGTTATGTTCGCGCTGCTCTGGAAGAGGGAACGGCACGGTCCAACGCTACCGCTAATGATGCTTGCTCTAATCATATATCTGGCCAACGCCCTCGTGTTGGGAGCCAGTTACGCGCCAGCGGCAGCCTTGTCCCTACTGGCTGGTTTTATAACACTTAACATCGTCTCCTTGCTAAAGACTAATGGATCGTCTAAATATTGTGAGTATACTTACTGTATATACTTATAACATTTAATGTGTTTTTTCAATAAAATAAAACATTCCGTGACGGGACAAATAATATAAATCGTAAAATCACTTGTTTTGAATTATAAATGATTAATGTTAAATTACTTGTTATGTAACATTGATATGTTGTATTGTACATTTTAGCATTAACAGCGCGATGTAACTCGAGTATTGCATGTGTATGGGCACTTCTTGCCTCGTACTGTTTCTACGGTACGGGACACCACGCGACATTGGGACATATCCGTTGGGCACCGGTTTTCCACGCCGGAGATCCAAATTACATATCTTTCGGGCCGGCTATTACTGTAATTCTGGTATCGCTCCATCTCTTTGGTAAGATTTAAGACTTTATTGATGGATGTTGCCAATGAGAAAATATTCATCCTGTATAATTGAAATAAATTCTTTAATATAAATAATAGCGACTCTATTGTTTTCATATATGTTTGCTGGTCCTTTCGTCTCTATTTGACGCATGGGAGTGAGAGAAAAGGGAATACTTGTTAATATTTACCATAAAAAGTAAAAGTAAAGTATCAGCCTATACATGTCCTCTGTACAGAGGTTATCAGGGCATAATCTACTACGCAGCCCCACTGCGGATTGGCGGACTTCACATATCTTCGATTTTTTATGTTATTAGGTTTCCTCACGATATTTCCCTTCACCGCTGAGCACGTATTAATAATTTACCATATTGATTGAAAAAACAAAATTACTACATAATTTATACTTGTTTCTCGTTAATCTTTCATAAATAAAATAAACTAACCGGGAGTAGGTCACACCGTTTTTTTTTTGCGTCGTTAACGCATTATTTGAGTACTTTTTTGATACGCTTCCTCATGCCTTTGTGATCAAAACAGGACTAAGGAGAATTGCGCTTACTTTACTTCTTCCGATGTCCTTGCGTAGGTATAGTGTCATTAGATAGTGCATACTACAAAAAAAGAATTAGAATAATACGCTCATACGAACTGACACTCCCCCATAGATATACGTTTAGATTTTTAAGTACTAATTGAAATACATATAATAATTGAGTAGTTTATGAATTAGTCATAAAAATTTTTTAACGTTACTATAGGTACCTATTAGTATTTTGTTTCAAACTTCATTCCGCTTCATTTAAGTTATACGCGGCCTTATAATAAATCGTATAAGTATTTACATTGTCAGTACTAAATTTATGCTCCCTTTTAGGCATGCCTTTTATGTTCGGAGCGACAGTACCGTTGCTTGCGTTATGGGGCCGGAGTGGAGTTTCAACACTGGGACCACGTACGCAAATGGCTGCCATTTTCTCCTTATGCCTTAAATATGCGCTTTGCTTCGCTGTCAGGGTAAGATATCCTCCTGCATTAAGAATATTTTATTTCAGTATACAATATTTTTATGGTAAACGGCTGGAAGGCCGGTTACTCTTGTTAAATAGACCTCCTTTTTTTAGAGAAAATGAAAATGAAAATTGGACAAAGTCGGAGGTTTTTACACACGCACACACACACACACACACACAACACACACACACACACACACACACACACACACACACACACACACACACACACACACACACACACACACACACACACACACTTTGGTCCACGTCTGTAAAAAGTAGGAAAAAATATATAATTGAGTTATATTATAAATATATAATTTCCATATCTTTGGTCTCGTGCACGATAAATTTGAATTTGTTTGTGTAGCCATAAACATTTATGTGTAATTTATCGGACTAGAAAGATAACTTTAATTATTTTACTATGTAATATTAATTAAATTTTGTTAAATGTTTCCATAGGTGTTCCTTTGTGCGCTATCCGCCACGATTCACTGTCGACATCTTATGATATGGGGCGTCTTTACACCGAAGCTGCTATTCGAATGCGGTGCCTGTGCGGCGGCGTTCTTAGGCACAATAACTGGCGCTGCACTCACGGCCTGGCATATGCCTGCGCAGCAACGCAATAGTTGACATAAGCACGCGAGGTAACCTAAGAGTGAAGAAATGTGGTCGTTTATCGTTTCAGTTTTATACTGTATAACGATAAAACTGTTGCATAACATTCGTTTTTTATTTTTATGGGTAATCGTTGCATATGAAAAGTTGTTATGCCAAAGATTTGGTGAAATTATAACAAAAATTGTGAGTCCAATTTGAATACTAGCTTAGAGACACAGTTAAAATATATTTTTCAAACTTTTATAATCCTCACTTTTACCTGTATTAATTTCCTAATATAAAAAAATAATAACGTCCATTGAATGGGACCGTTTGTTTTGTATTTTCGGCGATTATTTTTTGTACAATTAATTAGAACAAATAATACTTAAAAACAATCTTTTTTATAAACTATAATTTTTTGTTTTTAAAGGGTATGATAATCAGTATTTAAACTTTCATAATAAGACTATGGAACCTACATTTAAAGAATCAATGACTAATCATTTAATATTTATGACAAACTTTACATTTTAGCATCACACTTGTACATTGTATTTAATGTTATGAGAAGACATTTATTTGACATTTTATTAAAACAAATAATTGTAAAATACATTAAACACTGCCATGTTATCGTTGACACACCAGTATTATAATTTAAAATTTGTTTAAGTAGTTATTGCATATAAATTATAATTATTATCATTTTGAACATGTACTTTTGTTGACAAATAAACACACTGTGAAGGTAATAGCTTTCCTTTTATTTATATTATTATGCATAAAATATATTACAATATTTTACTGGAATATTTTTCTACATACATGATGAACATGAAACATACATTCTAAAGCGTAGAAGTGATATTGTGAAATAGCAATGTTGCGAATTTTAAAATGTGATAACCTTCCCCAATATTTTAAAATTAATATATAATAGTTTATATCAAAAGATACATATAATGTGACTTGTTAATTGATATTAACATTTTTAAGCCGTTTTTGGTGGCTCATAAGGTTTCAGTAAATATTCAGAGAATGAATTAACGGCTGCAGCTCCTCTCACTTCTTTTTCCAACAAAGGCAGTTTTGTTACATGAAAATCTTCATACAAATCTGCAATTTGCTCTAAATATTTTTCTTGCACCTTATGCCTTGCCGCGCAGAGATCGCAAGGTGCTGACGAACGCAAAAGTAATTGATTTACGATGATATTGTGTGTGTCTATTCCACACCGTGTGAGTTCTTGCACTAGGCGCTCTGTCTCATACAATGATAAAAATTCCGCAATACAGACACAGACAAAAGTAGTTTGATTAGGATCCTTGAATTGAGTATTTACTTGTCTTATTACAGACAACATTTCATCCATTTTGTTGCTAAACATGTCTGAATTGAATTCAGCAAGTCCAAAAAGTGTTGCAACCTGATTAATAAATGGAGCCACCTGGAAATGGAAATTTTATACAAAATATATGGGGGTTTTATTTCATAACAAGCCAACAAAATACATAAGTTATTTATTACCTTTGACTTCAAACGCATCAATTTACCAAGACCTCTCTCAACAACCTGAGGGAATGAAAGTAGACGTAATGTGTGGCCTGTGGGAGCTGTATCAAAGACCACAGTACTGAAGTTCATTCCTTTTACCAATTTCATGACCTAAAAATTTGTAAAGTGTTAATAGTTATTGATGAATTTATACATCCAATTAACATGCTACCAACTTTCCATTGGCATTCCAATGCCAGCAGCATTGAACATGTTAAAGAACTATTAAGTTACTAATACTAATTGCATTTACCAAATTCAAATGCATTTATTGTACTTATGTATTAATGCCACCGCAGCGACAAATCTGTAGTTGTGGTGGTGTTAATATCAGTACTGCATTTGTACATATTTGTATGGCGATATACAGAATCTCAAGACAACCAAAAATCATCAGGATTTTTCTATTAATGGTGTAATAAGTAATTATGATAAATATTTAACCAATATGTTTACAAACATGTTGCAATTCTGAGTTTACTTAAAAGCTGCATAAGAATATATTAATTAATAAAAAGGTCAATGCTGTACATTGTATTAATCGAGGATTTCAAAGTATAAAAATAAATAATATATATAGCATATTACTTCTGCATAACTCATAGCTTCATCAATTCCAGGGAATGCTCCAACTATCTCTTGCATTACGCCCTTACCAAGCCTCATAGCTTCAGTTTCTCCTTCAAAATATTCTTCAGGTAATTCTGTTAATCCAACATTTGGATCTATTTCCATTGCAAATAAATTGTCAAAACCTTTGACTTTCGTTGGTACCTATAATTAAAATGTTCATTAAGATTGAGTAATAAGTTTCTGAATGTTTAAAATTAAATTAATATATATAATGATAAGTATAAGAATTGAGGAAGTGTTAAAATACGTTCTATAATCTAATACAAAGTTACCTTAGAAAATTTCTGATCAAATGCATCGGAAATGTTATGAGCCGGATCTGTTGAAATAATTAATACCGAATCTCGAACTTTTGACAATTGGACTGCAAGACTGCAACTAGAATTACGAAATATTTTGTTGTAATTAATGTTTTCATTAATACATTGTTAAACTTATATGCACTTGCCTGCATGTCGTTTTTCCAACACCGCCTTTGCCGCCTACAAATATCCAGCGCAAAGATTTCTGTTCTATCACGTTTCGCAATGATGGTTCTAGCGGTTCAAAATCTGTAGTATCTTCCATATTTAACAGTGAAAAAAAATTTATTGCAGATTGAGATACAAAATGAATATCTGATTAATTTTCGAGACTTCAATAACACACATGACACATCAGACTGTTTGACAATTGAATCAGTGTTACCAACTCTCGAAAATATTTTTCCCTAAAGTTTTAGTAAAAAAACCGCTAAAATCCCCCTAATAAAATAATATTATTAAAAAAGTATATAATTTGAACAAAAATTGAATGAAAATTAATTTATTAAAAAAATCTCCCTTATGACTTCTTTAGATGACCAATATTTCTACCGTAATTCCAAACATGAGATTCATAATGAATGATATAAAAATTTTAATTTATTTTGGCGCTTTCTTTAAAATTTATTCTATATTGAATGCGTTTTGACGAACACTTTATACTTTTATTTGTACTTTCCATAGTTCAACTCCACATTCTTAATAATGAATAACCGTACTAAATGTCGCTAAGCCGCTAGGTCAACATTTAAATATGATTGGGTACATTGCGTTACCCCAGGCTCTTTATTTCTCTACCTTACTTTTCCTTATAAAAAATAAAAAATAGAACGTAGGAAAAAATAATTAGGAATTAAAATCAAAGATTCAAAGAAGTCAAAATCCCTAAAAATAACCCTGAAAATGTAACGCCCCTAAAAAAATCACAAAACGTTTGTTTAAGCCCTAATTCTGGGGGAAAACCCCTAAGTTGGCAGCCCTGAATTGAATGAAAAATTGAAACTGATTAGTGATTAATGATTACCCTGATTAGGTACTGAATGAAAATTGAAATATCATCTCATGCAATTATATCACAGATATTGATATCCGTCTTCCATTTAGCAACAATTATTTTTTAAATTACAATTTTTAAATTACAGCAACGAATTATTTTTTTTAATGCCTTTTTTGATTTAACGATACATTTAGTAGAGAGTGAGAACTTGACGTTTATTGTGAATCTGAATAATGCTGGCCTCCTTGTTCACTGTCTTAGATATTTAATAAGACATAGTTATATACTGGTAATTAGTGTCTCAATATACACGGTGATTACCGTAGATGCCCCTAATCTTGTTTTTATCTAACTTTAAGGTAATAACTTATTACCATGTCATATATACATGTCATGCCATATTACCATTATATATTATGTTATTAAAAATATTTCATCATGTACTATGTAAAACGAATCTCAGATAGTCGGTCGTTCTCTCAGTTGCCGAGAATTCCAGTCCAGGGGAATCACCAATATCTAAAAGTTTATCTCCACGAAGTCTATTCTCGTGTTTATTTAAATATCGGAAGAAGTGAAATTTGCAAGTGTGATGGGTGAATGACCTAATATTTGTCTTTGTCTTAATATTGATTACTACGTCGTCTTTTATTCTAGTTACGACTCGTTACAAATACATAGTAAACATTTAAATCTAAGAACTGTTATAATTTCAAGCTTTTATCTTAAAATAGTGGTAATTTCGTAGTATTAGAGAGAGATTTTACGGTTTTATGTATTTTAGTTGGGTAGAGTGGGTTGAGTTCAATGTTTCATTTGTTACTTAAATTTTCTTAGCTAATAATTAAAAAAAGCAAATTTAATAGAGACTTGATTTGGTTTTAAATGTTTTTATCTTTAAAAAGTTACACGATAATTTACACGGTGCACTTTTAGTAGATTCATGGTAATTTTCTCTAGAAACACGATATTTTTACCCTTGCAACACGCCATGGTCATTCTTGATCTAGAGGAGACTGGACTGGCGGTGGTTCTATTTCTTCTACTCTTGCTTGTCTTTGGCATATACTATAGATTAGATAGGATAGGTCATAGAGTAAAGTAATACTACAGAAATGGGATAGGTCCTCGAAACCGGGGCGGGTCACTATAACAAAAATAAATCTTGCTTGTCTCTTGAATCACTTGATTGAATGTCAATTTTGTCAAATCAACATTCCTCTTCAATATTGTTGTCATAATTTTTGTACTTAGATGCTTTATTATGAATGAAACATTCGCAAACATAAATAAAAACAATGCTCTATCGATTATTGCGGGGACGTTTTACTTATAAAATTTATTTACTGACAATTGTTATTGTACTCCTTACAATTTGTGCTTATATATTTACACGCTTTAAAAATTATTCCATAGCACCAGTGACCGTCTCTACAAATAGTTTACAAACACGTTCGGCACGGCATTTGTCTAAGCTTATAACTGTGGTATTTCGTCAATTCGAAGAGTTTGAAAATGACATCGCAGATAGCGTACAATCGTTTGTTGTTGCTTTTCCCAACATGCCGGTAATTGTTTTATGCCAGGGTTTCCAATATCCTCCGTTTCAGTTCTCTGTTACCAACGAAACTTTACGTAATGTTAAGATCATATCTTTAGGATTTCGAGTTGATGCATCGCCACATGATTTAAATCCTCTTACACATATAGTTTCCGAATATGTGCTCATTGTCCCAGATTCCACTCGTGTATCACGACGTGTACTACAACAAGTGGTAGCGGCTGCTACGGCTTTTCCTTCTCAGGCTATTGCTGTAGGTATTGCTAATTCACGACTGATATGTCAGCAAGTTAAATGGAATTATGCTGATTGGACTTTACAGTACAGTAAAGATGCTTCTTCAAAACTCTGTGAAGCAGTATATGGTCAGCATGCTCTGCTGATTAGAACATCTCTGCTGCAAACACTCCCACAGCCATTTGTTTTCCCTTTTCCAGAGACTTTATATTTACAAATGTCTGTGAAAAATGTAAAGGTGACTATTTGTTTTTACAATAAGTATCATTATATTTGGATGGTATAGCATTCAAAAATTTATTGTAAATAGCTGTATAGTATATGTAAACAAATAATGCTGTATTTATTTTCTAGATTCAAATTATAGAAGGTAAATTTGGGGCTGGACGAAGCGTGCTAAAATCTCCAGCAGCAAAACAGAAGGCATCAAGACACATGAGGGATTACAGAATAGCTTTATACAAAAATCTTGGAGTTAAGACAGTTATTAGAGAAGACAATAGAATTCAATGGTTTGGGTGCAAAAAGGAGACACAGGTGAACCAGAAATTTACACAAAATATAAAATAATACTGATTATTTTTATGCCTAAATAATTAATATTGGTTTATCACAAAAACCAGGTGTTTTAATAGACATGTATTGCTAAACTAGTTGAATGCTCTTTACATTTTTATGTGGAATTTTGTAATGGATAGTTAAAATTTTTGAAGTAATGAATTTTAATAGTAAATATATTTCAGCGTTGCTTTCCACCAGTGCAAGGCACACCCTCATATATTCTTTCCGGACGGAATACTCCACCTTGTTGCCGAAAGAATATTCGCCGAACAGTTGCTCATGTGTTACATACCTTACTTCACGCAGGTGTTAGATGTTGGCTGGAAACTACTTCCTTGTTGGGTGCTGTCATTCGGTAATTTAAATAATAAGAGAATTTTTTAAAAATATTACACAAAATTATATTAAACATACTCTCTGTTGCAGAGGAGATCTACTACCATGGGCAGAATATGCTGAAATAGGCATCCATGCTTCAGATGTGACCCGTGTCTCGTGGATTCAAAGAGGTGGTGCCGATCCTGATGGATTCATTTGGGAGAGAGCTACTAAAGGACACTATTACAGAGTTGCTTATTCTGCTTCTAATAGAATTTATGTCCTGGTATTGCCTTTTGTAGCAAAAAATGGAACAATGCGACCTGCCGATTGGGTAAAGGCCCATCAAAAAGAATTTCCTGAGAGACATCTGCATCCATTGGCTCAGGTATATTATTGTGATGTTGTACTGTTTGCTGACGATACATCGCTTATTTTTAAAGTTGACCGAAACGTATTAAATTATGACGACGTGAATAGTGCGCTTTCACATATCCTCCACTGGTTTACTATTAATAATATGGTATTAAATGCCATAAAAAAAAAAACCAGATGTATTCTTTTTACCCTTCCCAGTATAAGAAGGAAAAGTTTTAGTTTAATATTAAATAACGTACCCATTAATCCAGTTGAGTCTGCTGTATTTCTGGGAATTACAGTAGATTCAAAGCTCCAGTGGAGTCCCCATATATCATCTCTTGCGAATAGGCTGAGCTCCGCGGTTTTTGCGATTAGAAGGGTTAGGCAGCTAACAGACATCGACACTGCCAGACTTGTTTACTTTAGTTATTTTCACAGCATCTTGTCGTACGGCATTTTGTTGTGGGGTAGTGCATCAGATATAAATTGTCATACGTAACATAATATTTTAACATTTTCATTATTCTTTAATTTTTAATTTAAGTAATTATTTTGGACTATGTAAACAGTGAAGCAAAGATTGTGCTTTAAATTCCATCTTTAGGGTAAAAGATTAATTTTGTCTTAATTTTTTACCTCCGAAGACAAGAAAACTGCTCTTGCCTTATTGTACAAAATCCTATTCATTTAATTTGTAATTTGTGAATGAGCTTTCTTATTCATTATTCATTTTTTTTGTGGTGAATGTTTTGTAATAAGTATGGTTCAGGGTGAAACTTGTGAGAAATGAGAAAAAAATTGTATGGGTGAAAGAAAGGCCGAGTATGACATACATGACCAGGCTAAACTGGTTATTAGTTAAACTTTATTTATGAATGTTTACAGATACAGTTTGGGGGTCGTCAAGCTCCGGCACCTAATGATGCTCGGGCATTTTTGGACTTGAAACTTGGCAATTCTGCAGTTGAGAGATGTTACAAAATAGGACCCAAATTACTTTACCCATGATTATCCCATTTACGACATGTATATATGCATACAGCTAAAATAATAATTATTGTCTACAAACACAACAGAATATTACATTATTAATTATTAATATTCTATTGGGTTAAGATCTTAAGACATTCCTTGAAATTTGGGGTCATAGGAATGATCTTTACTTTATTGAAAATGATGTGTATTTGCCATAATTATGTAAAACTTTAAACCACCTTTTGGATTTGTTTTAATGGCCATATAGATAATTATTGATTTATTTTGTGTTTGCTGTGATATGTCTGTTTGAGAAAAGTAAGAATACAATAATACAAAAATTTAAATAAGAGTTATAGGAATTTATTTAACGCAATTTACTTTAATACTTTTACTTTTTTTCATATTTATTTGGCATTTATCATGTAAAAATAATTGTTCTCAAGTTATAATTTGGAAAAATTACATTGTTTTACAACACTTATAATTTGGAAAAATTACATTGTTTTACAACACTTATATTTTGTAAATTGACATAGTAAGTTTTGTTCTTATATGATCCTGTTTCCTTTTATTATTTTGCTTTACTTATGTTATTTTCTCTACGATTTGTATATCTAGTCTTTTAGTGTGATATATAAGAAAATTTATGGTTCATTTTTAAAAAGTAAGGCTGTTAAGAATGGCATAGCTATGTTTTTAGAGTTTATTCAAATGAATAATGCAAATGTTATTAATAAATGAAATCGTTATATAAGAGTTTTTATGAGTAATAATAAATCTGTATGTATTTTGCCGACTACTGACATACAGCTTTATTCAAACACTACAGTCAATTCTTCACTTCTCATCTGTATGTTATATGTAAAGCAAATATATAATGTGTTTATGTTATATTAATAACTGTTCACATATTCCATATGTTTACAAATGTGTAGACTGTTTTTTTTATATCCTCTTCCATATAAAATACTCATTAAAAAGTATACGCATGATTTTATTCTAATATTAATCCTTGCTGTTCACTAATTCTTAATTACTAAGAATAGTATGAATATTAAATAAATCAAATCATATATTTTTATTTAAAAGCTTTATTAGATAAATAAATTATCTCCTATAAAACAAACATCTTTTATTTTTTAATTAAAAAATGGAAATTGTTTTTTAAAACAAAAAGATATAAATTAATCATCATCAAACTTTTCTTCAACAACTCCAGGTGTGAATGGTGGATCTCGAACTAAACTCAGAAGCTTGTCAAGTTTCATTATCTGTAACAAAGTGTATAACGGTATAACTATGATGAATACATAAATAGAAAAGTTAAATAAATTAGCTTGCATGAAAAAAAAAACCAAAACTAGTTACGCTAATCTTAACTAAGTGCCATCTGGGATAAATAAGGAGAAGTTACAATCTTACAAATTTTACCTCCATCTATAGTAAAAAGTATTTTATTTTTAATTTAACATATACATTCATTTTTTGGCCTACTGTATAAATAATAAGGAAATCGATCTACATACCGTAAGGCACTTATTACAATTTTTTATGTTGTATTTAATTTAATTGATCAACATTTCAAATGCAATTTTAAGAGCAATTTAGTAATTGACAAATTTGTATTAGTCCATAATTCTATAAATAAATGTTTAAAATTTTAAGAGTTATATTTTATTTATTTATTAAACTCACTTTGAGTATACATATTGAAGCAATATTGTACTATTAAAGTTATACCTGCAATGTCCGTTGATCAATTCCTTGGGCCTTCTTCGGTGGTTTGCACATAACTCTTAAGTTAGGCGATAATTTTACTACATGACATGTACCTCTGAAAAAAGTCATAAAAAATAAAAAAAAACAATTTAATGAAATTGCCCCCAGAGAGATTTGAACTCTCGACCCCTGGTTTACAAGACCAGTGCTCTAACCCCTGAGCTATGGAGGCTTGTCGTATTAAGTTGAAATATTGTTACAAATAAAGTATTTCTTAAACATGTGTAACAATTTTAAGTTTCATATTTTAAACGTTTAAATTGTTTAATCTATTCCAAATGGGAGGTTTATCGGTTAGTTTAATGGTTAATCGTCTCTGTTTTTCTGTGTAAATTGGATTTCCATATTCGTATACTATTACATGCCTACTTTAATTATCATTTTTTGGTTTACGAAACTGACAAAACATTAAATAATACTAGTAAACAAAAATAGATTCATACTTCGTATCGCCACAGACGAGTACAGGGAGTTTTTGGTTAAAATCAATTCTTGTCAATTTCTTTGACTTCTTAGAGACGACGGCTTGCACGCAAATAGGTCGATATTTATTTACGTTAAGGTCGTAGACATACACCTGTATAAACAGAGATTTGTGAAAAAAACCTTGAAAAGAACAGGTTATAAAATTACATTATTATGAATCGCGAGACATGCGAGACAGAATCACGTTTGTTCAATGATTTCACATTGACCCCTACCATTTAAAAAAAATATAGCATTTCTCACATTTAGTACGTACTGAAAATCGACAATAATTGCATAGTAACCGATAATTGCCATCTTAAAATTAGGCACTCATTTTTCGTTTGCTGATGTTGGACAGTTCGATTCTCAATAATTTTTATATCACTTTTCCTTAATTGTTTGATTTATTTATATTTATAAATACATTATTAATAAATGTTTTTTGCTTCTTTTGAAGGTAAAGTTAATAAATTTAAATAAAAGCAAGACGAGAAAATTAATACATACATATGAAACTGATAAAAACATCTTAAAATTTTGCTCCAATTTTGAGTAAAACATTTGCATTTGAAATTATTAAATACGGCGTTTGAATTACCAACAAACCAATTCAAAAATGTTTTCCTATGTTGTATGTTCAGTACGTACTTTTCCGTCAGCCGTGCAGGCAGCAAACACAGTGCTTGAATACGGAGCCCATTTAACATCCCCCACTGGTGAGCCTAATTCGAACATGAAGAGTGGTTCGCTAATAAAAGAAAACTTTACATAAGTAAAAACGCAAAACATTTTTATGTTAGGTTGAACACTTAAACTTAGAAATTTTTTGTAAAGGGTCACCGATATTTATGTACTTTTATTATTCGGTACACACACACCGGACTCGCCCACGAAGGGCTTCTTTGAATTCGAAAAAGTTATATAAAGTTGAAATATAGATGGCGTTGTATGTACTCACTCGCGCCCATCCTCCCAAATTTTGACGCGCCAATCTCCGGAGCAAGATGCGTAAATTGAATTATTGAAATAGTTGTAGCTAATTCGGTAAACTGGCATGTGGTGCGCTTGGCAAGAACGTACATAGCTACGGTTATACTTAAGCGAACAAGTATGTATGGCACCGTCTTCTGTTCCCACAAGGAAAATGTCGGACTTTTCCGGATGGAAACACATGCAACTGCCGCAGCCTAAAAGATAAAGGAAAAAAAATTGCAAAAATTATTTGTGGTATATGTACTCAATAAATATTTAATAATTTACGTTGCCTCACTATCTTTCCGTATATGACAAAAGCCTGTTAGCACATATCAGTTAAAGCTGTAGTAAATTTGTATTATTTTTTCTTATATTTTCTATGAATGCATGCATTCCTGTCAACTGATAATCACGTACTTAGGTAAACATTGAGGACATTTTTTATTGGATTACGGACGTTGCAACAATAAAAAAATGCAAGATCTGCTATTAATCGACTTGGTTCGTGAAAACTGTGTTTTGTATGATCTGTCTCGTGAAAAGTACATGAATACAAAATTCAAAAATAAATTGCGGTGTTGACGAGGAGACACATCCCTTCAAATATTTTTTGAATACGATGCCCTGTTCAACATTAGCCGCGGCCCAGTCTATTAAAGAAGGTGGCAATGCATCTGCAACCCAAATATGTCCATGGGTGGCCGATCATCACTTAACATAAGGTAAACCTGATAGGTTGATAGGGAGAAAATGCATTAAGTCCGCTTTTGTACATAGATATACGTGTGTGCATAAAGAATCTCACATAAAAAAATCAATTGAGCTTCCTATTTGAGGAGCAACGGAACAAAAACTGATAAGTTTACTTGTATATAGGTTTTGGTTACACTGTTTTGATATCCAAATCACAGATTTGTGTGCAGTATGTGATGAGAAATTAAAAAAAACAAAATGGATTTATCGGGTTTTCATCAGACTGACGGATATGTCATTGTTTTAATTTTAGAATTCTTACTTTTTTATAAAATGTTTGTAGGATTTTTGACATTCTTTAAACTCCAATCTTGATCCAGTAATAAAACTTCCCCATATGTCATAAGTCTTTAGATATGGATTTGTCGGTTTTCAACCAAACAAATGCATGGCCCATGAAAGTTTCTAAGCATTTGTCGGTGTATGTTCCAATCATGAAACAATTCTATTGATTTATCGTTTTATGTTCAGATTTGTGTGTTTCGAGAAAGTCTTTAAAGAGGATTTAGTCATTTATAAATAAATTTGATAGAAGATGGCTAATATGTACGTAAACCAATTGTCATACTTGATATATATACTGGTAAAATGTGATTCATCCGTTTTTGTTGCGACGCTAAGTACAGTCATGTTGTAAAAATCGACTGTTACACGAGTTTTGGCCTCACTATTGACTGTTATGAGAGTCCCGTCCGGCCCTGGCACGGGTGCGGCCGCGGAGCGTAGCTCGATGATGGTGGTGGCCTGCAACTCGCCGGGCATCACCGCCCATTGCACCACCCGCCCGTCCCCGGACACCGAGAAGAACGACGCCTCGCCGTCGATCAGGCGAGCACCCCAGCGTATCTACAATCAGCACACTGATAGTGATGTCCTCACAGCCGTCTTTGGACACGCTCGACCTTGAGATAAAAAACCGGCCAAGTGCAAGTTGGTCTAGCGCACGAAGGGTTCCGTACCACAAATCTATAAAACGGAAAGAAAATCATGTCTGTTGGATTATGGGGGCCACAATTAAATTTTTTTATTCCATTTTTTAGTATGCATGGTGACAGATGGACAGATAGATAGTAATGGGGTTTTACTATCTGTCTCTAGGGTTTTACTTTGGGTACGGAACCCTAAAAATTAAAATGCGCCGGCTTGATCAGAGTAACACTAAAACTTTATAAGAAGAACAGCATTTACATTTTAGCGTTTCTTCCAATGAGTGAGATAATTTAATGCTCTCTTAGCTATTCCATGGTGGAGTCTCATAGCTGCGCCAAGAATAGGTAAGTTGACTCCCCTGACGACTTTATATAGGTATTCCTATTTCATCAGACCCTGGTATATCCATAAGAACAAGAGTTTCACCGAAGACGGACGTAAAATACAATAATTTTTAGTTAAGCATTCGATCTGTTGTGTAACGTAACCAGAGCTAATACGGTTACGAAAGAGACATAAAAGAGATATATCTCTCTATAGTGTTAGGAAGGCAACTGGAGCCCTACCGGTGTAGGATACGTATATGGTTGGCGGTAATTAATTAAACAGATTGTTTTACTACAAATTTGGTATTCTCTATCCCATTAAAAAACCTAACCCGTCTGCTGTTAACATTGTCCAAGCATGGGAAACACTCAGTTTGCCCCTTAGAATAAAAGGCGCGAAATTATCGCGCAAATCACAATTGAATCAACCGCATTCGGTATAGATGGGTGCATTCGAAATCTGAATAAGGAAAAAAGCTGGGGATGTGGTTGTTCAGGTATGGTGACCGCATCCTTCCTTCAATTGGTTGGAAATGAATCATTGCTCTATAGCGTAATTAATTCGGTATAACTTTGCTCAGAGAGAATTCTCATCAGTTAAAATGTATGAAAATTTAAATTTGTAACAGTCATTGGGATTGTGTTAATATAAGGTATATTATAGGATCGATGAAGTAAAGTGAATGAATGTTTGATCATCATTTGTGGCCACTTGTTTCTTCGAATGTTTTAAAAATCTTATTGAATTCCTATTTCGAAATCTGTGATGAAATTTTATCACAGATTTCGAAATAGGAATTCAAAAACGTAAACCAGTCTTTTTTATGTGAAAAATTGGTAAGCAATTAGTATTTACCGTCAGCCATGAACATCTACGTTCATCATCTCGTTCACTATACAAAACACGAAAGTATCTTGTGCTCACGTCGGTCTTCTGTGAGCCCGTAGTACGTCCTCGGACTACTACTACTACTAGCGAAGGCAGAAACTGCTGTAAGGCCCTAACACACTAACTGCGGTAGGGCAACGCAACAGTTTTCCCTGTTGTACGAATGAGCAGGTGCGTCCGGGTAAGTACCACGACCACTACGGTACAACAGAAGACCAGCATTAAGTGGAAGTTTTATACTTCTGCCTTTCGTCTGATGATTCGTGATGAAGTAGCCGGGGCCTTTACTTTATTAGGGCCGGGTACTTTATTATAAGGTATCTGCTACCCTACGGGTGTAGCAATTGTCAATGGGCGGCGGTTATCACTACAGATGAGCCAGCAGCTCGCTTACCACCTGCTCACATAAAAAAAAAACAATAAAGGGCTAGACTTACTTCCCATACTATGTTGCTGTGCTTATCGCGAACTGAATCCGATTTGTATTGGTAGGACGACTCCAGTGTTAATTGTGCATTATAGACACAGACGTTGCCATCGTAACGTCCTGTGCATAGGAAAAAATTTTTGTGTAATCATGTGTTTATTGCTGCAAAATAAAACTGGTCGGAACATCTTTTAACATCGTCTCAATCTAATTTAAAATTGTTTTTTAATGTATTTTAATCAATAAACCATATTAATTGAACTTAAACTATCATTAATTTAAATAAATATGAAATGTGTCTTTAAAAGGCAATTTTGTTTAGAATTATGACTACTAAGAAACTAGCTTAGATTTAACCTCTGACCGATGTGTTAGAGTTGACAATCAAAGCATTTTCTAGACAACATAAAAGCATCTTACCAACACAAATAAGGTACGGTGTTTCTTTGTAAACGTCAAGGCATATTATCGGAGACTCAGTGATGACAGAGTACTCGGGATATGCCGGATTCTTGATGCTGTACAGGCATAAACAGCCTTGCTTTTGTTGCTGTGTGAAATCCACTGTAAAATTTTTTTTTCAATTAATTAAAATCATAGATGCGTTTTTTTATTTAATTTGTTATTAACTAATTTCGTATTGATCGTATTGATTCAGGGACATAAAATTTTGATCATTTAAATACCTTGAAAGGATTTGGGAAGAAGTGACGAGTATCTACAAATTTGAAATATTTTACAAATTTTAACAAAAGAACTAACTAATTTAACTTTCATATATGTTAGAGATATATCTCAAATAAGAAATATTCACCGTTGAAATTTCTTATTTGATAAATTTTTACATATTTCATGTCTGTTAACGTGGTCTCAGGTTTCGTGAGCAATTTTATTTTCGTAATTAGTTTTTAAAGGCTCACGCCCCGTTTCTGAAGTACTGATTATCGTAGATGTCAATCAATCGGCTCTCTGAATTGACCAGAATGATCTTCTTAATGATCAGAATGATCAATTCAAAGGGTTTAACCATAATTTTAGCGACCTAAATGACATTTGAAGTTATTGACGTAACAGCCAACTGATCGCAAGAAAGTGATCTACAGCCCCATATGAACTATAGTCAGTGCATGAATATTAAACATCCATAGATTGACCACCGAAAATTTCAGCGGTCAAAAGCACCAAACTGGAACAGTTTTCACCCGCTTACATGTAAAACAATGCTTATTGTCAAGCTGATAGATTTAACATTCTCTTACAGATGATACAACAAACATCTGACGTACACGATCCGTAAGCGACAGCAAACAGGTCCTGGTAGTGTGGGTTCCATTGAAGGTCGCAGACTGAGTGGTTGCGCATTGGCTCGAACTGGAATCGCCACAGCGGCAGCAGGGAGCCCATGCCCTCGCGGAACTCGTCCGACGGATCGTCCCAATAACGGTAGTCCTGGGCTAGATGCGAACATTGCTATAACAATGCTATTTTTACTGTACTGTGGTAGAGCCACGCAATAACTAATGCCTTTGCACGAATGGGCAGGTCTGTCCGGGTAAGTACCACGAGCTCACATATGAGCGGCGTGAAGCGGAAATGTTATAGTTCTGCGTGTCGTTGGGGACTGAGGTAGCCGGGGCCCACTTTATAAGAAATGCCTCTGCACGCCCTCATGTGTAGCCAATGTCGAAGGGCGACGGTCATCACTTATGGACCACCAGAACGCTTGCAATCTTCTAACATGAAATAAAATTATTAATAATAATTTGTATTCAAAAGTATGATGGATTCGGTGGCACCGTTGCTAAGCTATTGGCTTCGGTGTCGGCGTTCGTGGGTTCGATTCCCACACTGGACTAGTATTTAAAGTGGGCCTTTTACCTCACTCCCCAGACGAAACGCGTGGCTCTACCACGGTTAATACTGTGATGTCATTATCGCATATACATTGTAGTTTTAGTCTCTAAATTCGATTTACCAATGTCATCGTAGATGTTCTGATTGACGAGGCGCTCCAGTATGGCCCAGGCCTCGCGGATACGTTGCGCAAGCTGCTCGTCGTGTATTTGCTGCGCGGTCTTTGCGTGTTTGGCTTCTTTCTTCCGAAGCTAGCGAGACAAGAGGACGAGTTTTATTATAAGCTTCTTTCATTACGATTAGTGTCGTAATTTTATTCTTTATAAATAGAATAAAATTATAAGCCTTTTCATATGATGTAATATTCTTTTTATTTATCTAGTTGTATATTTTAAGTATAAAGTATAAGTATAGTTTAAGTATAGTATGAAAATACTTTAAGTTTTATAATTACATCTTAAGGTCCTTTAAATTTAGTATAGATATACCTTACGATTTAATATACAGAGACCAGAAGAGCAAGCATAAGTTTAAACTATTAAGCTGAAGAACTAAATTAAATTTTAATTGTTAATTGTTAAGTGTCAGTTTAATATTTAAAATAAATTATCAAATAATCTTGTACAGCTTTTTAAAGGGGCTTTTGAAATACTCACTATACCTAGGTTTATGGCAATGATATAAATTACATTTGTATGTATTTTTACCATCTTGCTTTATGGTTTTTATATTTAAGGAGCTGAGTAGTTGAATACCCTTTTAGGTTTTTCCTCCTCTTTCTCCCGCATTTTCCTGGCGTAGTCTTCTTGGTAGTAATCGAATATGATGCATTGTAGAGCGGTTGAACCGTAGTTAGCTCTTGGTGGCGGTACTGTTTGGGTTTCAACGGACTTGCAAAGAAAAGAATGAACATAATTCACTTTTCTAAATGCATAAAAAGTAAAAAGTAACAGCCTATACATGTTCCACTGCTGGGCAAAGGCCTCCTCTATAGAGAGGGTATCAGGGCATAGTTCACCAAGTGGCCCCCCCACTGCGGGTTGGCGGACTTCACATATCTTCGAAATATATTTTTTTTATTATTTCGAAAATATGCAGGTTTCCTCACGATGTTTTCCTTCACCGCGGAGCACGTGATAAGTCAGCACTTAAAGTTAAAATCTTCATTGGTGCTGGCACCGGGGATCGAACTCAGGCTGCTCGAGTATATTGAATTAAAGGCGAGCGCCCGGACACTGAGCTATCACGGCTCTCGAAATGCATAAATGCCATTCAAATTACGATCAAAATAAAGGTAAGTACAAATAGATTTATTTTATCTACCTTGAACCTTGAATCTGGGAATCAAGTTCCCAGATGGATTCCCTATCAGTAAGATCGGGATGTTGTGAGAGCTTATGACAGCAAAAGATGCAAGAGTTACAAAATGTTGTAGTAATGAGAATAAAAATAAAAATAAAAATAAGAAGAATGTAGTAAATAGCATGTATAAAATATAAACCCCGTCAATAACCGCTGATTCCAATTTGATAAAGGTTTAAGTTACTTTAAATTGGTATCATGTGTACGTAAGAACCGGTCGTAATACCTTAAAATCATGTAAATAAACAATGTTCTTTGTTATATAGACAGGCGTAAGTGGTTAAGGACGACTACAATTGTCACGTGTTTGACATTATAACATAATATATAGTCAATACATCATATAATATATAGCAAGTTTACATACACGCATGTAAATTTTTGATTTGTCAGGAGGTTTCTTGTAATCATTCGCTGGTAGAGATGAAAACCAAGCTAAGCTGTTTTATTTTGATTGCGTTGTTCTTAGACGAGGACTTATTTTAAAGTGTTATTTACTATCGCTACTCGTGTTATGTTATGCTACTGTACTATGTTACCAATCTACGTTACTATATTAATGTGTTAACCACAGTTGTCATAATGTAAAAAAAAACTTGATCGCTTACCCTACGCGGGAAGACATAGGTCAAAGCGGCGCGCTCACAGAAGTTAAATTGGTTGGCCAACTTCTTGACACGTGGTTTTATAGTTAGCACTTCCTCCTCTGCATCCACTTTAGGCGCAGTTTCATCTTCTAAAAAATACATATTGATAATTGACCTCCATTGACCACAAAGATGTGAACTTTAAAAAAAAAAAAATCATTAACATTCTTTATTTTACTATATATATGAAATTAAACGTGTCATAAGACCTTTCTTTACCTGATTTTATTCCTAATATTTAACATTATTTTTATTATGTACGATAATTACCTATATATTTCCGATAACTTTCATTAAATTTTTACCGTAACTTTATTAGTTATAAAAAGAAAGAAATAATTAAAAATAAAAGAAACTTTATGTGTATGTCTTAACAGCGACATATATATAGGCAGTTTAATCTGTATGTGGAAAAAAGAAGAAGAAAGTGAAACGAAAAAAGTGAAAAGCGAAAATTGGTAGTGGTGAAAGGTAAAGTTTGAAGATTTCAAGGAGTTCTAATACTATTTTTCTATTTTATTTTAAAACCTAATACGTAAAAAAACGTTAACTAATCGGGTAATCGGAACTCGTAACGAAATGCAATTGCAATTTATCTTTAAATGAATAGTATAATATGATATAAATAAATTGGTATTACTTTCTTCTATTTCTGTATCCTCCAGCTCTTCCGGGACACCTTCTGCTTCACCTTCGGCTGTCTCTACTATTTCTGCAGGCTTCACTTCCTCTGGGGTCTCTTCTTCAGCAGCAGCTTCTTCTAATTGCGGAGAATCAATAGTTTTATCAGACAATAATCAACAACATCGCGCTGTTGCTGGATTGGCGTGATCACAGAGAGAGACTTCCCCGTGCTTAACAGTAGAAGTAAGGAGAAGTTCGAATAAAATATTTTTCGTAAGCACCTACAAGTCGTATAAAAACATTTTGATCTGGTGTGATACGTAACTGGGGCCTACTTTTTTAAAATGTTGTAACATCTGCTCTACAGTACAGTTACAATAAGGTGAACCATCTGCTCGCTTTACCACTTTCATGAAAAACAACATACATTTTCTGTTGCTATAATGTTACGGCTATTGTTTCTGTTGCAGCGATCAAGACAGGTGGTACATACGAATGTAACAAAACAGTTATCATCGTTAAAAAAACCTATTAAGTACCTTCTGCTTTACCCTCTTCAGCCGCGGCTGGTTCTGCCTCAGGTTCCTCCTCCTCTTCCTCTTCGGCGGTAGATTTTTTAACTTTGACTCGCTTTGGACCGGCATCGTCAAATCCAACCATACCTTGAACGTGAATAAAATAACCATCTTTAAATTTATCAAGAAATGGACTTAGTTAAGTTAGTGTATATGTTTCCACTGCTGATTTGCGACTTGCCAATTAGCTACCTATATAACTGCCAAAAACTTGATATTCAGTCAGAAAATCTGGCAAGAATCCAAATTAAGCAATGATCTATTTAATGCCTTTACAAAGCGTCCATCAAAACTTTAATATTTTATCATTCCTATATATTTTTTACTGAAACCAAAATATGTAAAAATTTTCATATGTGTTTCACATGTAGCATCTTAAATCTTGCGTCTTACCATATCCTGCAGCGATTTGAGCCTTTGCTTCATCAGAATCCTTCCGAATAGCCGTGCCCTGATAAACGTAGGAGGGGGAAAGCTTTGCCGAAGGTTGGCTTTGGTTTCGCTACAAATTTCCCTTGGCCGTAGTGATACGCCACTTCGTCCGGTACCCATTGAGGATTGATAGTTGTCAAAATACGGCCAACCTCTTCGTCCAGTTCCTTTAAATAGAATGCCATAGAGAATTTTTTTGTTATGTGAAAAAGTAGCACGCGCGCTGGCGGTTTAACTGATGTTAAGTGATAACCGCCGCCCAAGGACATTTGTAACGCCTTGCAGATGTGTTGCCACCTTTTAATAATGTGGCCCCGGCTACATATATATATATATATATGCGTTACACCCTATATATATATATAGTTTTTTCGAGCATGTTATTTATTTTAAATATAAATTCGTTCACAAGTTTTTTTAATGCAAGTCGAGGATTTAGACACGAATATTTAAAAATACTAAAATATGTAACAAGAGGTAATAATGTATTTATTTCTTACGGCTTCAGGAACGACTTCTTGATCATCAGGTTTTATCAGAACACGCGGCTTAAGCCACTCCAAAGCCTCGTCATCAATAAGATTGGCGCGGGATTTCGATGAATCTTTCTGTTGAATAAATAAAAATATTTATTATGTAAACGACGTTAAATTTATTTCTCTACGAGCATATTTTCCACATTTGCACTGGACTGTCTAAAAAACGTGAATGCCTACATCTAGACGTTGCAATGTCTTGGCAAGTAGCACCTTCTCGTTGTCTTTATTAAGCGCACGCTTAACCATAGCCTTCAACATTTCGAATGGATATTTCCGAGAAGCGAGAATCCGAAAGCACGAAAGCACCGGGCGACGGCAAATCAAGTACTGCTAAGTCTTCTAAAGGCTTAAGTACTCCAGTGATTTACGAGTAAATATTCTAGACATTTGCATATTATTTGATGATAGGTCTTTATTGGCGACGATCATGTAACATGGCTATAAATATTACGAAGTATTACAGCGAAGCAAAGCAAGCGTAAATAAATGATTAAGGACGGGTGCGTGCTGCAGGATACTTTCCGAGCCTTCAACTTTTTAATCTGATGGAAACTTAACCGAGGACAGTGACGTGTCGGGAGTACTCGAGTTGGATTCATCTGTGTTCATATTGATAAATGTAGATTATCCTTTTTTTAGAGTCGGGATAGTCTCCCGCGCTTTTGCACTATTCACCGTTCACAAATAACATAGCACATCCTGTAAACCGCTAACGTCGTTATGTGAACTGCACCGGATTGCTTTAAAAATTACCGTATTGTGCTAATGCAGTACCGACAGAAGGGAATAATGTAAATAAAAAAATTGTAATTGAAGTTCTCCTCCGTATTACAATAATTCTATTCTATATTTTTATATTAAACCTAAATACCGTCTAAAAGTAATTATTGCAGAGCTAATTCTGCCGTTGTGTTATATATGTGCCAATAGTTATATGTATTTTCACCAAAAAAGAAGTTAAAAAGGGAATATATATGACAAAAATTTACTTTTCATATGCATATAAATATACGCCGATCATTGACATCGAAAAAAAAAAGACTATATGTATATACAATCAGTGGTGTCACAGAAATCGAACATTCTCAAATACGGTGTGAAATCTGTGAGTGATCTGTTCTATGCGAAAAATTTTCAGGCGAGCCCTGCGTCGCCAAACTTTAAATGAGTAGGTAGTATGATAACCGGTTACCGGACAAAACACAACAGAACAGTACTTTCAATTCAGGCCAGTGTTCTGTAAGGCCTAGGTGCTTCCCCGGAAAATCTAATATAATTTGTCTAGTTAGTGACTTGCTGACGGTACCAAGTCGTTTCCCGTAGCAGGCGTGTCACCAAACTCTAATTAGTATCCGTGTCAGGCATTAGCTAGTACAAAGGCGACAGCAAAGCTGCCGCGCTCAGACGTCACGGTAGGTATACATTGGAACTTTAGAATTTACCTGAGCTGAGGTTACCTGCAGTATCGCTACACTTACTGCTAAGACTGAATATCAGTTTGTGGAGATTTTTTAACAACTACAAATTAACAATTTATAATTAACGCGCAGTTTTGTTGGGTAAGTACAATATTTAATCCTTTCTATAAAGATCTTTTCAGTTTTTTCCTCAAATTAATAGATCTTAACATTTCTAGTTATTTTGCCTTATTGATTTCTTGATTTTAAACGAATGTTATACATACTAAATGAAAGTAGTTTACGGATTTTATAGAATTTATTTTGATTTTTAATTCACGACTTCTCAAACCATTTCCAGCGTTCATGGTCATGGGACAGCCCGTCAATTATTATTAAAATAATGTATTTAAATCAAGTGTAAAAATTTATAATTATTTATAATATGTTAAAAGTTTCAATGGTCGATTTTTAGTATTTACTAATTAGGAATTTATTATAATATTTATTAAACCCATATTCGAAGTTCAATTCTATCACGTTTTCACCACTAACTTTTAACCTTTCAATAAATATTAAAATTTGTAAAAAAAATCACGAAAAATTTTTCGCCATCGCAGGAATCAAACCCGTGTCTTCCAGAATCGCGCTCAGATGCTTTAACCACTAGGGTGATGCCCATGCCAACGAAAATCTCAAAGGATTTTATCAACTTGTTTTTTGTTATTTTAAGCAATTTTGTTTCAGCTATTTTTTTTAATTTTAATGTTTCGTCGTAAGTGCAGAGACGTATTATAAAAATTAATATTAAATTTAAATAATAAATATTCTACTTGTTAACCAACTAACCGTTGTAGAAACATCTTTTACTAGAATATCTGTTGTTTCTATAATAAAAACTGCGTAGTAAGTTCCGTTTCCACCAAATATACTAACATAAACATTTTCATTTCTGAATATGCAATGGTTGAAATCGCGGGAGCAGTAAACAAGTTTATGACCAGTTTCCTGCTAAAATACGTTTAAATCGCGTGATGAAAGCGACAATGCAATAGGCAGATCGATGCGAAACATTGTCACGATAGTAGCACTTATCTCGATGGTAAATAGGTCAATAATTATTTCCGTGGTACTTCTGAACATTAATATTATAAAATAATTTAAGATATACAAACATTGTTCGCCTGTCAAAACAGCTCAATCAATTACAATAACATTTCGTTTACACTTTGTATATCTTGATTTCTTCCGTTTCATTGTAAGGTAAGGCTGCAACTAAATTATTGTATTTATATCATTAAGGATTTTTAATTATCTCAATATTTAAATTAAGGCATCTAAGAAATTTGACATTACCCACACGATTTATCGTTATTATTTATTATATTGCTTTCGCACGAGTTGACCTTTTATCTACTTGTATGTCATATTGAAGTATGGATATTATAATTTATTAAGAAATATAATTAAACAGTTGTATAAAATTAATTTAGCAACTATTATCTACTAGCCGCTGCCCGCGACTACGTCTGCGTAGAATAGGCTGAAGGTGTAACATTAAGAGAGAAAGACAGATATACATAAAATGTGTATATAAATTTTAGCCTATGTCTTGTTCTATATACGCTATATTATTGTAAAGTTTCATTAAAATACATTCAGTAGTATTTGCGTGAAAGGGTAATAAACATCCACCAATACATACAAACTTTCGCCTTTACAATGTTTTTTTTTTTTTTTTTTTTTTTAAAACATTGCCCTTACTTTAGGATAACATTATCCTGTGTTGTAGGGACGTTTTACAAACATAAATTTCACGCGGACAAACACCCAGATGCGAAACAACTACCTGTGGGTCACACAAATAGTTGCCCCGTGTGGGAATCGAACCCATACATATTAGTAAGGAAGTAAGGATTAGTGATAATCTTTGAAAGTCGCTTGGCAAATTTGAAATGTAATTGATTGCTAATAACTCAGAAAACAGTTCGTTCGTTCGTTCCTCACTGAAAGACATATGTTAAATAGCTTCCACGCTCAGGCAATTAAAATGAAGGCCTTAAAATGCATTAGACTCATGCTAGCTGTATTACAAACACAACTACAGGGATTAACACAGGGTCACGAGGCGACATGGCTACAAGATGTCAAGCGTACCTGAAACTATGTTCCAGTCATCAACAATCGAAATTGTTTACGCCAAAGCTGAAAATCATAATGGAGACGTTCACAAACACAAATTGTCCATATTTACAGTGGACTGCGGATGGCTGTGTGTGCGCTGTCTACGGTTGGCTTTACTCACTCTGAGGCGTTTGAGGAGCAGCTCTATGGATCTCTCCGTGGACTTGCATCGCCACAGATCTGGCAATCTAAGTGGCTTACTCATCCCTTGTGGGTTAGATATCGGAATCTAGATAATTTTAACCGTTTCATTAACGTTCAGAACTATAGGGAGTGATAACTTTGTGTACCATTCTACATGTATAACATTTATTAAAAGTTAACTGATAAAAATGTATATAAAAGCTTATTCCTAAGTTAAACGCCAGTGAGTTCGGTGAAAGCTCGATGTTTATATCAATTTTAATATCTGTAGTTTTTGGGAAATGAAAGGCGTTTAACAGGCATAGTTGTTCCTTGTTTGGTTTTCAGTATTCTTTTTTTGTACTGTCATTTTAGTTTTAACCTCCTCTATCTGTTTAGTTACGCAGTATTTTTGGTCTGATATGTGAAAACGGTTAGTATTGATATTTTCCTGTTTATCGAGTAAAGGTTGTTTCAATTGTATGATGAAATACCTACTATCTGTGAAGTGCTTCATTATAATATTTGGATTTTATCGCATTTTTTTTGAAATTCCGACATTTAGAACCCTTTTTATACTGAAAGTTCTTATACAAAACTATTTAGAAAGTTAACTTTTATTGTTGTACGAAGTAGTCTCTGTTCCCACTCTTCCTTAGGGGTCTCTTCTACAGCATTTTCAAACGCACTCACCGGGTCTTCAGGGCTCGTAAAACGAATACATAGTTTCATCTTTGATTCTAGGGAATAAATGAAAGTCACAGGCCACAACTGCCATAGTCAAATGTTCAAATGATCGTTTCGCCACTACTCTGTGACGTAACTATTAAATATTCAACCCGTTGATTATTTAGTAGTTACGTCAAATGACTCACGATAAGTGAAAATAACAATCAGTAAAGAAAAAAACAGTGTTTTTTATTTTACTAAAGGACTGTTGATAACTATCTGAAAAATTTTTACTCGGATCTACACGTTATTGAGAGTAAAGTTGGAAAAATGTATTTACAGAAAACAAAGTTACGAGAAGCGTCCCCACTACATCTTAAGTGGCTTTAAGGGATTGACTCAATGTGATTCAAATATTGTATAATAATCAGTTTCAAATTTGCACTGCTTCTCTCTTTATTAACTGTACTGATCGGAAGTCTTGGTATAATTCTTTTGCTATGTTGAAAATCGGACATAATTCCTGCAAATTACTTTCTAAAGCAAGAGTAATGATGCGGACACATTTCAATTTGGCGTCCTAAATATTTCGACCGTTAAAGTGCTGCTATCCCCGATAATTATGGATTTCAATAAGCCCTTTTTTTGTAGTTTTAATATTTTTGTGAAGTCAACGCCTCTGACGCCAGGATAACTTATAATTCATGATTTTGTAAGATATACGTCCCATTCTCATTATTTTTGTATTTTATCACTCATTAAGTATGAACTTACATAGTAGGATCTACATATGTAAACAAAGAGCAGTGATTTAAAGTACTTTGTGTGAGTGAAGCTATAAATATATTGAGGCTGTGCAAATTTTTCATTGCCATAATAATCCAAGATGTCTGTGGGAACAATGATGGACTGTTCAGTAAGACACATATCGTTTGTGGGATTTTGCTTTCTAATATTTTTTTTGTGAAATGTGAACATTCCCGTATTGCTTTACCTACCTCAAAGTAAAATTGGTATTGCACATATGATAATAAATAGTTTATTAGTATGTTAAATTTTGGTAATAGATGTAGGGAAATTTTGAAAAATTCAAAGGGGGTCCTTGTTTTTATATATTTTTTTTAGGGTTCCGTACCCAAAGGGTAAAACGGAGGAGTCTTAGTAATAGGGTCCCTATTACTAAGACTCCTCGGCATGAGTATGTAAAAAATAATAATTATAGTAATATAACTGTTTCTTAATATCATTACAACAGGTAAAATGATTAAATGAGCAATTCAATTATTTACAGGTATATGATCTTGTATCTGTTGTCAGGTCGACGATTGCTTTACTTAATCCCACGGTATTGATAAATCTTCAAATTAAATCACTAACATGTTTGAAACTAAAAGACTTTCTGATATGCAAAATTTTATGAATACTTCGTTTCCTTATACACTTATTTTTTCTTAAAGCCTTTATTTCTTAATATGCTAACAGAACTAACTATATGAAGGAAATATAAATTCGTACCTTTTTTGGGGCCATACTAAACGCCCTAGTTAAGACGAATGAGGCTGATTTCCGCTTTAGCGTTTATTTTTCAAAATTCCTTCATTCGACAATAAAGTTTAAAGGATTGACAAATCTATTTGACAAAATATTTTAGGCGTCAATAATGTACTGCGCGCGCATAGTCTGGTTACCATGGCGACGGAGGGAGGGCCCCCGAGGACTTCAATGTTCATCCCGAGGAATAAAGCGCAGGTTTTATACGTCGCTACATCGTTGCCATTCGATTGCCGATACAATAAAAATAAACTGTGATAATTTGGACAGTTATTCGTAAGTAATATGTGCTTTTTAACTAAATTTTTAATTTAACATGTTGGCATATGTTCTTTGTTCCGCTGACTGCGAAAATTGTTTGTGACTATAGTGTATACAAAATAAACGAGCTCAGTCAATAGTAAATGCCATGCACTGGTGATCTTTCGATGACGTAATATATTAGATAAGCATTTAAATGACCAATATGGTTTCTTGTTTAATTATTGTAGTGCTAGTTGATTAATGAAATTCCATTATCATGTTATTTTCAGTGACGATAATTATTATCAATATAAAATTGTGATTAATGTACGATATACTAACCTATACAGTTATTAATTTGGCTCTTTTCACTGAGTAAATTTTCTGCGCATCTATGTTGTACCTGTGTTATTGATTGCGTAGTAGTGTATAAGTACCAAGGCTCACGTAGTGAATGTCCTTGTAGCTACCCATGACCAACCTGATATCTTGCGGTTAGCAACCACATGATGGTAACTTCACTGGAAAAAATAATACCGTACGTAAATGGGTATTCTGGTTTTTGTTCTTACTTATTTCCAAATCAGAAGAAATATCTTTCTTGTTAGAAATCGAATAATGCTAATTCAAATATGGAATCTAAAAAAGTCAATACCTACGTCTTTTAACTTCAATCCTTACTAATATTATAAAGGCGAAAGTTTGTATGTATGTATGTATGGATGTTTGTTACTCTTTCACGCAATTACTACTGAATAGATTTTAATGAAACTTTACAATAATATAGCTTATACATCAAAATAAGGCATAGGCTATAATTTATATACATATTTTATGTATATCTGTCTTTCTGTCTTAATGTTACACCTTCAGCCTATTCTATGCAGACGTGTTTCAAAGATTTAAGGCATTGGTCCTAGTGGCTTATTTGTGCCTAAAATGGACACACATAAGCCAATTTTTATCAAAAGATCGCAAGATTATTCATAGTACCTTGATGATGTCGTCAGGAAGTAATTGCATTATGATCAACGGTAGTTGGTTACAGCATCATATATTTTAATGTTGTTTCTTCGTTTAAATTTCACAGGGAAAAATGTTATCTTTGATATATGTTATGCATTTTGCTTTGTGGATTCTTTATCCGCGAACGCTAATGCTTCAAAAGTGATCAATACTGTACGAAACGATAATCGGTTTTCATCTTCAGACGGCATGAAAAACACGTCTGGTACTTTGGTTCTAGGGTTGAGTTTTTTATAATTTTATTATATCGATTTTATCTACCCTTTGTTTAACATTGTAATTAAACCTTCCATAGTTCCTGTTTCCACGATAAACCGGCAAGCTGGCGGGGGAGGGCGAATATCGTGCTGGGCTGTTGATCCCATTGCTTCCGGAACGCGAAGACAGTGGTATCGACAGCGAAGAGACGGGATATGAGCAAAGGCGCGGCAGAAGGGTCAGGCGAGCGAGTGACGGTGACGAAGTATGCCTTTTGTATTTTTATAATATTTTCTTCGGAGAACATTAAGCTAAAGAGAGTAATATAAAAAAGATAATAGAAAATGTAAAAATAAGCCAATAACACGTTTTAATATATAAAATACATAAATTTGAGCAATAGAAGCCTCCGCCACTCAAAAGATCCGAACAGATCCGTTTTGGTGTAACATCTCTGATCTGTTTAGTATATTTATGTAACGAATCATATTCAACATTGTCATCATCATTTCAGCCAATTTGAGTCCACTGTTGAATTTTAGCCCTCCGCCACAGACATGAAGCACGATCCTGGTCCCTGCAAGCACAGGTCGTCACTCCATCCAGTGGGCGGTCGTCCTGCAATACGAAGGCCAGTACAAGACCACTCAAGAACCTTTCTTTCTCATAGGTTATCCCATATTGGTTCTACGAGCTATATGACTGGCCGATCACCTATTCAGCTTGCTAATCTTCTGAGCTGTGTCGGTTACTCTACTGCGGATGTCATAGTTGATATCTAACATAAGTAATGTGGATGTGATCAGTATCGTTTATTTTTAATTTCGTCCAGCGAAATGAGAACCGATAGTGCTACTTTACGGTGGACAATACCACAGTCACGTCTATAACATTGCAGTGGCGTTGACCAGCCTAAGGAAGAATTACTTACCATTTGAAGAAGCGCTTCATTGTTCGCTATCATTTAAGTGCAAAGAAAGTTTCTTCCTTATTTTTTATTGAAGACCGACAAAATTGATGAGATAGAACAAATTAGATCCCCATTACGTGAGGTTAAATTAGATTATTTCCCCTTTTCTAGTCCGCTGAAACAAGCAGTAGTGAAGATGATGGCGGTATGAAGAAACAATGGGCCAGATGTGTCGAAAGCAATGATTCGGTAAATAGAACTATGCGTATTAAATAAAATTATAAAAATACATTTATTGCGATTGTACAAGGATTAACAAAATACAAGAACATTGTCCATTTGCACAACACTAGGCAAGCCTGTCCTGTTGTTGCGCAAATGGCACATCTCAGTGGCCTTGTTGTTTGTTGCAACGAAGTTGAATTAGGTTTTCAAAATTTCATAAGTTTATAACCTGTCTCTGTTGCTTTTTTCGATGAAGACAAAAAGAAGTTTCCATGATAAATTAGGACTACAGCCAATGTATAAGATTGTGTTAAGCTGTCCCTACTATCATGTAGATCAGAAGGCTAAAATGAATTGAAAATTTCATGCTATCGATACACGGTGAAGGCAAAGCCACAGGCAGCAACAAATTTGCTATTATTTGTTATTTATTCCTTTAATCATATCAAATTCTTGGAACTTTTCTCTAAATCATTCTTGTCACGTTATCGTCAATTCAGCCTGTTCGAGTCCACTGCTGATCGTAGGCCTATCGCACGGACTTCCACGAGGCACGACCCTGAGCCACCTGCATCCGTTAACTTCCCGCACACTTGCACAGTTCGTCACTCCATCCTGTGGGGGTCCTACAACCAATACGAGGCCGCTTGTCGTGTGTTGCAGAATTTGGACGGATCGTGGAAGGCTTCCCGCGAGGAGTTCCCAATGTTGCCGTGGCCCGGGCATCCGCGTCGCGTCTCCCAGCACGAGCCACCCCACCCACGGACCAGCCCAAGCCGCTCTTCTCCACCGCTTTCAGAAGTAGAACTCACGGCCTCCGACGAGGACGACGCTTCAGTCGTAGAGCTGGTTATTCCGGTGAACACACCATATAAACTAGATCCGAACGATTCGCAATTCAAACAGGCCTTAGTGACGACCAAGTTTTTCTGTCATCTGTTTTGTTGCTTGCATGGTTATGTAGTCTGAGCTGATCGATATGTCTTTACATTTTTTTTATGTCATTATTTACATGAAAATGACATTGAAGTCAATATTATAAGATGATATATTTTTGTGACAATTATCAATAACAGCATCGGCCTAGATTGCAAGTCGTTTTGAGTATAGTACGTTTATAAATTATTGCGTTGGAAATCATACCGACTTCTTTTTTATTGTAATAGTTTGCAGAGAAAAATAAAGTCTCTATATAACATTCCTATTACTTTCTCAGAACAGAAGAAACTACGTAATAACTAGTCAATTAGTTGTTCTTTCTAGTCTACTAAGTAATGTCAACCTTTTATCCTAAACTATTTTGTATTATTGTACTATATATTATGTACGGAAATTTGTTTAATTGGTAACTTTTATTACATGTATAGTGTTCATTTTATATAAATATTTAAGACTGAGTCAGCCAAACTTAAGAAATTATTTAAAGAAAATTATTTACAATAATATAAACATTTTATTATTATTCATAAGGATTTGATAAGATCAAAAGTACTCTTAAATTAATATTAATGTTTATTATTTTCATAACTAACCAATTTTTTGTTTTTGGTTTAATTGTGATGAGCTATTAATATTTATTGATCTAATAAACTATGAACAAACTTCGTTTTTAATTATAATATTAAAGTCTACCCACAGTATTATGTATTGTATTATTTATGTCGTGAAAAATTCTAGGAGTATTTTGGTAACATTTATTTCTTACTTATCATCTAAACTATGCGAAAATTCTCACTTAATAATTGTGTTAAAAAACTATTTACCAAAATGTTATTAAATAATTTAGAAGATGCGTAATGCTCCATTTTAACATTTTAATCGAACTAAAAAATGTAAAGATCATGATGATGATGATGAAACATTACAATATTTCAAATGTGTGTTATCCTGACTGGTAGATACACAAGCTTCTTCTTAAGCCACCTCGTACGTTCGTATTTTTACTTCTCACATGAAACTTATTACAATTTTTCAAAATTATCCATCGTAAATAACGTAACATAATCTTAAATTTTTAGATCTTAACACTTACGTAGGAAAGTTTCTTTTATAGAAAAGGAGGCAAAGGCGTAAGTTTAGTCAACTGCTGATGAGTGATCACAACCGCACAGATATTCGCAACACCATAGGAGTTGTAAATGCGTCATTGATCTTTAAGGTATGTGGTGACACCATTCCTGAAGGTCTCTCAAAGTCAAAGTATATTTATTCAATATAGGCCTAACTTAAGCCTCTTATTGATAGTCAACAAAAAAAAATCTACCACCGGTTCACTAAACTAGACCTGCACAGAGAAGAACCGGCAAGAAACTCTGCGGTCTTGTTCTTTTTGTTTTTTTTGGTGCAATTATACACACTTATTTAGGTATAAAATCAGCAGCAGCCAGGGGTCTTGCAAGTGCAGAGCAAGAGTCATTTCTCTAAGTTGTATCGGCACGGAAATTTCGCAACGGGATTACTTTCGTCAAAAGTGATTCCGAAAATTGGTCGTGTGTGATAGAAAAGCCCATGAAAAACGCAAAGTGGTTAGCAGTTATTCACGTTGAATGGTGGCAGCAGCTGGTATTAAAACGAAAGAAAATGTAAATAGACGCAATGACTTTCCGCTGGTCCAAAGGGTCGAACCAAATCGATCAGCAAATACAAATAAATTCCACTTTGCTGCTTTACTGAGGACACTGAGGTTTTTAGATGCAAACATGGCATTCCCATTTAATTGACTGTGAAAGTGATCATCCACCGATGTACTATTAACGCCGTGACGAAGGATCTCTACAAACAAACTTAAATTGCTACTCGACAACAGATGGCACAAAACTGAATTTATTATGACAAAATGTTGGATTTGTGTTGTATGAGAATATTAAGATAATTATGAGTAATCTGTATTATTTTTTTACTATAAAATTAAAGATTTAAGGGCAATAAAGATAAAATGTAAAAAAAGGTCTTGATTACAACGTAACTAGCCATAAACATCTGCTCACCGTTAGATGGCGGTATAACCATTTCAACTTTCCAGTCCCTAAATACTCAGGCCAATAACGGGCAGCAGCGTTATAGGTGCGAGGAGTCTAGAAAAACTACGAGTGGCAGCTCGCTTGCCAGACGTGGCAACTATGGCAAGAACCGCCTTATTATGGAAGTAAAGTCATAAGAAACAAAAAAAAAACTTTCAACACTAAAATACAATTAATTATATATCTTTGTCATACATAATGGTAGGTACCTGTACAGTATTGTTTTAGTATCGTTATTTAATAAATGATTACTATTTGAAGATCCAAACACGAAACATTGAATGCTCATGCCCTCGTTTGGAAAGGGTGGTTGTTTTGAAATATTTGGGAGTATATCTCGATACGAACTTAAACTGGCAACATCACATTATTATGCTATCAGGCCGAGTACGTAAGCTAATATGGCTATTTAAAAGACTGCGTAACATAGCTGACCAGTTCCTCCTCAAGACTGTTTACTACTCTTTATGTCAATCGTTGATCACCTATTGTATCTCTGCTTGGGGAGGTGCAACTGAAACAGCTATAATTCCATTAGAGAGGGCTCAAAGATCTGTACTCAAGGTAATCATGAAGAAACCATTTCTGTATCCCATTATTCAACTGTAGGTATTCTGACTGCCAATTACACTCAGTGCGTAGGTTATTCATATTACATTGCACTCTCAGATATCACAGGTGTTTAAAGATCGATCCAAGACTCTATAAAACAAAAAGAAGATATCAAAATATTTGTCCTAGCGTAAAATTTAACACCGTTTTTTTTTCATCGCTTTTATTGCTTTCTGGCACCATATCTGTATAATGAACTTCACAAGAGACTCGATATATTCCATTTGAACCTGTAAAAATAAGTTAGACGAATACTTACTACAATTGAATTACCAGCAGACAGAAGACGTACTTAGGTCAGCTAAATGACTCCACTATGCACACTATACAAAATAATATCAACATAATACCCTTCTATTATACATAATACTAAACTTATATACATAATAATACACTTATATTATAAATATAAAAAATACAAACATACTTTTTTTATTAAATTTTAATTTTTTTTGTTAAAAACAAACTTTTAGCTTATTAAATTATGATGTGAAAGTAATGTTATGATCCTAAATTAGCTAATCGCCAATTTGATCCCTGCGAGACAGGTTGCTACCTAGTGCAGGGTTCACTATGCAAATGTGAATTCGATTTGTAAACGTACTTACTGTGTTGAATACTGTAATTGATGTTTTTGTTCTCTATTACTTGTTTAAATAAACCTTTATTATTATTATTATTATAAGATTTCGCACACGATTGAAAATACGATTACATACTTATCATTCAAAGTACCTGAATCATAAGATTTCTGTTTCCTTTGTCTATTATAATCGGTATAGCCAGCCATATCATATATACCTAGTGGCTTTCTCTGTTTATGGAATTTCAAAATCATTTACTGATTCTGCATCTATAAGTTAATACTTTGATAGACTAGAAAAATGATGCTTACTTTCAAGTTCCGTGCTATAAATTATCGCACCACTACTATTAAATATTTTTTATATAGATCTGTTTACAAAGTTAAACTAGCACTGAAGTTTTTTGGCTAAATTTTTATTACTAATTCTGGACTGATTCAACAAGGAGAGTGTCACCCAAAAAGAGGAGATATCAACGTATCTCCTCTTCGGGTTCTATATCTATTAAAAACATTACCCACATCATAATATTGTAATCGTACTATTAAGATCCTGAACATTTTTCTATTGGTCACGCAAATATTCCTCTCGCTTTTGAGTAGAAAACTCTTCTTTCCCTTATCATTGCAACCAGTACAATAATGTTAGACATGGGTTTATATTTTATGGTTTTACGTAGATTAGTGCTGTCAGAATATATTAATAGAACAGTGACGCGCTGCATCATATTCTTAAGTTTTCCGAATGCGACGTACTTTATTGAAGTAGTGTAACCTTGTAAAAGGGAATGCCGCTTTGTAAGCTTTTGAACGTCGACTGTCAAAGTACTATTTTATTAAAGCGTTAAAGGCATTTTAGAAATTGTACAATAGATGAATTCATTTGTTAGATGGGATTTAATTGATTTTTCAACATTTAGAATATGGTTTGAAATTGATTTGGTTCTTTTATTAATCTAAATATTGTGAGCATTAAATAATCGATTTTATTAAAGCAAGTAATATTAAAAAATTAATACAATTATTAACTTGTAAGGTGGTTTCTTATCTGAATTTTTGACTCGCAATCTTTAATACCGTAAAAAATTAGTCACAGGATATGTTTACAAACAATAGCTAACGAGAAACAAAGTTTGGCAAAAGATATACCTTTTTTCAAACTTTGTTTTTAATTCCACGCGCACTTTTAAAAATGAAAAAAGAAAAGGTAAGTTTTATGTCGCAGCTGAGTAACTGGAGTGTGATTTTTATAAGGGTAAATAAACTTGAGCTGTTGTCCGCAAACAACCAAAGGTTTTCGTATGCCTTCAAAATTTAATTTCTTCTTTCGTGCATTTATATTGAAATGAACAATTTCATTAATGCAATGAACAAATTCATGATATTTAACGCGCGATCGAGCTGATAAGGCTTTTATTTACAGAACCATGAGTAATATATTTTAAGCGAAACGCGAATTTAACAATATCCTAAGTCTGGTATTAATGACATTTAATAAATCAACTTTCCGAGTACACATCAGAACAATTAAAGCGACGGAAGCAAAGGGTACGGCGGCGGTTATTAAAGCAATCGGGATTCCGCGAGCACGAAACAATAAGCCACGGCGCGTAATCTGCGAATCGGATCGTGGTGGCGGTTTATTGTCGCTCTTAGAGAGTACGCCACACGTGGAGGCTTCAATCGGGCCTGAGTAAAGGCAGCGCTCCGTGGCTGAATGGGCGCGGGGCGTCGGCGATCAGCGGGAGCGCCAGTCGCGCCTCAAGCCCCGGAGGGGCTGCACGTGTCCTCGCTCCCGCCTCACGACTTATGTAACCATCCGCACGGTGAGTCCGCAGCCTCCGCGCCACTTACCCCCCAATCGACCCCGCGGCCGACCCACGCGCGCCCATCCAACCCCCCCGCCGCCCATCGCATATCGACTGATAACCCGCACGGAGCCACCAGCGGCCCGCGTTGTGCAATAACCGTCAGCTGAGACGTGACATAATCGATGCAGTAAGTACCGGTGCTCGGTGAGTGCGAACCCGCGGAATGCCAAGTGCGTTATGTAACGGGACCTCTGGCCGCGTGACGGCGTCGGAACATGCCGACCAGCGTCGCGACGGGAATGATATGCATGCCGAGTCTTGTCGCTTCTATGTTGAAAAGCGCATAATTCTCCTCGATTCTCGTTCAAAACATCCAGATTTAGGCGTTTACCATTATTCGGTAATTAGTTTGTATCCTACTGCCGGAACTAGATAAATAATCGACGTTTGTAGGATGTTGATACATGAACACATCGTTCGATACGAGGATTAGTTAAATTCAATAACTTATCGAAATAGCTTTATTTTCGAATGATCGAAGAATATAATAAAATTAATGGTTACGTAAGCTACGACGAAAAGCTCCTTCGTAATATCTATATACAAATAATATTTTATCGTCACCCGTTTAATGTAGAAGCAAAGGCATAAAACGTATTCAATTTCATTAGGACACCAGCAATAAAGTAAAGGATTATTGATTCTTTTGTAAGAAATAAGTAATTAGTCATCATAATGTATTAATTCCCTAAAGACAACTTACCTTTTTGATTAATATAATTTTTAAGGTAAATAACAATGTGGAACATAATTTAATTAAAACTAAAAATTAGCAGAAAGAAATTTATAAGACATTAATAAAAAGAAAGAATTATAAACGGTGGTAGGGCCACGCAGCTGTTGCCCGTCCGGGTAAGTACCACGACCTCACAGAAGACCAGCGTAAAGTGGAAGTATGACAAATACTTCCGCGTTTCGTCTGGTGAGTGAGGTAGCCGGAGCCCAATTTTCAAAAGGTTGTCAACGCATCTGTAACCCTCGGGTGTGGCAGATATCCATGGGCGGCGATATTCACTTAACATCAAGTGAACCGTCTGCTCGTTTGACAACTATTCGCATTAAAAAAAAAAGACATAATTACAATTCAAATTATCTCGTCAAACAAACAACGTTTGTTCAATCAACGTTTAAGTTAATCATAAATTAAACTGTCATTGGACAAAAGCGTCGGCACAACGGCTGTATACAAGTTTTTGTTCAAAATTAATATTTGCAACTCGTTCTGCAAAAACATGTTAAAGTCAATACGCACAAGTTTTATTCGTGTATATGACATCAAAATCCATATTCTTTCCGGGGCGTTTTAACATATTTTTTAATATCTGCGAAATGAAATACGCTCCTAATAAATTTTATACATTACCTATTTTAAAAGAAATTTTCGAAAAATTTCTGTAAGCTAAAGTGTTCCAAATTTATTTATCGTATAATAAGGTTCTTTTGAAGTGATTACTTGACGGCTGTCATTGCTCATGTTCCTATTTAAATAGATTTATTTCTTTCAATACAGTGAAAGTGTTTTGTATTATATTTGCCCCGTTTAAACAGATTTCATTCAACATTAATTATTCGCTTAGGTTACGCTTGGCGAATAGAATTATCTCGGCAGGTAATTGAATTATAATGCTCCAGGCTGTCTCCTCTACACGTTTCGTGTTTGTGAAATATTTTAAAAATTCGACTTGGAATTTTAATAAAAGAAACATTATTCATATGAGCATTTGTGTAATAACCTGAAACGATTATAAGTATTAATAAAACTTACTTAAACTTCAGTTGAAATAAATTTTATTTCTTTTTAAATTTCATCAGTTGTTTAATATCATAAACTAGATTACTAGACTAATTATTATTACAAATAAGTGGTTGTTTAACACCTCAGAAGCATTTCTAGCTGAGGCTATGAACAGTTGGTATTTGGATTAACTGTAAGTTCAGTCTTCATATTCTAGTAGAAACAGAACTGAGAACGCTGTCTGACATCCTAAAATCACACTAAAATTTTGCCGAGTATAGTTAACTTCGTATTTAATATATTTCAGAACAAATATGTAATTTTTAACTGATATTATTATCAATATACAGACTTTTTGTTATGCATTCTAAAGATACGACTGAAAGCCAAATTTGAAAATCAGCGTTTTGTACTAGTCGGGTCTGGTTTGTTTATTAATATTAATTCTTTAATATTATTTTGTAACCACCATACATATCGCCAAACTGTAAACATTTTAAGTGGGCCAAATCTGTATTGAATTTACTTTAAATCAATCGCTTATGATAATTGTACGAACTATGACAATCCGTCAGTAGCTTCGCAGCAGTCAGTTAGTCTAGTAATAAAAGTCGGGATTTCCCAGGCCGTGACCTGGCTTATGCAGAATGTAAACTCTGTCAGGTTAACAAACAGATTGCAACAAAAACTTTATAGGAACAATACGATACGATAGACAGATAAGTGCCGTTATGACACACAGCGATATTAAATTAAGAAAAAAACATGGATAGCCAGTTTGTCTGTCGAAAAGGGTAGTATTTGTACACACATATGTTTTCTTTTTATAATAGGTTAAGCAAAACAGAAGAATGATTAAGTACACGGTGTAGGTGGTGATAGTAAAAGTTAGATCAAAGGAAGTTATTTGGGCAAAGATAACGTCAAACTGATGATGTATGAAGTCGTACATATCTTTTAAAAGATATTTTACTCCTATCAATAATAATAAGCCTTAGTTATATTTTTATTATATATTATATTAAGTCTTTGTATTATATCCGTATATTTGCGCGATAGCATCACCTATCGGACATATATAAAATGTATCCTTGCTCAGTATTTTACTTCTGAAAATTAGATTAGATTAAAATAATTGTTACAAGGAAGGGATTCTATTTTTAAGTCAGTTTAAATCTGAACTTTTATATGAAATGAAGCATAATCCGTGGCCTTTTGACGCTACTTGCTTATATTTGCAACTTTCCTCTCGTGTTTGTTAGTTCGAATTTACATGTAGATGTAATATTTTAATGAACCTATGCGACGTCTTCGGCGTATAGGTTAACGTCAGAAGGTCAAGTTCTCACCTCAGCGGTTTAGTTAAGTTCATCAGTTTTTAATTTGTAATTTGCGTTTTTAAATATATGAATCGACATTTTTTACAAATGCTCAATGCCATCGGCGCCTTCCATTTAGTTAGTTTTATGATTCAAAGCGGTTTTCATTGCTATGTAAACCAGTAAATAGCATGATCGCCGAGGCTTTTGTCACGAGCTTTTGTGAAGAACGCTGTATATACAGTCTGTTAGCAACGGCACGTTTAGACTCTGAATGATTTATTGCACTACCGATGTGTCGAACGTTCTATAACTCGGGCATTTTGTTGGCATTGGCGCAAACGATTTCTCGATGTCTCACGGTGCCAAGTTCGGAGTTATTCGCGTGATATTCAACAATGACAAAAAATGTATTATCTCAATTGTCTGTTCGAAGGAGTTTTTGCGGTCGCTGAGATTCGCACATGACATTAAAGATGTGTATTGAGTCTTTCAGAGTTAATTGACTCGTTTTCTGGACGGTCGTGTAAAAAAATTGAAGTGTTTGAAATCATTAAAGAATTATACTAGTATTTAACTCAAATTTACATGTTGATGCTAGACAAATTATTAAACATGACTTCACGCAAGTGATGCTAATCAAAGTTACTTATCAAAGGATTAGTCCGAAACGAGTTCGATAATAGTTTTAAACTGATCGAACTTGAAATTTATTGAATTTTTGGTGCAGCTGTGATATAGATTATTGTGGCTTATCCTGTCATACTAGCGACTCGTCACGGTTTAACTCGGCTCGCCGTCTTATACCATATGGAGGCCCTAAAAATGGCTGACTAAAACATTTTTTGCTATTATCTTATATTTTTATATATATTATTCGTGTGTCCTTATGATAAAGACGATACTGATAGCTATAATTATTTCATGGATTTTTTCAATGAGTGAAGTTGCCAAGTGAGCACGCGGTTCACCCGATTTCAAGGATTTATCGCCGCTAATGGGCATCTACATCTCCCGAGGGAAAAAAAGTGACCGCCTGCTACCTCACTCACTAGAAGAAACGCAAAAGTATAGTTTTTCCACTTTACGCCAGTCTTCTGTGAGACTTTGGTACTTCCCCGGTCGACGTGTGTATGTGGGTTCTTTTTGAGATCAACTCGAAAAAACACGACCTCAAATCGGTGAGCGACTTTAATAGATTTATTAGTAAGTCATAACCGTGTAAACAACCCAAATCGACATATTTTCTTGACTCATTTTATTTAGGTGAAGAGCGATTATATTGTATACGATATATTTAGTGTATGAGGCATCGAAAATGGTATATCAAGACGAAATAAATACAATTTCAGAGAATTTCAGAAAAAAAAACAGAATTTGGAGAAGGGTAAATTAAGGCACTAAGTGGCCGGCGGTGACAGGGATTGATATTGTTCTTCATTGTCCGTGAGTAAGTTGATGTAACGAATAACATTAGACGTTTTTATTGCATTATAATTATATAATATTTACGAAATAGCCACCGACGAATTGAACAAGTCATGTACCGTTCGTATCAAGCAAATGTACAAAACATTTTATTTATACTTTTTTATGACGCTGTCTGTCAGGCTTAAGCTATGTTGTGTATCTATAAGTTGGCTTGACTAAAGTTACGTTTACGTTTCATCGTTTTAAGTCGAATCGAACAACTGTAATTTATATTACTTGTGATAAATAACTATCATCAACGTAGTTAACAGCTTCTGATGTTTCACGAATGGGCAGACTCGTTCGGGGAAGTACGATGGTCTTACAGAAAACCCTTGTGAAGTGGAAGTCATTATGCATTCGCGTTTCGTCTGGTGAGTGAGGTAAACGGGGCCCACTTTTAGAGAGGTTGTTAACGTATCTGCAATCCCTTAAGGTGCTGTAGATGTCCATGGGCGGCGGTATCCACTCCATATCAGGTGGATCGCCAGCTCACTAAACAAAAGGGTAATGAAACAGCCTCTGACTCCTCCTCCTCTGCGCTTCGAGTAGAGTTTAATGGCGGTGTC